CGCAATACCCACAGACATCTGCGGCAGCTGGGCGAGTAGCCGAGGGGTGGAAAGCTGCATGAACGCCGGCAAGTGTTGCGCATGACCACGAGTGTCGCCGCAGGTGGAGAGAGTTTTGGTGGCGCTCTGCTTCGTTCTTGTTCTTGAAACGATTAGGGCAATACTGGCAGATATACTGCTTCTCCAGCTCGTGCAATCTGTTGCAGGGGTCAGCGCATGGTCATCCGGGCATGGGTAGGCCAAATAGCGGTGGGTAAGACGCAGACCCATGTCACTTACCGGAGCTCCTCTTCACTGTCGAATTTTTTAGGTTTCTTGGGACAACACTCGCAAATGTAAGCACCTGGCAGGCGGTTTGCGATTGAATTCTGTCGCGATTGTAGCATGCTTTCTGTCGACATTTTTCGGATTTGTGGATGCTCGGTCTCCGAAAAGCCTCGCTGATGCGGAGGTCGTGACAGGGACCCGCGGGGGCTGGGGTCCAACGACCTGTTAGCTGCATAAGGCGACACGGGGCCCAGCTCCGTCTCCCCTAACGGCGACAACGCATTGGGTGACAAGCGCTGATCTCCGCCGTAGCTTGTTATACTACTTGGGGCTGTGGAGAAGCCAAACGAAGACGCAATCGAGCCGCTACGTTGACTTGCAGATCCGGTTGAAGACAAGGAACTTGGGTTCGAATGGAACCGCGATGCGTTACAGTTCCGATTGACCAACATTTGCGCTGAACGACGGTGATATAGGTCGTTATGACCACTCGTTGTCGGACGATCGTCGCGCGCAGCTTCGGAGGGAGGCGACGAGGCGCGCCGTTTCAGGCCGCCCTTTGAGCCCAGTTGGTACTCTTCTGACTCTGCAGGGCTGCGCTCGTTGATGTTCAAGTCGCGCATGCCATTTTCCTCCATGCTGAACTCGGGATCTGAAAACATGCTGTGGTCGTAGCTACCACGATGGGTGGAAGAGGTGTCATCCAAGGGTCCTGGAGTCGAGATGCTACCGTAGCGCACCCTGGACGGCTCTGTTGGGTCGAATATGGGGCTACGAAAGCCGGTGTAGCCTGGTGAGAGGGCAGGTACAGTCAACGGCTTCAATTGACCATTGTGTTTGTATATCGAGATGTGCGGGTCGGTGACGGCATCTTGAGTGTTACTGGAAGATAGCGGAGGTGCAGTGGTCCTTGTGGGTGTACTTGGGCCACCAATCTTGGAGAGCAATTGCTTGTCGTAGGCCTGCGATGAGTTTTGTAGGGCCTTTTGCCCCAGCTGTCTTTCACTTGTGAAGCGGTGACTTGCGAGCGATGGGCGAGAGTTGGTGTTGCGTTCTTCGTCGCTGTGACCGCTGTGTTCGGAGCTCATGTCTTCGAGTGACCTGGAGATGGAAGGTTCTCGGTTGCGAGAAAGAATGTAGTTGCCCGCGGGCTCCCGTGGGTAGTTGCTTGGGGCTCCACCGTATAAGCTCGAGCCAGGTTTAACTGTCGCGAGCCGATTTCCGCCAAAACCTGTGTCCCTTGGACTATTTGTGTTACCCCATTGCCAACCAGGGTCTTGACCAGTCCTAAGGTCTTCGATGTGACGTGGTGGAGGCAAGGGTGGCGGGACTTGATCGCGAGCCTGTGAAATTTGCAGCACGGTCAGTCAATTGTTAAAATATGGGATAGTGAATGACAAGGACCTGAAGTGCATTGCAATGTGTTCGGATGCTATTTCAAGCATGCGAATTGGGCAATACCATTCCAGGCCCACACAAGAAAAAATGCAGCAAGCGGGAACACGAGCTTACGTACTCTCGGTATAGCCATTGCTACAGCTGGGCTTCCTATTGAGGCTCGGGTATGGTGTGGTAGCGGATAGCGGTGGGAATCATATACGCGAATGCTCGGCGTCGAGGACATGGTTCGTGATGATGCCGATATTTGTCGGTAGGCCGCCACTAAGGGGGTAGTAGCAGCTGAAGTGTACCTTGCCGCACACGAGCACCGCAAAAGTGGCGATTCGCGACGAGCAAGACGCGTGAAAGACAGTGGCTACTGGATAGTGTATGCGAGCACGGACCTAGACGCAGAAGAGTTAGCCTGCAACCATAGACGGCATGACCGAAACCGGCAGGGAAGAGTGCAGTGAGTGCGTAGCGGAGCGGCTGAAGGGTATTGCAAGAGTAACAGTGTGTGGCTTACCTGGGTATGGGAGTTACGTGTCGTTGGGGCGTTTCCGAGGGCGAGGCTGATAAGTAGTAGACGGAGCGGGGGCGGTTTCTTCGTACCCGTTGACTAGCGATTGAGGCTGCTCGTAGGGCTGAGACCCTCGTTGGTATAGGGTCGAGCTGAACAAACAATTCTGGCCCGCACCGCCACAATATTTGCTTCTTGTCGATGCAGACTAATGGTCATGGGATGTTGGCAGCGGCGGCAGACAGATACTCAAATTGTTGTGGTGAATGCAATGCTCATGGTACACTGCAGCAGAGCAGCCCAAGCAGGCATACGGGTAAGGGCCCTGTTTTTTTAGCGTGGACCGGAGGCGAGTGGAGTTGAAGGGATGAGAGGCTTTGCTGGAAGGCGTTTAGCACATTAGGGATGAGACAGTTTTTTCTTCTGGTGTGGAGAGAGAGAGGCACAACTGGACACGACAATAGCAGCAGCAGCAGCAGCAGCAGCAGACGGATGAGAAAAGAGATCCTCCACCGGGGACGGGGTTAGACATTAAGCACGACGCTGGGCAGACTCACGGGCAATGATTGGTTATTGCGTGTTGCTCCTGGCACGGAGCAACAGAGTGGAGACTCTGCTGGGCAGGGGTCAGAGCATGCAGGCCTTAGTCGTAGGCGTGGTTTCTGGCTTTTCCAGAAGCGTGAAGCGTGAAGCTCACGCCGGCCCTCTTGCGTGCATAGGGCTTGCCCAGTAGTCACAACGCTGCGTGGCCCTGGGCACTGTCACTGGCACTGGCACTGGCACTGGCATAAGTATGTAGGCGCACACGCAGGTGCAGCTGTCGATTTGCAGAGGGCTGCGGGTGACGGCAGAGGTTTCCCGGCGGCGGCGTGGGGGGCGTGAGTAGTGTAGGTGCGTGCGTGCGTGCGAAGGAGGGGAGGAGAGGCCCAGCGGCCAGTGGACAGTGGGCAGTGGGCAGTGGGCAGTGGGCAGTCAGCCAGAGGCCGACCAAGGGGGCTTAGCTGGCATATTGAGACGACAATCTATCGTGTGGATTGGCGCCCGCCTGTGGCCCCCCCTTCTGGCAGGTAGGAGGCAGGACGACAGGCAGAGAGGCAGGGCGATGGCCTGTACGTCAGGCCGGTGCAACGGTGAGAGAGGGGCGGTGGTAGGGCAAGACAGTGCCGATGGGGCAGACCAGGTTGGTGCTGGCTAGCTGGGCGGGCTGGCGGGCTGGCGGGCTTGCTGGGCTGGCTGGCCCTGCTGGCCCTGCTGGCTGACGAGGGTTGCATGGCCGGGATCTGACCAGGCTGGGTGTCGAGCAGCCAGCACAGCAGCGCGGATTGGACGGCCATGGGTGGACGAGGTGCAGGCGGCACAGCGTCAGATTCAACGCTTACAGCTTAGCCTGCAACGCGGGTAGCGGAAGCGGTCGCTGCGCACAGATGCTGACCAGCAGTTCCAACCCACCCACCACGGGCAACCTCCTCGCAGCCCTACCACCCGGCCTCTGTCTTTTGCTGCCTGCCCCCGGTGCTTCTTGGCGAGGCATTTCCGCCAGCTGATATTCACTTACTTACGTACCGCCCTACATGTACATATGTCATAGATATCTGCGTTCTGTGCATGTACATACATACATACACATACATACCTACCTACTAGATGTAGTTATATCTCTACTAGGTTTACTGACACCTGTGCATGTATGTACGTATCTATGTACACATCCAGGTACGTACATGTCTATCTAACCATCTCTGTGTCCATCTGCCCACACGTTACACGTGCGAGCCGACTAGCTTCCTTTCTGTCCATCTACATATATATATATATATATATGTACTAGAATGCACAAGCACACGCTTCCTGGCCCTCAACTGCTGTCTGCTGCTGCTGCTGCTGCTGCCACACGCCTTACCGATCTGCTGTTCGGGGCTGAGTCGTCTGGCCTCGCACTCGCTCCATGGGTGCCTCGTGCTGCCACGAGCGGTAGCATGCAGACACTCCGGGGTACCGGATCCAAGCCAAAGTCTGTGCTGCGAGCGCGCAAGAGCGGTACCTAACAAATACACGGCACTATGAGTACTTACAGTAGTAGTATGTTTCTGCTACGTGGGCTGCATGCGCTTAGTCCATGACCAGGTAAGCGGCGGTACACCTCGTTTGAGACAGGGCGAGGCTCCAAGCCATGGGCCATGTCGTCCAGTACTTATCGAATTTCCCGCCCACCCTACCGAACAGTAGCCAGCGTAGTAGTGTATGCTCTAGCAGAATACTCTAAGATCACTAATCGTGCCAGTCCAAACTCCCGTTTCCCACGTCCTTTGGGCCAAAACAGTGATGCGCTTCGCCGAGATGCGGGACGAGGCGCCACGGCAGCCTTGCACCCATCCGCCAGCCCGCACAACACGAGCCACAAGCCAGGGCAGTCCAAGACTCCAGGATTCCATGACCCCGTCTGTCGCTGGTCTCGCCCGGGTGTTTGAATCGGCATGGCAGTCCGCGTGCTGGCCTCGTAGACTTAGATGCTCGACAGCCAGTCTTGTCTACTAGGCACTGCAGACAAGACGCCATGAGCAAACTAGCACACGGGGCTTTAGGGCTCATCCATGGCCAGGGCTCTCAGTCCCTGATCCACGCACTGCAGCTCCGCGGGTGTACGGAAGGCTCCGCTGGCTCGACGACGACGACGACGACGACGACGACACACCTGACACTGGCCATGGCCGATGGTGCAAAGGTAAAATGATCGGACGCGCTGTCGTTGGCACCCTTCTGCTTCGGATCGCCGGCAGGCGCGCATGACAGGGACCATGGGCGTCTGCCCATCTATTACACTTGTCGGCGTCGTCTTAGTCGTAGGCGTAGTCGTCTTGGTCGCCGGCTTCTTCCATGGCCTTGGCTGGGATGACATGTACATCCACCCCTCTAGTATCTCTCTCTCTACACACATCAACCACACATCACATCCACCTCCGTGACCCCAGCCCACCAACCCCATGCCTGCAAAAATCTCCGACGATTGCTGCCGCCCCATGGTGCAGCAGCGTAATCACCTGGGCACCACGATACGGCCTTGGGCGCCAGAGACTACGGGTCCGCAATTTGGGCGGGTGTGCGCCATCACGAAGCCTCGGTGAAAATTAGACCCTCACTTGCACACCTTCACCAGCTTGCGTTTCGTCCCCCAAGCCCTTGATCTTCGCGCCCCTCCTTTTAGGTCTCCGACTATTTTCGGGTCTCTCCCCTCTGAGAGCTGCCATAATGGCCCTCCTCGACAGAGTTCCCGGAAACCTCAATCTGTACATTGGCGGGTACGTAATGTTGACGCCCGCTGTGGTTTCGAATTACCCCTCCCTCTTTGCAAGGCCATGCTGCATCGTCGTCGTCGTCGTCTTTGTCGTTGTCGTTGCCGCTGCCACTGCCGCTGCCGCCGCCGCCGCCGCCGCCGCCGCCTTGCCGGCCCACTGTCCAGTTGTCTGACCATTGAGGTAGCATCTTTACGCTGCGGCGGCGTGAGGCCCTCGAGCAGGCAAACATCACCCACGTCCTGTCCGTCCTGCGCACGCCCCTCGACGACGCCCTGTTTGCCCCCTTCAAGCACATGGTGGTCGAGGTCGACGATGTCGACGACGAGAACCTCCTCCAACATTTCCCGGCCACGAATCGCTTCATTCGCGACGGCCTCGACGCAGGTGGTGGCGTCCTAGTGCACTGGTAAGTCAACACCCTTGCTGAGCTGAAGCCTCGTGCACCCACACGACCCTGGATCGCCGCCCCCGACTGCCTTGCTTGGCAGTTTTGCCATCTTCACCACACCCGCCGGCTCCAGTGCCCTGTCGCTGGGAGCAATGCACCACAGTGCAAGTGCAGTTATTCCCCCCCCCCTCCAACCTGCGTCGCGTCCTGCATCCTTTGACTGCAAAGCCCGCCTTTTCTTTTCCTCTTTGCAACTGCCTGCATTACCCTTTCGGCCATTCTTTCCCCAATTCCACACCGCTTCCTTGCCACTCGTTCGATTCCATTCCCCGTTACTCGTAGCAATATGCCAACCACTCCTTCTTCCTTAGTGCCATGGGCAAGTCACGATCGGCTACCGTTGTCATCGCATATTTGATGCAGCAGCACAACATCAGCCCTTCCGAAGCCTTGTCCCACGTTCGGCAAGCCCGGTCCATCTGCGAGCCCAACCCAGGTTTCATGGACCAGCTCAACCTCTACGCTCAGATGCACACTCCACCCGACATCGAAAGTACCCCGGCCTACCAACGATGGGTCTATCAGCGCGAAATTGAGTTGAGCCGCGCGTGTGGTCAAGCGCCAGACGCCGACAAGATCCGCTTTGAAGATGAACATGTTGCTGATGAGGCTGCAGCCTTTGAATTAAGGTGTCGCAAATGCAGGTAAGTGGGGCCGTACGATAAGGCTTTAATGCCACCCTATATTCTCTTACCGCCACCACTCTCCTGCCCTGCGCTTACCTTGTTTTAGGCGCGCGTTGGCAACCTCGCAATATCTACTATCACATGGATCCTCTTTCACTGCAAAAGACGACGAGGCCGAGGTCCCTACTTCGGCCAAATGTGCCCATTACTTCCTTGATCCCTTGTCATGGATGCGACCTGAGCTCGAACAAGGCAAGTTAGACGGTCGTCTGGAGTGCCCAAAGTGCCACACCAATGTAGGCAAGTATGCCTGGCAGGGCATGCAATGCAGCTGTGGAGACTGGGTCGTCCCTGGTATCAGTCTTGCAAAGGGCCGGATCGATGAAGCAAGAAAAGCAACCTTTGGCATACGTCGGCCTCCGGGCGCTTCAGGCCCACCGGCAGTAGGCGATTCTCATCCCAAACAAAATCTTTGATACTACCCACTCGGTTGATTGGAGAATGTTGCTATGCACGTGGCTCTCTTCGTCCACTGCCCGTGGTACAGATGAACAAGACAACGCACATCCCCAAACAGCTCAGTGAAACCTATTGCTTCGGTACTAGTTCTCGCCTTGCGATCCCCTGCTACAAAGAAACAACGCACAGACATAACTCGTCCATGACTGGAGGAAAAATGAAATAAGAAAAGCGCCGATTGCTGCACATCCAACAAAATGGACAATCTCTACTTCTTTCAGATGTGGCACGATCTTCACAAAAGACCAATGAATACTCTATGATATGACGATATCTATGTATCATATTTCCATGCAGCAGACAAAAAAACGTATACAAATTCACTCGCTCAAAAAGAAAGAAGTACATCCCTTTTCATTGATAATGTTATTCGATTACTGCGCTCATCCATAATGTTCCGAACCCTCTGAGTCTCTGAGCACATGATATCTCGATCTATGCATTGTCTGATCTATACACGGGTCTTTCCATCAGAAGGAAATGACAACAAGTGGGCTATTATGACTGGCGTTGAAACAAAACTATGCGCACGACGAGTCGATGCCTACACATACACAGCAATTGCACTCGGCCGACTGACCTAACTGACTGTCTATACATGAGCCGCTCTATTACCCTCTTCTCATACAATCTAGACAGAACAAGACAGTCTAACTTGAACTTACTCTCATTCACGTCACTAACCTTGCGCTGCGCCACTATCTTAACATTGAAACACAGGCCTCGAAACCCATCATCACACAAATCTGAATCAAGTGACAGGTGAAGAAAAGCAAGAACAACACAAATCTACGCCAGCAGGCAGAATGAGATGGGAAAAGATTTGGTATACGTATAAATGTGACTCGCTTCCGCTCCAAACAGCAAAAATACCAAGAAAACAAAAGATACAAACAAAAGCATCCCGTGTCCCGACCTTGGTATATTACTCATGAGTGAAAGAAATCAAAAAGAAAAGAAAAGAATCATGGTCTAGACTTGATGAAAGCCAAAGAATGGAGATAGAGAGAGAGAGAGATAGGAAGAAGAAAAAGAAGAAAAAACACCTGCAGCGCCTCGCAAGTAAACAACGACAAAAAAAGTGGCATGAACAAGAGAACAGCATAGAACCCCCATCCATCCCGAGAGCGAAAGAGAGAAAAAGAATGCCCCTTGAAAGACTCGGAAAAGAGACAGAAGGAGAGAAAAGACGAAACGCCAAATCCCCACATCATCCCATTAATCCCCTTCCACCTTTCCAAGAAAAAACGTCCTCCGTCTCACATCTCACGTCTCACACCGAAGACGAAGAAGACGAAGACGAAGACGCAGCACCAGAACTCTCCACGCTCCGCGAGCGCACAAGCTCCTCACCCCCTTCCACCCCCAACCTCTCCATCTCCTCTGCAATCTCTTCGTACCACTTGCCATGGCACTTGCGATCGACCTCGCCCACTTTGCTCAGCTGCTCGCAAATATCCGCCACTTGAGACACAAACTCCGGTAAACCCGTGGTCGCGAGACCTTCGGTCGCCGTACTCGCAGCTCTGACTCGCTCGCCCGAACTACTAGCGCTAACGCGGTTGAAAATGTGCGTCTTGAGGCGCTGGAAAAGGACCTTTAGCACGGGGTCGGAAAGTTTGCCGGCCTCGGCTTGCGTGAGGAGCCTTGTGATGGTCGACGAGAGCTGCGAGCGTGTCGAGGGGGGCATGTTGCGCGATGACTCGAGGAGGGATGAGATTTTACCCGGCGTCGAAGCGTCAGACATGTAGCCGTTTTCCTTGAGCACCAGCCACATCTTATTAGCTTCGGATTTCCACTGTGACCGCACATCCCGTTTAAGTAGATTCTTAGCTGTAAGGAGGATTCCTCCAATAGTCGTAATACGAAGCGCGTCCTCGCGGATCCGGGCAATCCGGGCTCGGTCCAGTTCGAGTGTCTCTGGTAGCTCAGACTCCCGAAGAGGTGGAGTTGCGATTGCCAGATCGACCAAACCACGGGCATATATTTTGTGCGCAGTGGGTCGATTGAGGGGATTGGCCTGGCTCCACGGGTCACGGCGATCAGCCTCGGTGTGCATGTTGACTGCTGCACTGCGCCACCAGCGGCGTGTGCGGTCAAGAGTGATCTTATTTTCCTCGAGATCCTGCGTGAACATGCGTTGTTCGTAGCCAACAGCCTCCTTGATCAGTGTAGGAGCGGCATTCATCAATAGGAAGTTTGAGTAGTCTAGTGAGAGCAGGTCGATGATGTGAAGGATCTTGAACAACTTCTCAATCATGCTCGACAGGTCTCCCTCCTCCTTTAGTTCTTCAGCAAGCGCTTGAACCTCAGTGTCTCGGAACGGTGCACATAGCTTGGGCAGGATGCTGGCAATAAAGTTGAAGAATTTGCCGTATGAGAAGACACCTTGGCTGCATTGCCGGTTGACATGCTCTGGATCAAGGGTCTCGGAAATGAGGGTGTGCATAGAGTTGCCAGGCTTCAGCAGCCGTAACAGCTTGCCGCGTATGTTTTCCGCCATAGCAGTGGTCCAGTTTGCACTATCGCCCTCCTCAAATCCCCGTCGCATTGCGTCACACAGTTCACGATTGAGAGCGTCGCGCAGGTCAGCAGTCGGTGAAGGATCGATGCGGTACTCCTTGTCAATTGACAACTCGTGAACCAGTATGCGGTTGTCGGGTACCACTGTAAAGACCTTGGATAGCGACTGGGCTTGGTGACCCTGCGTAGTGGGGTCTTCAGGCTTAGCCTGCCCGGAAGCCGCCAATTCAGAAGCAGCCTCTGCCTGTTTGGCAGCGCTTTCGGCTGATAGGGGAGAGTCTGGTGTGGACTCGCCGGCCACACGTGGTCGAACTGTATCACCTGCGGGCCTCTTCTTTGGCTTCGACCTTCGGCTTTCGCGTATAGCCTTCCTGATCAGCATAAGGGCTTTGTCGGGGCCGGCCAGCTTCTTGATCTTGCTAAGCAATATAGCTTGATTGTCCCGAATGCCGTTTCTGTACTCATTGGCGACTTCATCGACCGTCGCATCCTTGACGCTTTGCCATATCTCGTCCAGGCTGACAAACGAGGCAACCATGGTTTCAACAAGCGCCGACGAATCACGAGATTTCCAATCGTTGAAAGCAGCAACGAATGCGCTGTGGGCTAGCAAAACAGTTTCTGTGCGTGTGGGCGATGGAGTGTAGGCATTGAGCTTTGTCAGTTTGGTCAAAGCAGACTCAAAGCTGATGACGAGGTCCTTGGCTTTGGTAATCAGATCCTGTTCCTGGTCACCATCTCGGCTGAAGACATGGGTGGGGTGTCCCAGGATAAGATATGAAGAGAGGAAGGTCCTAACAGCGGCGCTACGGGGGGCTGGATCTGCATCTGGGAGTAGCACAAACAAGGTCATGATCCTATCAGTCGTCTTCAACAGCTTCTCGTCTGCGAGCATGCCTGTGATGACGTCGAAACTAGTCTCCTGAACCATCTCGATGGACAGACCAAGTTTCAGCCATTCTCTGACAATGTCACGCCTAACCTTGCTTCTCCAGGCCACTTGAATTCTTTTGGCTGCATCTTCGGTGGATAAAACGGGACGCTGGGTGCGTGGTTTGAGGCTGGCCGGAGGTGAACTGGCAGTTCTCGGTCGTCGGGGATTGCGTTTGTATTCCAATCTTCTCTTTTCAGCCTCTGCCAACTTCTCCTCCATTTCTATACGATATCTACGCTCCTCAGCGGCCTTGCGCTCTTTCATGTCTTCAGCAATCTTCTTGGCTCTTCTAACCTCTTCGGCACAGGAGGCAGCAACTTGGGCGAGATGCTTCTCGCGGGCTTGTTTTGCTGCAAGGGCTCGCTCTTCACTGTTTGAGCCACGCGGGGCGGCCTTGGCCAGGGCAGCACGCAGTCTGACCTGCTCGGCATGTGCTGCCCGATCTGCCAATCTTGCCTTCCGGTCTTCGAGTATGGAAGCGCGGCGAAGGTGCTGGGCTACCTGGTGGCTTTGGCAGCTGTTGCGGAACGATCGATTCGATGTGTGTGAATGTGTCGAGGATATCGAGTTGCGGCGCGACGACGTCGCAGACGACTTGCGGCGGTTCGCTGAGTGCCGATAGAAGCGCGCCGCAATGCGCGGTGGTGGAACGAACGACTCGGCGTTATCGGCGTCGGATGAGAGTATCATGTCGGGCTCTTCTGGAATGTCGTCGCTGTTACCCCGCAGCTCAGAGCTGACCAGCTCCAACTCGGAGTCGGTGAGAGACATTATGTAGGATGACGATGAGGGTGCTGTCTGGCACCGGGAGTCGCGCGAGTGTATCGAGTTGGGAGTGGGAGCCACCAGTCGTAGTGTTTACAAAGAGGTGAAACGAAGCACGGGCTCAGTGGTGGTGCTCAGTGCAGCAAGCCACAAGTAGTAGGCAATGCAAGTAATAGCAAGTCCCTTGGCGCGAGACTTAGATGTGGGTGCGAGAATGAAGGGGACTGTTATCCGTGGAAGTGTGGTCAGCGCGCAGGATAGATGAACAACTGCGGCGGGCGTATGTAAGTATGTGCTCAGGGTGCCTACAAAACGGCTACGGAACGTGGTCACGGGCGCGCCGTGTATATACACAGCCTTCGAGGTAACGGAGAAGATGGGCGCGACAGCACTCGTCGCAGAGAGAAGAAGGCAGACGCGGTGGCTGGGGAGGGGTCCACGGGATTGTGCTTGCCTGACAGAAGATGACGAAACCTGGATGCACAGTAAAGCCGCGTGCTGCCCGGTGCCAAGGCTTGTATTACGGCAGCTAGGAAGTTCATAGAAGATGATCGACACATGCCCACGCCCAAGAAACCTCCACTCTCAGCCCTACCCATCTGGCTCCTTACTCGCCGCCAGAGCTTCCGGCTCTCCCATCCACGCTGCACCATGTGCGATGTTCCAACGGCTAGGTAGTACGATTGCTCGACGATGCACTAATCCCCGTCCGTGCCAACAGCGACCACTCTCGACTGCCTTTTGTCATGTACATCGAAGATCCTCATCTCTGTCTGGTTTCAGATCGCTACCGTCTGAAGGTCCAGACCCGTTGGCTATACGATGCATGGTCTTTATTCTCGTACCCTTCGCTAGGAAATGCACCGAGAAAGAAGGCGCTGACACAGAAAGACAGTCTTGTGCTTTATATTAACCAAATTCTATTCTATCAAAAAAGCATCCGATGACCAGACTACTAATGACATTAGTTACACAGTATATTTACGCACCCATAGCAGGTGTTGTATATTTATCTCTTTCTCTTCATCGGCGTTTAGAGGCCCTGAGGCCTTGACTGAACCCTGTCACTTATACCATTATACTCTATATCGTATTGTATCCTGCCTAACTAGGCAGCCAAATGCTCACTCGCCTATGCATGTCAGTCCAGATACCTTGTCTACCTTTCGGGTCTTTCAAGCGCTCTTCCTAGAGATTGGTCAGCTTTGCGCCCCAGGACTCGGTACATCCAATCTTACACGGAAGCTCGTACACTTCAACCGTTCTTTTTGAGCGTGACATGCGCCGAAGCTGTAGGGCAGCTATCAATATACCTGCCATCGCCACAACCAAGCCCAGTACACCAAAGCTTATCGTCACACTAAGCGACTCGGTATTCTCATTGTTGACAATTGCCTCATTTGCTGAAGAGGCCATGGCTGTGTTTGAGACGTTCATGTACGATGTGGGGGTCACTGTTGACGTCTTTGTATTCATGGCGGGCGTGGCGGATGATGGTTTTGATAAATCGAGCAGGATGGGGCTCGACTTGTGTCCTAGGGTACGCTTGCGAGAAGAAACTCAAAATGAAATGGAATGGATGTTTACGAGTGATCAATCGGAACTTGGTTGAGAGGAAGGAGTTGAGGGTACGAGGCTTAGGGTCATCTTTATGTCCATTACAGAGGCAAGTTAACTCTGCCCTGTTAGTATCGCATCTTCAAAGATGCGACTCAGTGCGATGCAACTCAGTGCGATGCAAACGGGTACCTGTCTGCCTCTGCTCCAGAAGGCAAAGAATGGACCCACAAGGCGCATTGCTCGTCTACCGGTATGGCGTTGGCCATACTTGGTGTGAATCGAAGTGCGATGAGATGCGACAACGAATGAGGCGATGGAGTTGATCCAGGTTTCCCCACGTGACACCCACAGTCGGCACTGGAAAGGTGCGACAATATCCGATGACCGATGGTAAAGCTAGGAACACAATACCACACTAAGATATACCTTCAACCCGTGACTGCGACAATGTGCGACCACCAATGAAGGAGGTTGAGGTAAGTGATGGGCAGTATTGAGGGGGGCCCGATTCACCATTCTGCAATCATACCGCATAGAGTGATATGCATCCCCCCGGCTGCTTGCAATTGCGATAAAGTGCGACAGCCAATGGTAGCCCATGCTGCGGATAGGCCAAGTTCACAGCCATGTTGTGGCTTGCATGAGCTGATATTGCCAGCTCAGCACGGGTATGTGCTGCTCCTCAGTATCGCACTTTGTCACAAAGGTTATTAGGTGCTCTTTTCGCACTTTGTCGCACCTGGATAGTGACTTCCAAACCGAGCGGATATCCACATATATACAAAAGACGCGACCCCTATCTCAAGTTCCCTTTCTCTCTTCCACCAGGTTGATCAGTCCATCACAGTCAATTTTCTTCGTTCACGAACTTCCTCCATCTGTACTCCTTTTCTCGAATTGCCCGCCGCTTCCACTTCGAAGAATATCCCAAGTTCAATCATGTCCATGAACACCAACGAACGGAATGACGGGCCAGCAAGTCGCTTCCATCAAGCAGAACGTACCCTCCGCACCCCCAGTAGGATATGTTGTGGATGTAATATGTTATTTACCACGGCTTACCTCCCTGCCTTGTGCTTGAACTGTAGTCATGGAACATGTGAAGCATGTCCAGTCAATGAATTTGTGTGCCATGGTCACGATTTGAGTTCTCACAAAAGCACATATGAAGGGCCAAGCAACTCTCTCGGAAGAATCCAGCCTACTCTCTTGAGTCTGGATCAGGTTCGCGACGTGGATGGACACAATGAGCAAGAGTTGCGAGGCCAGGTACAACATGAACGAGACCATGAACAGGAAAACCAAGTGGAACCACATCGAGAACATCTGAAAGAGCCGCAGTCGTCATCGATTTCAGAGCGCAAAAAACGCAAGCTGAACATGACCAAGTGCCAAAGGTGTCGATATGACAAAAAGGCTGTAAGTGATTGCGCGTATACATAATTGGATTCCTGGTGTGCAACTCTCATATCAATGACCACGTAAAAACAATTCGATGCAAGTTTTCCAAACTCGTACTAACAGTCAAAAATCAGTGTATCCGGCAAATTTCGGGAAAATGCAACCGCTGTACTGAAAAGGGGCTTCTTTGCTCAGAAGGAACCCGTGTGACACGCCCTAGGAAGCTTCCATCTAAGTCTTCACTGCCAACTCACGACAAAATTTCCCCACCAATCAACTCGGGTGGCTTAGAAATCAGCTTTGACCAAATGTATGTTGATGTCCCCTAAGTTTTGTGAAACAAGACCAGCAAGATTGAGACGTTCACAGTGCTCTTCTCGTAAGCTACTACCAAATGATGAAAAGGGCTGAAGAGCAGCTCAATAAACTTGACAAAGCTATGAAATTATTCTTTGGACGGCCTTCTTGGCACACTTACAAAAGTTCGGTTGTAGATTTTAGATTATTTGTCAGCACCATCTACGTTAAAGCAATTCTCCTATGCTTGACAAGACTTTCGACTGAGAAACAGTTCCCGAAAACCCTTCCGACCCGCTCTTCGCTTATCAGTCTTATTCTCGCTACGGATTCCCTCTATATGGCTGACGTCTGCCCTTTTTGCGAGAAAACCGATAACGTAACAGCAATTTATGGGCTTAGCGATTCTGTAGATTTATGCAGAAATTTCGTGTTCAAGGAACACCTGATCGACTACCATGGCCCTGAGCTCAACAAGGACAAACTGGAAGAAGAGATCCAAATGTATACCACGTTGTTAACTGAAGTACCACAGAAAATCGGAGTGGTATTTGAGTCTTTGGGCTGTTCTGAACTTGCTCAGCGGAGTAGAGCTATCGGACTTTACCATCATGACTCGATGATTTGGTGGGATTGGAAGATACTGATATTGCGTACAGGAGATTTTGACTGCTTGAAAAGGACAGCCCTCCATCGTATGCTCGATGGCGCTTTTGAGGATTATGAAGATCTTTCATTTATTTTGAAACAGGCTGAACACTTATGGGATGATGTCAGCGTATGGAATAGTCAAGACATACTTGGGAGAACACCACTGTACATATTATGCCAGTTTGAAGAGGATGAGGATTTGGTCGATTTCATGCAGAAGGTATTGGAAGCAGGCCCGGACCTGGGACTTGCTACAATTTATGGGACTATTCCGTTGCATCGCGCTGCTGCGAACGGATCTATTGAACTATGCAAAGCATTGGTAGAACGTGGAGGCAAATTCGACGTGGGGGCTGAAGATTGTGACAAGAGAACCGCGCTCGATCATGCGGTAGTCAAGAAACATCAAGACGTGGTGAATCTGTTAACAGACTGTTATATTGAGGCTGGGTTGGAGGAAAAGGTGGCGAAAGCACTCAGGATCGCAACAGCAGTGAGGGAAGGAACATACAGGATATATTATTCATACGGCCGCTAGAATGTATGCCAATTAAACTATACTTCCCCAAAGCCTGTATTTCAACATCGAGCACATAATAGACAATCATTGTATCAAACCAGCAAGAGACACGAGGAAGATACAAATAGTATCTACCAAAAGCGTCAGTAGCAACATCAGAGTCAATACATGCCAATCGTCTCATCATATAGCATCAAGCCTCCTGCCCGCTTTTCTTTTACTCTATTTGAACCTCGTTCCATCTCCTATGAGACCCTCGCATTGCTAAAATTATGAGATAGCAGAGAAGATCCATACTTACATATTATATTAGAGTTTTCGACTTCTGGTATCCGTTGGGTATAATTCGTGTCAGAGTATTCAACGAGCTACAGATGAGTCCAGGGGAGTAGAGAAGGAAGATTGTTTCAACAACATCAGGACTGGGATGGCAAAATATACTGTTCGTCTCTTCATCTCGCATAAGAGAAAGCAAGAAAATATCCATACCATTCCACAACTAACTAACTAGCCAATCGATACTTTCTCACCATATCAACCTGGAAAGACAAAAAAGAAGAAGAAAAGTCATTGCAAATCGTCATTTCATCTCCTCAGCCGTTCGAACTCCGAAAGAGAGAAATAGAAAAAAGCAACCTTAGCCACGAGAGGAAGTAGTCAGCACCAAGCAACCCAACTGCCCCAAAGAGTAGAGCCCAAACAACGGAACATGCCACGAGGCAGCAACAAGGCGTAGCGAACGAGCCCTGCATGTGAAGGCGAAAAAGCAAAAAACCTCGTCAAAAAGACGTATGTAAAAGAAAAGTAGCATATGACGGAGACTGATGAGCATGTTTACCCGGGTGGATACATTTGAATGGACTAAGCACAACAGACCTCTCAACACGCCGCATTAGGTAATTTTTTGGGGTGAGGCAAAGAGATCATCAAGTGCATGCACAAACACACATGCACATGCTACACTTCGGTGCCTGAGGCATTGTTTCCGACACGGATAATGTTTCCAAGTCGTGATCCGTCAGTGGCGTGTGTGTGTGAGAGAGAAACGAACATCCTTTGTTCTTCTTTTGTGTTTGCAGCGGATTCATTTTGGGGCAATCTCCGCAAACAGCCAGAAGAAAAGACGAGAAGAGAAAAGAAAGGAACGGCTAGGTCGCGGGGTAATGTTCGCATACCCGTCCTTCCCCGGTGCCGAATTTTCATTTTTTTTTCATTTTTCTAGGTGGGTGGAGATGATAGTTGTGGTAGGACGTGCGTGTGTGGAGATGATGATGTTAAGCGTGCTGATGAGTGCTCCACGCCTTCTGATGTATTGATTTGTAGAGTGTCTAGAGCACGTATGGTAAACTACATACACTAAGTTTTGTTACGTACCACAAAAGTGAGTTTGCACTAGGAAAGAGTCAAACAAAAGTGCCGGAGAAGGAAACATGGTGTGCATGACACCCTGACCCAGAGTTGAGCCGTTTGCGGGATCTTGGAAAGGGGAAAAAAAACTACGAGTGCATTGTTCGGCAGAAGCCTTCGATGGCGTCTAGTGTACCAAGATGCAACATGACGAAAAGATGAGGTTCAGGCTAGAAGGGGTGAGGGGAACCGGATGATTCTAGACCGTGGCGGATTTTGTTGGACATGGGGGTTTCTCAACGTAAGAGGCTTGTATGTACGCAGCTATGACGGGAGATAGGCTAAGTGTAGTAAGAGCAAGGTGGAGATGAGCAAGCGAGAAAATTCTGACGGAGTAAGGCGTTTGGGAAGTCGGGTAGTGAACCATGGAACAAAAGAAACCCTTTGAAGATGACATGTTGGGACGACGTGTGCCGAGCATTGTACATACCATTGCACGGCTTTGTTCGGCAAGTAGCTTGGAGGGTAGGACTAGAGTAGTTTTTTGCCCTTTACGTGAACCGCATGATGTAGAAGGAAAGTTGGTCGGGTTATGACGACATTGTGGTTGTCTAGTCGTCGCGGTCGGAGAAGCTGTAAGGACGCGCGGTCGGGTAAGATGGGCAATGCAGTGGTATGACCGATGCAGCTGGATAGCTATCCTATCGCAATCGATAAGTGGATAAGGTAAAAGTCAAAATTCTCGCGCATAGCTGGCGCGCGGGACGAAAGCTACCCAGTCAGAACGGGGAACAAGGGACAGGCGGCCCACAATTCATTTCAAGTGCATGGCAGTGGGACGGGGAAGGCCACAAGCTGCGGAGTGGCAGGGCTCGCAGCACAAAGAGCGAACGACGAGCGTCGATGACACTCCGGCAAAAAAGACATGCAGCAGTCGATGTCACCTTGGCGGCGTGATGAATTCTTGGACCGTCGGGGGCCACGGCGCACAAACAGGCGCACAGCGGGTTCCAGGCGGAGCAGAGGCGGCCAATGGAGGCGGGAGATGTGCACACGGGATGGTGGCAGCTGTCTTTGCTGTTGCTGCTGTGGTGCGCCAGCGCAGGCGGCAGCGGCGACTCGAGAGGATACACGTGTGTGTGCCGGTATACGGAGCCGGTGAAGGAGAGTACAGCTGGGTGAGAGTGTTTCGTTTAGCGGGTTCAGCTGGCAGCTGTGCCCCTGGCCACCCACGGCCCGGGCGCTAGTGATCGTCAGGAACAGCGCTCTGATTGGCCGCCGCGCCGACGCCCGCCCTTGCCGTTTGCGGACGCATGAAACCAGCATGCGCCTTGTGTGCCCTATTTGCAGCGCAGCCTCAATTACTGTACATGCACACGAACGCACTGTCAGCACAGGAAACACATAGCGGAAAAGAAAGACGGTGCATCTGCGCAGCGGGGGTAGACACGCCTGCGGTCTGACACGGCGCATGCACACGAACGCGCATATAAGCAAAAAAGTGGACGGCTGCAGACTCTGCGCACTGTTGAACGCGCCAGGGACACGCCGTTCGACCAGTGACCGGGCCGGCATGGCAGCGCCACATTCACTCGGCCTCGTCGTGCGCGGAGGATGCGATGCGATGCAGGCGGGCCAGGCACGTTGCAAAAGGGGCCGTGCCTCGGCGCTAGCGTCAAGGCCCAACCGAACCCACCTACCCACCCTCTTGCATTCCCTCACCTCTCTCCTCCGCTAACCCACACCACGCTCTCTATATTTCAGTCGCCCGCCCTCCTCCTGTATCATTCTTTCTACAGGCTTGAGGCTTTGTTCTACCTTCATTCATTCCACTCTCTCTCCAAGACACTTTGTCTTCGACTTGTCAACGCGACAACCTCACTCTTGAAACTGCTAGCCAGTTCAGCCATTCCCTGAGAAACTTCTCACTGCAAAACACTACTCGCCAACTCCTTGGACCACCAAAAACAACACCCACCACCAAACAACTCTCATATCCATTATCAACATGAAGGCTTCCACTGTCCTCGCTTCTCTCCTTTTCGGCTCCATTGCCGCTGCTGCCCCTGTTGACAAGCGCGCGCTCGTCTACAAGACCGAGGTTGTCACTGAGGTCGTCGTCATCTACACCACTGTCTACGGTGACGAGCCCACGCCTACTCCCAGTGCCGTCTCTTCTACTCCTGCTGCCTTTTACGAGCAGAAGAAGCCCGTCCCCACCAGCACTCCAGCTGCCCTCCCGGCCTACACTCCTGCTCCTGCTCCTAGCGCTCCTGCTCCTCCAGTCTACACTCCTCCGGTCGAGGAGAAGCCCAAGCCAAGCCCAACTCCTTCTCCCAAGCCTGAGCCTCAACCGGAACCCCAGCCAGCTCCTCAGCCAGAGCCTCAACCCGAGCCTCAGCCTGAGCCTCAGCCAGCACCTTCCCAAGCTCCTGCCCCAACCCCTCAGCCTGAGGAGGTCTACACTCCGGCTCCTGCTCCAGCCCCAACTCCCAGCCCATCTCCAGCTCCCGCTCCTGCCCCAGCCCCAGCTCCTGCCCCAGCTCCTGCCAAGTACCCTACCACTGAGCCATCATCCTCTGGCGGCCAGACCCACCAGAATGTCGACATCACCGTCTACGACAACACCGGTGCCGCAGGTGCCTGCGGTGAGCCCCTCACCGACGACATGATGGTTGTCGCCATTGCCAAGGGTGCATGGAACGCCAAGGGTGGTTCCACCTACGATGTCATGACTGGTGCCTCCAGCAACCCATGGTGCGGTGCTAAGATCAACATTGAGTACGAGGGCAAGAGTTGCCAGGCCACCATCATGGACCTGTGCCCTGGCTGCGAAGGCCTTTACGACATTGACCTGTCCCGCGCTGCATGGAAGGCTCTTGGTATCACCGAGACCACCCGTCTCAAGGCCAACTGGAGCCTTGCCTAAGCTTGTCCTAGAGGCGCTTCTCGCCATGATCAATATACCCAAGATTCTCACAATCTAGCTAGCGCAGGCCGGGTCAGCGCTTTGCACGACCTTGTTACGACTCATCTTCTTTTCTTCGTCACTCGTTTACCAATCAATGCCTTGGCTTTACCCCCAAGCATGCTGGGACCATGTATTATCCATTCACTTTCTTGTACACAGCTTTAGGGATCCGGTGTATGGGCTCAAACCTCTTTCTTTAGATACCCATATGCTCGTCATCTTCAGGCACAATTCAGATACCACAAAACAATCAATCAACATGACGATTGCGTGCACGCATGCATTGTCCAAAAAACATAAACAAATTTCCAGCACTTGCACATCGTGATTTCCCTGTTTCTGCCGTGGCTTCCAAGCTCCGGTGCACTGCCCCCAATCTGGGTTCTGTAATGTCACGCACATGGCCAATGACACGGCTCCGCGTCTCCGCCAACGAACATCGTAATCCAGCTAAGAGTGAATACGTGTACCTCACCCCTAACAATAGGAATCTGAGCTATCGTATTAACGCGCAAGCATCCTTGACTCGTAAGGTACGTTCTTTCCTTGGTCTAGTCTTGGTCTCGAGAGGAACCAGAAAACTGCCGGAATGCAAAACAAAACGAACAAGCCCGACGATTACGATGCACGTCCTTTTTCTTTTTGTTGGTCCGTACTTTACGTTGCAACTGTGACTGCGCTGCACAGCCACTGGCTACCATACTGCGCCACTTACTACGACCGACGGACGTTGCATTCCCGGCCCCCAGTCGGACTATGCACACACACACACACTTGGATTTGCACTGGCCCTCTCTCCAGCCACAATGACCCGGCTCAGCTCTTTCCTTTTTCTCTTTTTTGCCCCGGGCCCTGCGTGCGCGGGACGGCATGGGACAAATTGTCACAAAAAAGAAAAGAAAACAGGTAACTCTCTCCTTGCTATTACGACTCGGGTTCCCCTTTCTCTCGTGCGACAATGTGAATCTCTCGTATTTTTGCCTCAGGCGCAAAAGTAATAAATAGAAAAAACAAAATTGCCAGGGAAAACGGGGAATCAAAGGTTGTGTTGCAAGTAAACATCAATGTAAACAAATGGGTTGGTTGCTAATTTAGCAAATATTACATGTGTGACGGGTTTGAAACAATGGTTTCCCTCACTCTCCGTTTCTCCCCCCAGTCCACTTCGCTCCACCCCCCTTTTTTTTTTCTCATTTGTTCACTCTTTGTTTGCTGAACCCGCGCGACTCCGGGTACTCTAGTGTTTCATGGGTTTGCCTGGTTGCCTGAGAAGTTGGGATGAGGGGGGAGACGGGCTTTGGCGCCATGGTTTGACACTAGGGTATGTAAGGGAAGGGGGGGAGGAGGTGTGGTAGTAATAACAACGGGTGTGTTTTGGGGCCAAATAAAACTAAATCGCCGCTCCCCTTCGAAGGCAGTTGCTGTTTCTAGTCTCTGATGTGATATTTAGAGGGTATGCGAACGACTGGGGGAATAAAAGACCATGCATAATGCGCACGTTGTTGCAACAAAACTACTGTATACACATCGCCCCGTTTTGCAAGGAAGAGGGATGGAGGGGAGAGGAGAGCTATGGTAATACCGCGACGCATGCACTTGTACCCTGAAAGAAATTTGAGTTTAGGCAGCTGTGACGATTCATACTATGGGGTGTTTAAACTTTCCAGCACACACAGACACACAGACACACATGTTTATCCCTGGTGTTTTCTTGAGATTGAAATCTCACCTCATCATCATCTTCTTTCTCACTGGTTCCCCGTTGCTGCGCCATCATCTTATCTTACTTTCGCGCTACTACTAACGTATCGCGCCATTCCGCCCAATCGTTGTCTGCTTACGAGCACAGACATGCGCGTACGCATACTCGTACCACATTCGAAGGAATAGACACGGCCTTGGTAGGGATGCCAACCCGGTGTAATAATTAGATCTTGCAATCGTATCGGAACCAGCTACGTAGTCTGCATTTGTAAGCGTTTTTACTGCCAAAAGCAGGCAGGCTTTTTTGCTTGCGTTTTCGTGGTGATAGTATTAGATTGATCGCTGTTACCCTAAGGGGTGTGAAGCTATATAGCTATATTGAAAAAAAAATCTGGCGTTGTTATAGTAATAGTTAGTGAAGCTGAATGACTAGGTTAAAATCGATTGATATAGGAAAAAGTTGGTGGTAAGGCAGTACCAGCTCTCTACTCAAATCCACCAAAGAAGATGTCCCCTGCTAATATCTGGATATGGACTGGGAGTATGTGAAAACAGGTATTTTACTACGTTGTAAGTTCTCTATTTGCATTGATTACGTCGCTGAATGGCCAAGGTGTAGTCGTCCACTGTGATCTTATCCCACTCCTCTTATATGTATATGTGTATAAGTTTAGCGTCCTATCCCACAAAGCTAAGCGAATACAGCAACAGTTGTGGAAGTGAATCCGCGAAGATGGCGAGTTCGTTTATGTTGGAGTATACACAGCAGCAGTCATGGAAGGGAATCCGTGGAGAGAATTCGTGAAGATTGCGAATTCTCTTATGTTAGAGTATATCCTAATAGACATAGCCTGATCGTATGGATGGCCTAGCACGAAAACGACTCCATCATCTAGATTAACTGGCCATTCAAGCCCAGTAAGTTCGTAGTTGTAGTCGTCGTAAAAGTTGGTGATAAGTAGGTAAATGTGCTCGAGGTAGCTGAATTGGTAAACGTTCCCCCCGCTTTTTTTTAAACCCCAAGATAACATCGGACTTTTTTTTTACACCACCAAAGCTGCCCTAGAGTATCGTGTGAGAAATTTTTATCAGGCCTCCGCGTCATGTACTGACGTTGGTGGCCTTCTTGGTAGAATAGTACCTCGTCACTCGATATACCTTTATACCAATCAAGCACTGACCACTTCACTACACTGGGGGTCGACGATAAAGATACCTGGAGGGTAGTAGTGATTAACCGTAGTGGCAAATATCCAATGAACCGTATATATCGGGTAACTGCACTCAACGGATTCGGGATCTAGCGGTCTCTACCGGTATCCTAATGGTGTAGCTGGTGTTGAGAATCTTATTATTGTTGGTAGAAAAAGTGGGAAGTTTCAAGTCCACACCGTTCTCGATACAGTACAGGTGAGCTAATTAGGCAGGTCTGGGCGGATCGCAAGCTGGGTGACGGTGAAGGTAGGGGAATAGCCTCCTCAGTATCCCCCTCGACGTCGACGTCGTCGTCGATAACGACCACCGTATCTGGTGGATCGTGGACTGTAAGTTTGTTTATTTGTTTGTTCAAGCTTAACGCCCTATCTAAAGGCTTTTTGTAGGGCATGCGGACGGGCGAAGCCTAGGGGCCACAGTATTGCAGCACCACCTAGTTTCGACTATTCATGGAGAGTGTTTTCTAAAGTACTGTGTTTCCTGTGACAGCCGCTCCGTCGGTTGAAGGTCCATTACAATTTTGTGTGTTGGGCGGGAGCCCTGCTACATTTATGGCTAACGCCGTCGTGGATCGTAGGTGGGTGGAGCTGGGAGCTGGGAGCAGAATCCTAGTACGAGTCCATAGCTATGATACTGACCAAAACAACTGTGTTGCTAGCTTATTTGAGCTTTTCTTTTCTGTCTTACTGCTTACTATAGGAGTTTAATAATACTAGACAGTTAAGCGCGTAGTAAAGTCAGAGTAGTGGAACTCCAGAAGAGCTATCGAGGGGTGCCATGGTGCACGACGTTTTGATAAGTATGCATAGAAAATTGACTACGTAATCCATCCAGCATTTGTTACTTCGACAGGAACCCCTGTCTGTTCCTCCAGATATGGTGGAAGGCAGTAGTACCTGGTTGTATACGCCATCCGCTCATCTCCTATTTGTCTGATCCCCAAACTCTAAACCATGGAGAAATAGAAACTCCGAATACTTTCTTGTGCTGTTTTCGGTTATCCGCCGGGATACTTACCCAGCTTTCACATACCTTGTTGTGTTGAGAGTTTTCAGATAGGGAAAGTAACAGCAAAGATGGACCACTACTGGTTTTTTTCTTCATTTGCCACAATGTTACCATTTTTTCCTCACTCCAACATGCCATGCGCGCGCATGAAAGTTGGGTTTAAATTGGGGAATTGGGGGAATTGGAGAAGACAAAGGGCTAGGCCCGTCATCCCACACGCCCTTTCCGCCCCACCGATATCGTTATTTCCCTGTGCTATTTACACATGCCAACGCTGCTGCTAATATTTGCTTTGTAAAACCTGGAATTCTGGACTTGGGCATAAGCTTACGGTGCTTGATGCGCTGCGATTGGGTGTGCCAAGAGCAGGTCAGGGAATATCATTTGTGACACCTTCTCCCTAGAAAATAAATCGGATTCTCGGCTTGAGTGGGGGTTTGCCAACTGGCTTGCTTGTCAGATGTTGATTTGTGTGTGCTTGTCGGGCCAGGCGGGGATATGTGCCGAGGTAGCTTGTGGGAAGGCGCCAGGTGGGATGGTGGAGTTGGATTTACCCACTCATCCGAAGACTGCCCGAGTTGATTCCGCGGCGCATTGTCAACGATGTGGGGGTTTGTAGTTGCGTGTCTTGTTGTACAATGTCGCCATCGCTGTAATGGTCATTGTCGCATTCAATTGTATAATTCGGGCAGATGGAGTATTGCACAGGCATTAAAGTACATATGTTCTGGATTATTGCTTCTTTGGCAAGCGAGAAATGCTCAAATCAATACAAAGTGCACGCGACACATGCAAGTTACACAGAACCAATGTCAATTATCAATTGTTTATGCATTTCGTGTTGAATAAGTAATGAATGCCGTTCTTGTCACCATACAGTACCCATACAGTTCCAATATAGTCCCTAGCAAACCGCGAAAAAAAAAGATTGTAAAGAAAAAAACCATGCCGTATCCCAAATACCAGTATCCTCGAAATGTCCATCTTAATGGGTATCGAACCAAAGCAGCCCCACGTGTCCCTCACCTCTGTCGCGAAACCTCGTGTCTAGCTCTCATGCCGTGCCTTGTTGCCAGTTTTGATCCTCTGCCCCGCACTAGAGCGCGTAAACGTAAAACGTCAGTACCTCTTAGCTCGTTCAACCATTGCCTTATCTTCGCGTCGTTATCTCTTGCTCATCTACGCAAACTGGCTGGCACCACCAGACTCGAGCAGCTCCATCTCGGCCTGTGTCCATGACAGGTTTTGGAAACGGGCAGGCAGCTCGGAGCGATCAAAGTACAGGCCCTTTCCGGCCTCGACTGGACCAAGGTTCCTGCCAGCTGCACCACCAATGTGACCACCAACAAGGCCGCTAGCGTTTGCGTTGAGCGGGCCGTGCTGCTGTGCCTTCTGTCGGTAGGCCTTGAATGACGAGGGAAGCTCCTTCATGTGAGAGGCTGGGTGCACATGCGGGGTGTGATCAATGTCTGCAATTCAACATTAGTTGGGCGAAGCAAGGCCAGTCTGTTGTAGAACATACGCGAAGGAGTGGTGCGCTTGCCCAAGAAGCGGATCATGGGCTGGCGAGCGAGTGCCCTGGTTGCGTTCATGGTGAAATGTATGTGGTGGTTTGGTGTGGTGGTACGTAGGGCAGGTAGCGGTTCGGGTGGTATCAAGGTCCAGAAATGAGCCGAAGTAGAGCCAAGCGGGGTTCGGCGAATATGGTATCTTACGACGAGGCGCAACAGGTCAGTGATGTAGTACGAGGCGTCGGATGCTTCGGCAAAGGCAGAGGCAGAGGCAGAGGAAGAGACAGAGGCAGAGGCAGGCAACAAGGTTGGTGGAGGGGAGCCGAGCAGGTTGAGTGAGAGCAGGGCATAAATATTATTTCATTCGGGCGGGGACAACGCTAACGCCGAAGCCGCTCAGCATAAAGTTGGCTTGGCTGGGGGGGGGTCGAGTCTGCCCACGGTCGAACGAGCAGTAGGCAAGCAAAACAAATCCTGGCGCTCGTTGCAACTCGCAGCCCGCCCAGCACGCAATGGGCGGACAAACATGGCACCGGCGGGCGGCGGGCGGCACGCAGTGGTGGGAGTCGTTCTTGCGCATCTCGGTCATAGCTTCCTGCAGCCGCGCCGGCCAGCCCACGGTTGTCTTTTCTGTTCTCTGCAAGTGCTTCCCTCCCCACCAATCGAAACGCCGTACACGCCCGCCCGCCCTTATCGACCCCACGGCCTTTCTCCGCATCCTGACCATCGGGAATTGCATATTGATACTTGCTCGTCCGACTGCCGCTCCGACCTTGCCACCATGCACGAGCTCAACCTCTATGGCCAGGTCACTTTTGCCCGCTATGAGCAGGTCCTGAACATACTCGCTGGCGTTGCTGCTATGCAGCCCCAGCGCATCTACGAGCGGCACATCATCTACAAGCCATTGCGCGAGCCTGAGGAGCCGGGCTCCAACTTGGGCCGCCGTGGAGGTACCCAGACAGTCGCCCAGAAACAGGCAAAGCAGGCTGCCCCCGTCGTCTTGTACCATACCCAGCTGGTCCAGAAGTTGACGGAAGATGATTTTCCTGTTCAAGAAAGCACACTGCCAGAGGGCGGCACGTCGCTGGCTGCAGACGTAGAGGATGGGGACGAGCCTGTGTGGTCGTTTGTTTTCAAGGATATACCAGATACCGGTGATAGAGGCGTCTCCATCCGCTTCACACACACCACTGACTTGCTGTCTGGCGACCCTCATGCATATATGCTCGCCTCCGGGCCAAACCAGTTAGACTGCCTCTCACCGTGATGCTAGTGCCCCCTCTGACCAAAGCCCAGATTCGTCACCGAGTACTACGTCGAAGGATACCGTTTCGTCCACGGCAACGTCGTCATATTCTTGCACCGCATTCTCCACGAGCCCGGTGCTCGCAGCATCCAAAAGGCCCCCAGGGTCACACTCCCTACCTGGACTGGGCTCCATCTCTTAGACCCAAGCGGCGCCTACGTACTCAATGCCACTGTCCAGATCGAAGACTTCAACAACGCCGCTGTGTTAGAGGCAGGCGTCAACGAGCTCAAGAGGTTCCAAACACAGATGAAGGGTTGCGTCAACTTGTTCTTGCCCGATCGTCTTTCTCAAGACCCTCGCGTCAAGTACAAGCCTCCTCCAGCTCCTGCCACCCAAGCACGACCACGTTGAATCTTTGCATCATGCTGATGAATGACAGGGCGAAGTGGATTGAGATGTACATTGAGAAATACGGAACACGTGATTGGATATAATATGATTAGTCAGTGTAGTATGCTCGCGAGGAAAGAAGGCCCGTCAGAGCAGGCAACCCTCACGACACGCCTCATCAAACAAATGACGGCACAATGACATTTTCTTGGTTTGCTGCGTGACTTTCATATTTGACGTCCTTCTCTTACCATGCTTGAATTCTATTTTTTAAATGCTCTCCTTTTAGTATTTGAGCAACCTGTATTAGATGGGAGCGAGCTACAAGGAACACCTCACCTTCTTCTGCCTGCTTCTCATGCAATGCATCTCGTTGCGGAATAGAGCCTGTAAAGTGGCATGGCTATCAGAAGAATCAATTGCTGTATGCAATACATGGCATGAGCGATTGCCTAATTGTTCGCATGACTGCACGATGAATTTGAACAGAAATCAGATGTCCATCATGCGAAGTGCTATATTTTTCCAACCATTTTACATGTTTTCGGATGGCAAGTACTGACGATCCCTCTCCACATGCTCTCTGTGAATCTTTTGAATAGATACAGGTCAAGTAGCTTCGATGTAGAGTTCTAGAATTAAAACTGCTTGCTTGTGAGAATGAATTCGTGGAGGTGTCATTCGTCTTTGTGTGACGGTGGGCCTGTGCTCTCACTACGTATACTCTTTACTGAGTGATATCGTCTTGTATCTTATTTGCAATAGTAGTCTACGAACGCATGTGTACACGGCACCCATCTCCCGAAGCAACCACCAAAGTTAGAACCTGCTTTTCCTTTCCAGTTGCCACAATAGGTTCGTCTTGCGGGACAGTCAAGAAAGGAAACTTTTGCACTAGCCTCGCTACAGTGTACCCCGCTTCTAAGAGGGCGAACTCTTGGCCTAGGCATACTCGAGGCCCACCGTTGAAGGGCAAGTATCCGTAACCTACATCGCGCAATAACTGTCCATCCTCCCACCTTTCAGGGCGGAACTCGAGGGCATCTTCTCCATAGATATCCGTGCGACGATGCATGGCGTATACGCAATAACCGACGGCTTCGCCTTTCCTCACTAATATCGGCGACTTTCCATCCGGGCCTCCTCCGACAGGCAGCGTTGTTGTCTTGAGTGCTGCACGGGAGTTAACCGGCACCGATGGGTAAAGACGAAGTACTTCTTTCAGTACCAGGTCGAGGTATCTCATCTTCTTCAGGTCTGCCCGAGTTGGCTGGGGCGCATGCTCTCCAAGGCCTACTACTTCCTCTATCTCTGTTCGTAATCTTTCTAAAACCTGAGGATGACGAGCTAATAGGCGCAAGGTCCAAGTGAGGCAGCACGCGGTAGTATCCCTGCCTGCAAGGAGGACATTGAGACACTGATCGCGGAGCTCCTTCTTGTTCCGGGTTTCTTGGATAAGAGCATCAATGAACACGTAATTCTTCGTGTCCTCGTCTTCCGTCTCTTTAGGCTTCGGCTTCTCAGCCTCATCTAGTGCGTTCTGAATTGCATCGTCAACAAAGCGATGTGAAGTCTTACATGCCCGCCAGAACTCTGGCGTATTGGCAAGCCAGTATAAGTCTCCCAACCGGCCACGATGCGATAGGTAGTCCTGGCCTAAGTTGAAAGCCGCCGCGAACTCGGACTCTTTTCCAGCGATGTCGCTACTTTGTAAAGAGCTCAGAGTCTTGCCAAAGAGAAGAAATGTCGTCGTATCGAAAGTCAAACGGAAGAACAACGGTTGCAAATCGACTACGCTATCGGGAGAAATTTGATCGACGAGGCTTTCGACCGACTTCTTCATCTCCTCGAAATTCTGGTACCGATTTGAAGTGAACTGAGGTCGCAGAAGCGCACGCGAATGCCTCCATGCTGCACCATCCTGGGTGAAGATGCCGCTTCCCATCAACGGGGCAAAATGCTTGGGTCGGAGTCCAAGACTGAAGTCTGTTGGGATGGTCAGTCCTTTCCGTCATCCGAGGGAAGCAAGGCTCACAAACCTTCAAACTGTGTTGAAAGAACCTCTTCTATGTTACGTGGCTCCACTGTATTGATACCGCGATTTCCGACTATTCTCTGTCAGTGTCAGTTGCATAATGCCGCCCATGAAACCTACGCAACTGCTGCTCATGAGTAGGACCACTGGAGTCCACTACATCCAAGAAAAATTGTAGAATAGTCTGGGCTCTCGCGTGTTGCCCTGCTTTGAAGAGCAGATCCAAGCCTTGCGGCCACTTTGCAGCCCACCTCCGTGGTGCTTTGCATCCCATTTGCGCTGCATATTGGTCTTCTTCCTCTTATATGTCAGTAGCACAACAAATATCTTCTTGGATGCGCATACTTTACGTTGAATCTGGCGACGCCAGATCCTGTATCCTAAAAGGGGGAGAGCAATGAAGAATAATGCTATGAGTTTAGAGGCTTTGTTGCCTGTAAAGTTCATGTCCAAGGTACTCATAACTATGATACCGCCTCCAGTTCAAAGATAGCAAAGTCAAAAGAAATCTTGGAGTTGCAGGCTGTAGGTACAAGGACGGCAACAAGATACTTCTATGGTTGGCATTTCGCCCCCAGATTGAAGTGGGTGGCACAGTCGTTTTGCCTTCCCTTATCGGCACACAGGATCGAAAAGTGTGGCAGGTCGAGGGCCATGGCTTGCGGGGCTGAACTTATTAACGGACCAGTCAGATGATTTTGGCTAAGCCATCGCTAACGTACTCGGTTACGGTTGGCCCGCGACGCGCCTTCGGCCTGCTGAGCCTATTCCAATGTTACATCTGTGTTTCTTAACCCTCCCACGACGGCTATCGGCTAAATGCATAGCGATCCAAGGTCATGGAGGCACTCGCTCGCATGCATGCCTGCGAAGGCAGCTGCCTTTTGCTCTCCTGGCCAGCGCAATACCACTCCTATGGCCGACGGCCGATCACTTTAGAAAATATTGTTCTGCTTCATTTTACACAGTGCTTGTCTATGCAGTGCCAATATTCTCGATCTGCTTTCTGACGACATTTTACTACGCAGTCTATGTCGAAAATCTGTATAGCTTTCGCACAAGCAACCTCGCAAACCTTTGTCGCCTGGCAACTGGCTCGAGATAGCGTGAAATATGGCTGACCCTATTTCACTGGTGGCTGCGGGTGTAGGAATCGGCGATGTTGCATTTCGGCTCATCGCCTATCTCAAAGGCATCAAAGCAGCCGTTAAGACTATGGATGAAGACATTGAAGGGCTGATCAACGAGGTCGAAGGTCTTCAAAAGGTTCATGGTCACCTCGAAAAGGAATATCTCAAGAGTATGACTAATGTTGACATGGGAGATGACGAGAGAGGCCTTTGGACAAGCACAGGACAAACTCTCAAGAACGGGCAGAAGCTTACAAAGAAGCTTGAAGAATCGGTGCAGTCTATCTATGGTGATCATAAGCTAATTACTGGAAGGTTGGATGGCTGGGACAAGGCGCGTAAAAAGAGAAGCAAAGACAGCATGATATCTGGACTTCGAGACCAGATCAACACATATCAGGGAGCCTTGCAGATGTTGCTCGGTTTCATTTCCATGTAGGTTGGTCAGCCATCCCAACCGCTTCCATTGACCGGTATGCAGGCAGTCCACTCGCGAAAGTCACAAGGATCAGAATGCCCAGCTCGACAAACTGGTAGCTGATTTCCAAGAATTGAAGAGTCGAATGGAGCAACAAGCACAACACACATCGTTACCCTTATATGAAACTGTGACTACCACAACAGCCTATCGTGACTTCAACATGGAATCCGTGTCAGTCGTGAATCAGCTCGGTATTGCAATTGATAACATTGCGCACAATCCAGCGTCCGACGCCTCGGTGACAAACGAACATTTTGATATTCCGAAGCCTGTCGATCCGTTTTATACTGGTCGTGAAGACTACGCAAAACGCTTGCGCAGCTGGATGTTACCGAGTCTTTCTCGAAAGCAACGCAGTACACCGGCCGTCAAGGCAGAGCAAAAACGTTTCATTGTGTATGGGCTTGGAGGCGCGGGGAAGACCCAGTTCTGCTCGAAATTTGCTGAAGACAATCGCCAATAGTTAGTCTACCATGGTTCCAAATCTATGTAACGCTGCTGATGGGTCATGTCTAGCTTCTGGGGAGTATTTTGGGTAGATGGTAGCAGCCGGTCGCGGTTGAAACAAACCTTCTCTCAGAATGTGTCAAAGATTGGAAAAGTCGATCCCAACGAAAATGCTGCACTCCACTGGCTATCAAACCTAAGTCTTCCTTGGCTTCTTATCATCGACAATGCTGACGACCCCGACCTCAAGCTTGCGGATTATTTTCCACGAGGCAATCGAGGTCACGTTCTCGTCACAACCCGTGACCCCGGGAAGAAGATGTATGGTACTGCTGGTGATCGATTTTTTGAATTCCAAGGACTGAGTACCAGCGATGCAAGTAGCCTACTGCTGAAAGCAGCCGGTCAGTCAGAACCATGGGACACGGTCGTATCCAGCATTGCTTTAAAGATTGCGAAAGCTCTTGGCTATCTTGCGCTGGCAATCACGCATGCGGGTAGGGCCATCCGCGAAGAGTATTGTAAGCTGAGCGAGTATTTACACTATTATGAGCGCCAATGGGAAGCGACGAGACAGACCAGACTTCCAGTAAGAGACAAGGATGCCGCCGACGAGTTGAGCGTCTTCTCAACTTTCGAGTTGAACCGAGAAGCTATCGAGGACCGAGCGACAAGAGCATCTCGAGACGCCCTTCAGTTGCTTGACACATTTGCATTTCTTCACAATCAAGACATTAGATACGACTTTTTGCAACGATCTATCAAGAATGCCCACGTTGAACATAAGAAGGAAGTTGAGGATAGGATGAATGAACGTCGATCCAAGGCAGCCAAGCCCGCACCCGACTGGTCGACATGGTGCAAAGAAACCGCGTTCTTAGCCCTTACCTACCTCTACCAGAATCGAAGTCCGCCCGTTCTACCCAGTGTAGGTCACACCATCATTTGCTTCTTTGAAGACATTCACTGAACCGTTATAGGTCATCCGAGATGGACGTGATAAGAAGGCGATGAATGAAGATCGACTACGTCTAGCTTTACGGCAGTTGACTCAGTTTTCACTCATAATAAAAGGTCACAACTCTGAAAGCTACTCTATGGTTATAGATCTTAATAGAGTCGTTTACAAAGATATTTTAATGGTCCCATCATGCTCAGCAACGACTCCGTATCGTGTAGTGGCAAGGCTATGACATGATTAGAACCAGCCAGCCCAAGTATATCATAACGTCACATACCTCCATGCCAAGTTACCAGTACACATATATCTGCATCCTGTTACCAGCTTCTCTAAAGCCTCAACGATATCAGGGCGATCTTGATAGGCACGATAGAGCCTTGCGGTGCAGATTTCGTATTCCGCCGAGCATTGCGCAAGCAGATCCAGTGCCTGATCAAGTGCTCCTTGGAGGCTGCCAGTCTCGGCGTAAAGCACGAATAAGATGTTTGAGGACGATGCACCCGCGGCCTGAAACACTTGTTAGCGTTGTGCAGCCAAGTATACTAACTAACCGTATGTGTGGGCCTCACCAATTCCTTCTGCACAGAGAGCAGATCGTTCATACTGGCGTTGTATCAGCTCTCGATCCACTTGGTCATCAGGATAATTCAGCGACTGACATTGAGGTCACACCATTGCCAGCCTCATATACATCATCCAGTAGCTTCGAATCCTGCACATCTGCGGGTAGCTGTACTTTGCATGAGTAACTGTCATTAATTAGCAACCGACGCTTTGACAGTAGCAAATATTGGATTGTAGACCAACAGTAGTGCTGCTGTGGTAATCTTTACAGCGCTTGTAGCCATCCTCAAACGCCAATACTCTTCGAGAGTCGGCAAAGACTGATCGACACGAAGACCTTGCTCATATCCGACCATTTCCAAATAGATACGAATTTCCTTGGCAAGGTTGTGTCGTTCGTCTATGCATTGCCATAATTCAGCTAACATCCTGCTCGGCGTTTCGAAGAGTTTGCTTACGCAGTGTCATGTCCTTACGAAGTCTTTGCCAAACATCCCGAGATGTCTCTAAGATTGGTCGAAAGGACGTGTTGACTTTCCTGTATGGTGGCAGATCTAACAATTCACGTACGAAATGTATAATGTCGTCGCGACATTTCTGGGCGTGCTCGTAATCAGAGTTGAACTCTCCTCCAGCTTCATCAATCTCTACTTTCAATTAGTTCATGCCGGTCCAAATGTGGACCTTTGACATGTAGCTCACCATCGTCCCAGATAAATAGCTGCAGACTGTCAGTTGATGTTGTGCGAGTAATACAACAGGGTTCGTACCCAAGCGCACAGATCAGTACATGTCTCCATGCGTTCAAAGTCTGCATACGGCCACCATCCTGCGCCGAAGCGACCCAGATCTTGCGCTTCGACTTTACGAAGTCCTCGCCGCTTGCTCGGGATGCGCTCAATCATCCTAACACGCGGTTAGCCTCAGTTGCTACGGCTAGAATCGGTCGAAACATACACCTGAAATCGTTCTCGAACATGCTTGCGGAGGCGATGGATGTCTGGGTTTAGGTCCACTGGCCAGTCATCTGCAGGCATGTACTGCCACAAATCAGGCAGCACAAGCGATTGGCCTTTGATCTCAGCAATGACATCTCGAGCGCTGGTATGAGAACTATGCGCCATGATTGAAGGTCTTTAAATTATTTGAAAGAAGGGTCATGAACTGAATAAAGCTCAATGGAGCAGATGCGCAGGCTGTATATACATCTAGCAAGCCGCTCTAGTCATTGTCACTAGTGTACTGATGCAGTCATTACCTTTCTATATGAAGTACATTGCCGTATTGAGCAGTCTGAATTCGACTAACTCAGCGCGAATGAGTCCGCGGATGAGCCCGTGGATGGTATTGAACACACAAGGGCGATAAGAATAACTCGTGAGCGGTTAGTCGCAACATGTACTTTCTCTACAACATACATACTTGTGATACCCGTGATAATACTCTGGAAAGAATGCAGTATCTAGTCAAGATACTAGAAGATTCATCACATACGTTTCAAACTGCTTTTGGTAGCTGTTGTTGTTATTTTTGCTGTACTACAGTTACATGTGTGCATGCTGATTGGCTACATAGTACATACTGGCTGTTCTTGAGTTGTTTTTCCTTCGCTTGATAGTCCGCTGCTGCTCTATTGCCCAATCAACTTCTGTTCCACAATCTTCTCGTCTACGAATCGGGAACCAGTATTTAGCTTAGCCACTTTTGATCAGTCAGGTTTATGTTGCATATCGGCCTCAGAGTTGCCTCTTATGGTAATAGGTGAGATTCACGCTAAGGCTGATCTGCAGCTGATCATTGATTACACATCAACCGGACTCCTTCAAGCTGTAGTCGTCCCAGAAGCTTATTGTAGGATTTTCGATTCTGAATTACATGTAGTTCAAGAGATTCTTGCTGCATAACCACAGTACATTCTGGCCATATATTCGGGCGTTCCAACCGCCTCGATCTCGGCAACAGTCCTATCGGCAGTATCATCGCGACCAGACAACTTTTTAATCATCCTCACATGAGGCAGATGATCTATCATGCCTACTAATTTACTTCCATGGTGGCTTTTGGCGCCGGTAGCAATCATTATAGTGGCCTACTTGGTCTATCGAGCTGCCATGCCAACACCACTACCTGGCATTCCGTACAAGACGATCAGCGCGAGCAGACTATTTGGAGATCTACCGGATATGCTCAATTATATGACCAAAACCAAACAGACCGTCTCGTTCTTCGCTAGTCACTGTGTCGAGCTGAATTCCCCGGTTACCCAGATATTCATCAGGCCATTCCTCAGCAAACCTTGGGTAATCATCACAGATAGTCGCGAGTAAGTCAACCCAATCAGCTATTTCCGCGCACTCGTTGACATCGAGAACAGAGCACAGGACATTCTGCTTCGCCGCACTCGCGAGTTTGATCGGGGCGAGATTTTTGGCCATCCATTTAGGATCGTAGTACCCCACGCGGGAGCTGGACACCGCACTACGAGCCATTGGCGAGAGAGTAGACGACTGATGGCAGACACAATGTCTCCTGGTTTCCTGCGGAATGTGGCAGGTCCACACAACCACTCTGATGTGAGATCCGTTATACAGCTATGGAAAGCGAAGGGAGCTGCTGCTAAAGGTCGACCTTTCGACATAGCTTCGGACTTGGAGGAGGTTATGAATGATAGCATCTTTGCCGTTGCCTTTGGTGTCTCGCGTGGTGGCATAGACGCCAAATTGGAAGCACTATCCTACCCGCCTGCAAAAGAGATTGTACACGGTCATGAAATCATTGTCTTCCCAACAGCCACACGTTCTGCCGTGTACGAAGACATTGGCAAAGTCTTGGGTAGCCCAGAGATCGCACTGAAGTCTCCCTTTGGTGCATGGCATCTTGCATTTGCACTAAGATTTTACCCAAAACTTCGACTAGCTGTCAAGCGCAAGGATCGCTTCATACAGCAGATGCTTGACGAAGCATGGGAAAAGTTTAACCGACCCACAAGCTCTGAGACCGATGTCAAATCGGCGGCCGAATTCTTGATTGCTCGTGAAGTTGCACAATCCAGAAAAAGTGGTAGGAAGACACAATATGATAGCCCAATGGTGAAGGACGAGCTCTTCCTGTTCCTGTTCGCTGGCTTCGACACAGGACCTACAACCGTAAAATGGGGTACTTCTCTTGCATAGCTGCGAGTAGACGAGTTTGTAACTGATTATTCGCAGGCTTTAAATTTTTAACTAGACATCAAGAAGTCCAAGCTAAGCTAAGGCGTGCTTTACGTGAATCGTTGAAGGATGTTTGTGCGCAAGGTGAGCTGCCGACACTCGATGCTATACACAGCACGAAGATACCTTATCTGGATGCATTTTTGGAGGAGATGACACGATTGTCCCATACCTCCCTATCGAATGGGCGGATCACTACACAAGACGTTGAAGTTCTAGGATATTATATTCCTAAAGGTATTGAAGTGTGGCTGATGGTAAGCCGATACTCTTTTGTTATCTCCAATAATAGCTACTAATGCATATCCACAGAATGTGGGACCAAGCCAAACGGCTCCCCCCTTCGATATTTCAGACAGCAGGCGCAAAAGCGGTAGTGAATCAGAAGCACCGAAGTCGCCGTGGACTGAAACTTGGGATCCGCACAGCCTAGCCGAATTCATGCCTGAGAGGTGGCTTCGCACGAGGGAAGATGGTACTTCTGTGTTCGACCCACAAGCAGGTCCAAATCATGCTTTTGGGGTTGGTCCGAGAGGATGCTTCGGTGAGTAGCACTTCCAGACGCGGCAGTCGAATTTGTGGACATCATTACACTCGCTGATATTCCAAAAGGTCGAAGGCTCGCCATGCATACTATGAAGACACTTTTTGTGCTTGTGCTCTGGGAATTCGAGCTGCTACCGCTGCCTACCGAGTTAGACTCTTTTGCGCCGATAGACTTGCTCACACATCAGCCACTGATGAACTACGTTCGTCTGCGATCACATCCATTAGGATAACGACGAGATTTTGGCGTTAAAAGGTACGTGGAATGTGAACATCACAGAGGAATGTGACATATAGCGTGCGTAACTACAACTACAAGATCAATACATTTTGGAAATTATATAGATAATTCGACATGCATTATGGCTTATGCAGAAGGGTTTTCAAGGAAAAGGATTTGGTCTGTTGATAGTATTGATATATAATTCATAGACTCAATGCGCAATGAAGACACTCCAAGGTGTTGTACAAGTTCAGAGATCTAGCACATGTAGAGGCTGTTACAGGTATCCCACTCTATGATGTCCAGCCTATAACTTTGCAGGCATAGAAATCTATTGGTCACTATATTTCACACTAGAGATGACTCCAAATCTTTTCATATCACATCAAGCGCAAGGTTCAGCTCATGTTACTGTCGATTGATGTGGCATGCCCGTGACCTTCTCCGCACGTGATTTCGCGAACTCGTGTTTCGCGTCCGAAGGGCGGGTGCAAGTGGCTAACCCGATTATTTGGCCTTCAACACAACTCGCAGCAGTCAAGCACCACGACACCTATGCACCGCACTCGGTAACAAAACAAGACACACCATGGATGCGAAATTCAGTTCACACAAGCGGGTAAACTCGAATAGCAAAACGGTGTCGCCGCCTGCAGCGAAGCGGCGGCAGCAGTCCACTACCACCAGTGCGTCTGCCACTGCCCCGTACTGGCGTGATCTACTAACATCGATCAGGCAAGGCCATTGCAAGTTTCTTTACACCTGCATCGAAGAAAGAGCCAGAAAAAATGGTGTGGCGAGTGATCAAGGATAGCTTGCTTGTTGGGCGCTTTGGCGCAGCAGGAACTACAACAACGCAGGCAGCCACAGCAAGCAAGCGCAGAATAGCGGCTTTTGACCTCGACTCAACACTAATCAAGTCCGCTTCGGGAAAGACGTTCAGTCGCGATGCAAGCGACTGGAAATGGTGGGATAGTAGTGTGCCTGGAAGACTCAAGGACCTACATGCCGATGGCTACCTCATTGCAATCATCAGCAACCAGGGCGGGATCAGCCTGAAGCCTGACCCAAAAACCGTCAAGTCCGATCAAAAGCGCCTGTCCGACTTCAAAACAAAGGTGACGGCAGTGCTCAGCCAGCTTGATCTTCCAATTTCAATATATGCAGCGACGAGCCGGGATCAGTACCGTAAACCTAGGACGGGTATGTGGCAGGAACTATTGGAAGACTACGACCTAGAAAGACCTGGGGCAGTCGACTTGGACGGATCGGTATTTGTTGGGGATGCCGGCGGTCGTGAGGCTGTGCCTGGGGGTGTTTTGAAGGACCACGCCTGTTCAGACAGGTCCGTACATGCCCCACGCCGAGGGTTGCTAAATGTGGAGATTAACGGGCGTTCAGAGACTTCGCAGCTAATGTCGGCATACCGTTCCATACGCCAGAGGAGTACTTCCGGCACGAAGAGCCAAGACCGTTCATGCGAACTTTTGATCCAACCGTTTTCGTAAAGGGGCGGGGTGGAGACTCAACATCTGCACGTAAGTTTGATATTGATTGTTGCACTTGTAATATGATCGTCTAACTCTTGATCTTGATATTACTAGTAGCGTTCACGAAAGTGGGATCGCTAGAGATGGTCCTATTCTGCGGCAGCCCCGGTGCCGGGAAATCCTCGTTCTATTGGAAGCATCTGCAACCACTCGGATACGAACGAGTGAACCAAGATATTCTTAAAACTGTACGTTGCTGACTGGCCATTGCTCTGCACGAGCCGTGCGACCTGTATACATTTTTGAGTAACTTTGTTGGATCAGCGCGAAAAGTGCGTCAAGTCAGCTACTGCGCTGATCGAAGAGGGTACGAGTGTGGTTATCGGTACATTCATCCGGAACCCCAGATGCTCCCGTTTACGACACTAACAGAGCCAGATAATACCAATGCCGATCCAAACACTCGAGCCGTGTGGGTTGCATTAGCGCAGAAGCTCAAGGTACCTCTACGATGTGTGCTCTTTACAGCATCGCCTAAGCTATGTGAGCACAACGACACATTCCGAGCGTTAAACGTTGGGCCCGAAGTAAGTTGCATGGCGGCAATCCTTTCCGCCGCAGCTGGTGTGAACGACTTTTCCAGACTACTCGAGACTTGTGGAGGAACTATCCTAAAGAGGAAGCTAATGCGTGTGCGCATGAAGAGTGCACCAGTGCCATGAATACCTTTTGCTGTGGGAGAGTGTAGTCTAGAGAGGTATCCCTGCTGACGTTCATTTCCACATAGACGAACCGCGAATCTCGCACTATCCTACCCCATGTTGCCTTTAGTGGCTTCGCTTCACGATATCGCGAGCCCAAGCTGACGGAAGGATTTGTCGACATTATCAAGGTTGATTTTCAGGTATGTTCGATTCCATCTCGATAAACATGGCATGGGCTTCCTAGTCTATATTGGGGCAGCTGGGTATGCGGCTATAGAGGAAGACAAGGCAAGGCTGACCAAGACATGGATGCAGTTTGAAGGTTCAGACGAGCAAGGAAGACTGTGGAGCAAATACTGGATCTGATTTGTTGATGGGAATTGTCAAAGCGAACACGACCGAACTGCTACCCCACTCTACCAATATTGGAGATTACGACGCTGGCAGAGGGTGAAGAGATGTCAGCAAGTCGGACGCGTCGCGATTGGACCAGAGCGAAAATAGAGCTCGAGACTGTTTGCTGAGGGGCCGACATGGATCCCGGCGCGCGTTCGCAGCATTAGTCTATTCTATTTTCTTTTCTACGCCGTTTTTTTGGGGGAGAAAAAGCCGCTACGAAGAATGGAATTGGGTACTTTTTTTTCGCCTAGTGACGTTTGCTTGTTTCCATAGTTCACGTCAATGGTTTGAAGGTACGGGATACCTTTTTTTCTTGTTCGCACGCACAAGGATGGGGCTTGAGGGGCTCCGCGGACTGGGTGGATATGAGCATGAAGATGGGCCTGGTAATCATGCATGATATACACATCATGTATGTAGTTTTGCTTGCACACCGATGTCCCGAGTTTTGACAGGATTTGCGGTGGGCGTAGACAAGCGTTATCGATAGCAAAAGTACCCATGTTGTGTGGATTCAAGGCGCAGGGCATCGGGGCTCAACATACCGGTGGATTATGCTACGTTAGGCCAAGGAACGCATCCGGTCAACCCAACGGATCAGCGCCACTAGAGGGGTCTGGACATGGACGCTCGGACAGGCATTCGGAGTGTTTGTGTGCTTTTTTTCCCACTACTTTGCATTTTTTTTCATCAATCAGGGAAAATGATGTTATGTGCTGTAAGTATATGTATGCAGCGTATTGCATATGAGGAGGCAAAGGAGCAGTGCGAGGACGACACGTGGTCGAGTCTACCCTGACGTAAGCCACTTTCGATAATTGCAAAGATATTTCCGGGACCCTCTTGTGCAATATACAGTGCGAGGGCAGGCGAGTAGGAGAAAGAGGCCGTTAAGCCATGCATGCTGAGCGTTGAGCAGGAGTGGACGGGTTTGGCGCAAACGGTATTATCCCGCCCGCGTCTGCATGCTCTCCGTGCCGTCTGGTCTGGCCAGCGACCAGGCAAGAGAAAAGACCATCAAGCGAGCGGGGCGGCTGCCGACTTCAGACCGGGACCGACACTACGCGCACTTGTTTTCGCCCTTGTCGTCATGATGCGAGGACCCAGGAGCCCGTCACCGCGTTGCCGGCATGACATAAGGGGAATAGCGATTGCAAGCTCCATTATTTTTGTAAACTTCTTCTCTTTCATGTGTTGGATTCGTCGGGCTACTTCGACGCGGCAGAGACAAATTAGACCCGTACAAATTTTTTTTCCCTCCCTTCGGACAAAAGCTTTGTACTAGAGTAAGTAGTGAGCGGTATCCGGGGTATGGACAGGGGCCAGGCAAAAAGGTTGATGACGTTGCCGAAACCTTGGAAAGAAGCACGCACCGGGGAACCATAGCCTGGGGGTAAGGGGAGGGAGTGCTGGCGGTGAGGTATGAGGCTTGCAAGCACGCACGCGCGAACAAGGGGCGGTTGAAAGCAAGGCGCCGGGGAGCAGGAAAAGATACTTAGCGCGACAGGGGACTGGCGCCAATCACGAGTGGGTCAACGGTCTAGCGCGCACAAAGATGCTTCCCGATTTGGCGTAGAAGCATGGTCGGATGCTGGTTTTTTCTGCCGCTGGGCTCCAAGGCTGTCCCCAACCTCTCCTGGTGGCCCTGTAGGGCGCCTTTGGGACTTTGTCAGGTACAGACCGCCTACACCATGTGATTTCGAGACTCGTATCGTATCACGGTCAATGGCAATTGACTAGTTGACTCGTGAGGATGGATAAGGATAAGGGACGTTGTTTTGAAACACGAGGGCGAGTGTTGTGAGAGTGGCGCGATAACTTTGTTTTTAAGTAGATGGCGAGGCTCAGACGGCAGTTCAATGTTTGTTTGTTAGCACTCGACAACCCAAGACCCCTTGCTACGCTTCAGGAGTGGGCCAATCAATGCGTGGATGCAAAGACGGGACAGATGAAAAAAGAAAGAAAGCACGGGTGGGCTTCAAGATGAAGACGTGTGTAGATGTCATCATGGCTGCAGAGACGGCAAAGGGAAGAGCCAGTGCAAGTCCAAGGGCGGCAAAAGCATTTGCATTTGCATTTGCAGCATGGGAGTTGGCAAAGGCTACTGTAGTCTAGTGCAAGCAGGCGAGTCTGGGTGCATTGCCCCGATAGACGAGTCTGTCAAGTGGCAGCCATGGTTGCGCTCACAGCAGTCGAGTGGTAGACGGCGGATGACAAGCACGGTGGAGGGTGGTGGGTGTTGCACGGCACCACGGCGAGTACTGTGTAGAGTAGAGCAGCGCGCACAGGACGGCAGCGCACACAGACACAGCACAGGACAGCACAGGAGGACGCACTTTGCAGGGTGTGGCCTGGGCATGTGCATCTGCCCAACACCAGGCCACGGGTGCAAGGGCAGGCATGGAGTGGTCGAGGATGGGGACGAGGAGGTGTGCTTGAGCGGATGTTCCTGCATGTCTTACTCAGAAGCTTGGCTGGGATGAGAAGGTTGAGAGCTGAGGGCGGTGCCTGGGACCAGGGGATGCTTGAAGCGACGGCGGGCTGGGATGGAATGGAATGGAATGGTACTATCCAAGTCAAGTGGGTGTCACGGTCACGGTCATGGCCATGGCCACGGCCATGGTCTTGTGTACCGAAGCGGACGGGGCCCTTGTCGTCGAAACCGGCGTGGCTTTCACAGCTGCCGGCACCGGCTAACCCGACCCTCTCTAGCCAGTCTTCGGGGCGACGGTTTCTCGCTGGCCTTGGCGCGTGCAGTGCTGTGAAAGTGCAAGTGCAGGTGAAAGGAGCCTGCACGGGTCGTCACTGCCCTGTCAATGCCCATGATGCCTGTCCACGCACAAAGCCGCCTGTATATCCCATCCCATCCCACGCCTGCCACTATTGCCCACTGTCCACTGCCCGTCTCCCCTCGCTCTCCTGTTCGTCCACGCCACACTGCCAACTACTCAACCACTCGACCAACAATTCACCACTACCACAACAACAACAACAATAACAACAACAACCACCACCACCACCACCACCACCATCACCCCACAATATATACACAGACCGGACCGCATAGTCCCAGCCCCCCATCTGTTGTCTGCGCCCGTCGATTGTTGCTGCATCGAGCATCGCCTCTGCACCGCGGTACGTATGTTGGACCTATCCCAGCCCTGCGCACTCACGTGTTGTCCGCTTTGGGAGCCGCTTGCCCGCCCGCACGCGCTGACTTTGTCGCTGCAGCATCACCACGCCTAGGCTGTACATACGTGGTCGGCTTCGTGGCACCCTCCCAGGCTCTCTCCAAACACTGCTCGACCGCCTCTCCACCACCCCCAACCCCAAGCCTGCCCATTGACTGCGTTGTGCTGGCCGCTCTCTGCCTGCGCACAGTCTCGGTCGCTTGTCTCTTTTAAGCTGGGGATGGGATCCCAGCATCCGGCGCGCAAATTCCACATCACGCCCCGACCGCCAACCCAAACTGCCGCTCCTACCATCCTCCCACCGCCATCATGCACGACCTTAAGCCGCTCATCTTCCCTCACATGCCCGCCGTTCGCAAATCTTCAAAGGGCTCGTTAATCATGTACGACGATCCAACTCTGTCCGTTTGTTCCAATGCAGACTCTGGCTTCTACTCTGCATCCGAGTGTTCGACGCCGCCCACGCCAAGCCAGTACATCCGTGGTCACTTCCGCTTTCCCAGCTCGGCTTCGTCATTGTCGTCGAGCCCGCCAACCTACGACCTGGCCGACGCTCCCAATGGCTCAGGAAAGCTGCCCAAACTGACAGAGGAACCCTTTGAGCGCGAGTACGACTTCGTTGACCACGACGTCTATCGCTGCTCTTGTGAGTTTGACTTGCAAACGTGTTGCCTTTGCGGTGCTGATCCAAACTCAGGCGACACCCAAGGTTCCTATGGCCATGCACAGCACTGCAGGATATCTAGGGCATATGACCCCCAGGACGAGTACTTCACCACTGCCGACTCTGGACTACAATCGGCAAGGCGAAGACGGTCATTGGAAGCCTCTGCCCACAGCATTGCTGGCAAGATTGAGAAGCGCTTCCCTTCGCTGTCGCGCAGAGTGCGCGACCGCACCTCGAACCTCAGCAGGGTATCGCGCAGCACAACGCCCTCACGAGTGCCCTCGACACGCTCCTCGTCGCTCGCTGGCTCCCTTTACCAGGCGTCGACTGTCGACCTCGCAACCGAATACTCGCCGCCCACCTCCAACCCTGCTTTGATCAGCAGAGAGCAAGTAAACGAGGATTTTCCTACGCCACTTGCCATCGACATTGACAGGGCCAATGCCATGGATATTGACTTTGACCCCGAGGAGGTAGAACGAGAACGATATGCCGCTACGCCACTCTTACCCCCCATGCTGGTACACTCTCGGACCGAAGACGTGCCGGCTTCATCGCCTTTGCAGTCACCAGCAGTTGCTGACGCGACTCAGTCAGTGGGTCTAGCTTATGCTGCCACCCCTCCAACGCGCACCTACCCTACACCCCCTCTGTCCTCGAAGCCCTCCTACGCCTCCATGCGAGGACCAAACGCAGGGTTTGCCGTGGCATCGGCCGATATCCCTCCCCTGATGCTCGCCAGCCCTGACGACAGATGGGCCAACATCTTGGGCCACGCCAATTTCACCATCCTCCCTGAGCCATACATTCCCGAAGTGTGCGACTCTGCATCTATCGAAGAGCACCTAGCCGAGTGGGCCCAAGCGCGGCGCAATTATGCAAAGCACCAAGTGCGCACCGCCGAGCATTATGGAGTGACATCGAAGCACTATCTTCTCACCGAACAAAAATGGACTGAAATCGACGCCGAATGGAAGAGGAACCATGATATGGCCAAGGCGCACGCGGCTGCCCTTGGCGAAGAGCTTGCGCCGTACTCTCCCACGGAGCCAGGGCCCCTCAGTAAGATGCCTACGCTCCACGACCCGAAGAGCGAGGGTAAATTCCCCAATCTCGGTGACGAGGACATTGTCGGTCCCATGCAACAAGCCGCCGCACTAATTCCGACCAACCCTTCACGTAAGCGCGCCTTTTTCAGGTTATTCAGCGACCTGCGGTTCCCTAGTTCGTTCCTAGCCCGTTCCTCGAATGGCACCCGAGGATATTAGAACGATAATCCGACAGAGGACAACCACCCTCTCTGTCGTCGTCGCGCGCGATCAACGTTTTCTGTTTGATCGCGTGCGACTGTACATTACTGGCCTTCTTGCGCCTGACAGGTGCAAGAGGGCTGATTTACGAAAGTACGAGTGAATGACCCAAAACATATTGGCGCTTTTTATTTTGCGCCACGACGACACGACTCATCAGAGCAACGAATTTCCTTTGTTTAAACAATTATTAGAGGCGTACTGCGCTCCCCTTCAATGGGGCAGTTTTTTGTGTTTGTTTGTTTGTTTGTTGGGCGGGTTGAGAAAAAAAAAGCGATGCATGTGCCTGCGTTGGGCGAAAAGCGAGCACCGTCATCACGCTGTGGCTCCACGCAGCGATGGCTCTTCAGCTAATCTCATTGTTCATCTAATTTTTTTTCCTTGTGCTCACATGCGGAGCACAATTGCTGTCTGTTTCGGCGGCTACACCTTTGACTCGTCCCTGTCCGGGGGGACTCGAGAGGGAGGGCAAGCGCAGTCGCGGGTCTTTGTTACCCTTTTTGGTTGGATGGAAAAAGTAATGGGGACTTGTTGGGGACACATGTTCCAATCAGTATTGATAAGTTCTAATAGACCCATTGGGGAAGCGCGGATTTTGTTGTTGTACACCTTTTTTTGAACTAGGGTATTTTATTGGCATGTAGTACAGCGCTTGTGAAAGTTGGCGAGTCCTCTCTTCCCTCGAGGACGAAGCCCCGAAGCGCCAAATGAAACTTGGTAGCCACGTACACACGGACCCTGACAGAGAGCCTTTTGCCTGCATCGTGACTACACGTCGTTTCCTAATCGACTGGCTGTGATGCGTCGCCCTTGAGTATTTGTTGAGCAAACAGTTGGGAGGGCAAACGAGCGCTTGCCGGCAGCTTCTCATTGCACCATCTGCACACATGATGGCAACGCCCACATGTCCGCCCTCTTTTTTTTCTCTCTTTCTCTTCTGCCTTACCATGTACCCTCTCCCACCATCAATCACACCACCGTATTCCCCCCCCCCCCCCTCTCCTTTTTGCTCGTACAAAGAAAACCCAAAAAAACCCAAAAAAACCCAGCTTTCACAACCTAACGTATGTGAGCCCAATCCCAATCGGCCTGCAATGCACACGCATGACGGACGACGCTACATGCCACCCAGTTTTTTTTTCCACTTGCACTTGATGTACCCCACACTCACATGCTCGCAACGAAAACATGCTCCGTCTCAAACCCGAAAACATATGAACCTTTGTACATGACACTGTTAAATGCATCTCTGTACTAAAGCGAATACCTTCCCCCCACCCAAACTTGGGTCCACGCCTCGTGTCTCAAGCTGTTGCTGCTGCTGCGTGGCACTTGTATATCTGATAAATTCACCAGGTCTAGCCCGGCCGTGTATGTAACTCTCTGTTTCCTCTGTTTCTCACTGTCTGCTGGCTACGTACCACGACCGGTGGTGGTGCTGGTGGGGGTAAGGGATAAGCGGGGAAGAGGGCAAGTGTACTGTACTGTAAGAGGCTGCATGTGTACGACGATGGATGGGTAGTGCAAACATGGGGAAGCCGAAGCGATGGTGGTGGGTAGGGAGAGGATTAGATGGTCGTGTTGGGGGTGGGGGAGGAGACACTGCTGGACGTGTGTATCGTCGAGTATGTGTATGTGTATATTGCAAGGAAGCGATGGGAGGTTTGGTGGTGACGTGAGTGCAGCATTTGACCGAGTGGTGACTGTGTCTTTCTTTGCCATCTGACAGCTACGACCAACTATGTGCACTGCCCTGCTTATGTTGTGATACCTTAAAAGGCGACGCCCTGGTTTACATGGTCTTGACTGTGGTGGGGTTATTTTTCGATCCGAGATGAAGGGCCTATATGCAGGTCTGATGACGAATAGCTTTTTTGTGGCGAGATTTACCTGAGACATTTGTTGCATACGTATACGCATGCGCCCGTGAATGTGGGAAAAGAGATGAGTCTCGGGACTTTGTGCATATGGACGTCATGTCTGTCGTTCTATCTTTGGGCGGGGCTGGGGGCGAGCTGCATGTCTGGGCATGCATGCAATGCATACTAGACTTAGGTGCATGGTGGCAAAAAGAAGAGAAGAGAGGGGGAGGCACAGTTTCATATTTATGGAAGGGTGCGTAATCATTTGATATTTTTCGTGTGAGGACATAGAAAGCAGCAGTGATGGAGGTGAGTGTTTGCTAATAGCTTACACTACTCCCTCCCCCACACTATCTTTTTGCTCACTGCACCTCAAACATGACAAGCGACACAAATGTGGTTGAACGAAGAACCCCTCTCCCCCCATGCACTAAGCTGCGGTTAAAAAACTACCAAACTACGGCTCGTGCCGCATCGCATGGCAGCGCATTGCATTGCATTCTCACCCGCAGCCGTAGCCGTAGCCGTAGTAGCAAAGTTAGCCCTTTTGGCCCCAACAGATCGCATCTTGCACTTCACTTCTGACACGCACACAGCCGAAGCAGTATCACTTTGCCTAGTCACATAACCCTCCCCCTCCCCATCTGACACCTGACCATTCACCCCGCCTTGCCACCCTCCTCCATACCACATTCCAATACTCAACCGCTTGCAAGAAGCACATGCCACGTCGTTGTTGGTAAAGCTTCGTCTCTGCTAAACAGTCTAAAAACAGAATGAGGTGCTGGGGGTTATACGTCATTGTCATCAGCATCTTCTGCGGGTTTTGTCTCTTTCCTCTTTCTCACTCTGACTTCGGTTATGCTTCTGGAAAACACAGCATTCAGCCCTCGTCTCACCCCTTCTCTTACATAGCTAAACTCACATACGCTCCGTACTATACACTCCCTCTCTAGCGCACTGCACTACCAACCCACGTAGTGTAAAACACTCTATCTCCCTTCCCCCCACCATGTACCCTATTTCGGTTCCAGCGCCCTGGAATACGGTCCTGGGCTTTTTCTTGCTTCGCATACACAGCGCCGTGCATGCAAAAGCCACCTTTTGTTTTTTACCGATCCGATTTCTAGGCGCTTGTAAATGTCATGCTTCTGAGCTTTTCCCCACTCTGCTTCTTGCACGTGCAGACAGTGCAGGTGGTAGGTTTACGGATGCGCGTATGTGGGTGGGTGGATACTGTGTGACGTTGCTGAAACCTGTTGGCTTGGGGAAAGGAAGAAGGGGGACATGGCGGTTATATAGGGGAGATTGTAGAGAGGTTTTGCCGGGGGGAGGGGACGGGCGAGTCGAAGTTGTAGAGTTGATTGAGTGAAGATAGTGAAGAGTAGAGATGTTTTTCTTTCTAAAGTTTCGATGATGATAGTATTCTCATTGGGATCGTGATATACTACGCTGCTACGCTTACTGGAAGCAAAACCATTATCCTAACCAACTAAAGATAGCTCTTCCATAACATAACCCTGCTTCCCATCTCAATCATTCATCTTCTATATCAACCAGCGAATCCACCTCCACACCAGATTTCAGTGGAACCATCTTCTCAAGAAGCCGCTCAAAAGCCTATCCTGACGCGTATCGATCCAGTACCGTAGTTGAGTAGCATTGCATTCCACAGGTGCAGTATCAGACCCCGATATCGCATCCATCACCCTCAACATCCCATACAATACTGCATCAGAGGCAGCATCTCTCTCCCGTCCATAACAATCGATACACGATACCATTGTCCCAGCCTGACAAAGGAGCTCCACAATATCCTCAAAGTCATGGAGAATCGCTCGCTCGATCGGCGGATAATTATCGATACCCAAAATATTCACATCAGCACCGCACCTAATGAGCGCTTCAGCGCTTACATACGATCCCAAATCTACAGCGCGATACAAAGGCATAAAACCCATGTTTTTGCCCGCCTCAAGATCCGCACCATAGGCACATAGACACGAAATGATATCCCCAACCTTGCGCTTGTCGGTGAAGTAAATGACGTTGTGAAGGGGGGCAAGACCATGATAATCAGCCGTTCGGGCGTCAGCTTCCACTTCTAAAAACGCCTTGATGCATCCCAGCGAGCCACCTTGAACAGCATAGTGCAGCGCGGTTCGGCCTGATGAATCCCTTGCTTCGATTTTAGCGCCGCGCGAGAGTAGTATGTTGGTATGAGCGGAATTACTAATGCGAGATGCCCACATTAGAGGTGTTGCGCCTAGCCAGTCTCGATCCTCGATTCGTAAAGGGTTGAGATTGACTTGCGATTCGAGATCCATAGTGGATAATCCACCTATTATGCGATGGAGGGAGCTGAGGTGGAGACCGTAAGAATCTTTTGACCCGATGGGGTCGCGTAGTTTGGCTACACCGGCATCGTTGTTGCGGCTTAGAAGGATTTGATTCCATGCTGCATCGGATGCTGATCTATGCGTCTTTCTTAGTTAAATATCATACCAAGCCAGGACCAGTAGCTCCCTGTACCTTCCCAATCTATATTTTGAAATGCCAATCTACTCCCATGGCTGTGAATAAGGAGCAGATTTCGAGTTCCCAATGATGCTCTGCTAACTGCGCTAGGTATTAGTGAGTGACGTTAATTATTGTCGAAGACTACTATTCAGTCCCCCTTAGATGGAAGATAGAACCTCCATCCGGCCCAATATCGTACGGCGAGATCTCCCGATTTTCCAAAAGTCTCTTGATCATATCTATATCTCCTTGAAGGACATACTGCTAAACGGGGTCATCGTATGATATCTCCCTCGGCACTTTGACGACCCATGAAGAATTTTTGCCTTTGAGATTGCTCCATGTGGAGAACATGAAGGCAGTGCGCAGCATCCAAGTAGGGAATTAGTATGTTATTCTAGACGACGATGAAGGGTGAGATCGCAAGCAAGATGGAACATTGCATGGCCGAACGTCCAGCGAGGGCGTGTTTGTATAAGAGTAGAATAGCGTACCGATAGTCGCCGAAAGCCATTGTGGAGTCTGATATTGGGTTCGGACGTGTCATTGGCAATTGCAAATCCATTCACATGCTTCTGTAGGTAAGTCGATTGTCGTGCGAAGTTGAGTCGATGGTGCGTTGTCGTACACTGACTGTACAAGAATGGATCTGATGTTCTCCTGTAGAGATTGGTAGTCTTCTAAGCCATTTTCTTCATGAATGCTGACTGATTTTAGTTGGTCAGATATGCAGTCTAGCGAGGCGGAAGTCTCAGCATGGTTTTTGCTGTGCACAATTGCAACCTCCTCGATCCTTGACAATAACTCCCGGTTCCAGCGACTACGAAATGGTTAGCTCTCACCATGCTCGTAAACATTAGGCGCCAGGTAAAAATTAACTTCCAGGTTTACTGAAAGGAGAACCAATTGCAAGTTCCGATGCGCATCTGAAATCTTTTCTCGGATATCTGCCAACTCATTCTTTCGTCGTGTATTCAGCCCAAGGCGAGGTAGGCCCTTTCCATTCCTCGACAAATCTGCATGTGTAAACTAAGTCAATTGATTCAAGTACTTTTCTAGTTTCGCAATTGTTTCGGGTAAGGTCCCATAGGCCAGCCTTGCCGCCGGTGTCTTGCTACTTCTCAACGCATCATCTGCATCACGCACTACGGTTAGAGTCATTTGTAGATCCGTTAACTATGGCTGTTAGATGTATTAGTTTGAGGGATCAAATACTGCATACAGTATTCAAGACTGCAATGAGTTCAGCTTGAGGATCCATGCGAGATTTCGTGTGGTCCAGATGCTGTATAATCGATCCTGCGACCGTGATCAGGGTCACGATACTTGCAGTCACTGAGAGCAGATCTATGGTAGGCAGCAGTCGGAGGACTGAAACAGCAGATTGTTGGAGAATGCTCTCTTTGATAGATAAGTGCTTGTTTTGTTGCTATGGGGGCGGAGCAGAAGGAAAGTGGGCACGAAGGCTGAGCAGGAGAACAGCCCAATCGAGGGTCCCTTCCATGTCTGCCTAATTTCAATACGGCGTAGCAGGAAATCACTCAAGTGTAAGAAAAATACATCAGTGCATCGTTGCAAGGTAGGAATATATGCTGAGTACTTATTCAAGAATAGACACTACCGTTCTCTAAGCCTATAACCACACGAGACGGTTTCCAATCATGCTCCTAGGACCTACTACGTACATTGCCCATCCATCTTGCTCCCCGTACTTCCATCTCAAACTCACCCGACCCTAAGCGGACATCCCGTGTTATTAAACGCGGGATTCAGCTTCGAGGTTGCAAAATTCAAGACCGCACCCGCAATATCAGTCACAGCACCGAACATACCAGGCACCGAGCTAACGGCCAACTGGTACAGCAAACACAACACATCCTTCACCGTCACCTCATCCGGTAGCTTTCCATCGCGGATGATACCAAATGGCGTGCTAAGGGCGTTGAAATTGCTAATACCGACATTTCCACCAAACAGCTTGGGGTATTGAAGATACATGGCCAGGATCTCGGTAGCGGCTTCAGTAACTGTGTATGGCTCGACGCGCGAAAACCAGTTTTCGGGGATACGCTCGGGAACATGACGCCAGCCTCCTGGCGCAGAAGGGTCCTCGACGGCACCAAAGAAAGTCTTCATCGTCTCGAGATCAGGAGTGCCTTTGTTACCGTAGCTGGGGAAGAGTTCGTAAAGGAAGGCTGCGGCTCCGTAGAGGATTATTGCCAAGGGACTGAAAAGGAAGTTTGGGTTCTGTAATATGTCAGTGATGCGTGTTTCATAGAGAGATGTTAAGCGGAGACTTACGTTGGATACAGAATCGTCGTATCGGTTACTACGGTATTTGGCAAGAGCATTGCGATCGAATTTTCCGCCAGAAACTTCATCGGCAACCTTCTTCATCTGTGCAAACAGCGTACCGTTAAAACTGTAGTTGTCGCCAACTGCAAGAAAGTAGTCGTTGCGCGTAAGTGACGAATCAGCCTCGAACTTGCTGTGTGCATTGAGACCGGGCTGGCGGGCAAAAGCAGGAAAGAGGGCTGTGCGCGATGTAGCATCGCATGCGATACTCAAGCGGCCAGTAATGAAATCGCCGCCAGCTTGCATGCCCAGGACGGTATGAACGACGGATAAATCATAGCCGACGTTGAAGACGTTTTGCTGAGCGTCGACAAGCTCTTGGAAGTTAGTGATTCCATCGTGAGAAATAAAATTATGCTGGAGCAATGTTAGTCTGCGTTTAAACTAAGAAAGCTGTGTCAATAGTTGCTTACGTTTGCGAGTGCATTCAAACCGGGACATGGACCACGAATATCATTGGGTCCAGGAGGGGTATAAGCATGGGCAGTATCGCCGTCTGCTGGAACTTTGATACCGCCTCTCTGGTTACCAGGAGCGCCATTCTTTGCTCCTGTGTAGGTGTAAGGCTCTGTGTATGGAGCAGCGCCCTTGTGATGAGGATTGAAACGACAGTTTTCCTGGCGCTTTTCGACCGGATGAGCGTTCCTGAAGATGCTGGGGTTCACACCAGGCTGATTCCCTATCCAGGGAAAGGCAACAGTAGAAGTGACATGGATGGAGAGGAGAAGCGGAAGTATATACATTATGGATAGGCGGTCGCCACCAAGGCCAAGTACCTATCTGGTTTGTGTCTTTGGAACCTTTTCTCTGACTCGATTTCAAATGACAGATGGAGTTACTAGGGCTGTTTTGATGGGTAAATTGCTATGCTATATGCTATGAGTGCCAATTAAACTGGGTCGAACGGAGGAGACGGTTTAGTTCTAGTCAGGACCGCTTACCTAACAAGAGTGCGGAACGAAATTTCTGTTCAATTAATACACTTTAGAATGAAGTTTTGGTGGTGTGTAGTGGTGGCAGGGACCAGGTGTTCCCACAACCTATATCAGGGCTATATAAGACCGCTTTTGATACACCACAAAACTGACTTGGGTAGCAATCGTGGCCACATACACACACCCTTCTAATCAAGTGAATCTCAATGGCAGAGCCGGTCCTGAATTATCCGAAGTCTAGCCGGATCTACGCCCCTTAATAGGCCTACACCACAAAACGGAAATAAAAATGCAAATCCAAACGGGATTTTGGAAGACAATCAGAAATGCAGCAAAGATCAGGACAGCATAATGATCACGACACCAGGGCAGCAACCCCTCAATGTCAGCCACGTGCTTGCTTGAGAATCATACACCACGAACTATAGTTCATGATAACCGAGCACGGTTGATCGTTGCGAGCAATAACTCTCATCTGTTTAGTGTTGTTATTAGAATTACTAGCCAACACATTCCATCTCCATGGTCAACAAGCTGGATATTCCAGAACATTGGTCAGCCATTCAGTTCATGTGAGCGGGTCACTGCGGATTACGGGAAGTGGAGTCAGGAAATTCTAGGTGGTGGGTTTACTCTTGCATCTTAATGTGGAGCCCTCCAAGCACTGCACACTAAATACAGTACTGGCGGTGAACACGTCTACAGAAAATGGTGACTCAAATGTGCATATATTCAACAAAGCCAAGACGTCCAGAGCGAAACAATGTTTACTGATTTCTTTCGGGCGACGCGCTAGTCTAGCTACATGATTGATGTACAGAGCGCGACGGGAAAAGGAAGCCAGTCATACGGATGGTATCAAGCGCCAGCAAAACGGATGCCGACTCAAGTACGCCGCGCACGCCGATTAGGATGATAAAAATATAGAAGCGATGTACGAATGTGATATCACAGGTCTCGTTGAAAGGATACGTCGAAGATGCCAAGGAACTTATTTGTTAACCTGAGATTCGCGCTTGACAACGGGGTTCTCGCCAGGCTTGAACTTGCTGTCGGACGGGAGAGGCTCGCTGGGTTTATCTGCAAATATCTCATTTAGTCTGATCCCGAATGCAAAGAGGTTCGCGCAAGCTTCTTCGTTAGGGGTAGACTCACCATGTCGTGCGTAGAGGTGATGCTCCTCATCGGCATATTTGCCTACGGCACCGCTCTCGACCTCTTTACGAGTGAGAGAAAGCTTGCTCTTGGGAAGACCCATGGAGCCGAGGAAAGTGACACCATTGTTCCACTCAACTTCCTTGCGCTTGTTGTCCCACTTCAGCTCCTCGCCCATAATATCAATGACCTTGGGAAGGGCCTCCAGAGCGGCTTGGGCGTTCAGGAAGGCAAGACGCATGCGGCGGGCAATTACGTCAGTGGCAGTCTGAGCGTACTCGTGGCGGACGCAGTAGCGAACCTCACCATCAATGTACGGATAAAGCTCGGACATCTTGATTCCACGGACAGGGAATCGCTGCTCAGTGGGCGCTGAGAGAGATGCAACGGTCCAGGCACGGTCACCATAGGCCTGGCACAAGTACTTGGCTACATCGGTCTCGATGCCGTAGTGCTGGATCAAGTTGATGAAGAGAGTCTTGGAGAAACCGTGAGCACCAACGAGGCGGACACGGTGGGTCTGGCAGGTACCATCGAGAGGAGCCTCGTCCTTGACCTGGGTTCCGCTGATAAGAGTGGGATTGTCCAATGGCTTTGTTGCCAGGCCGAATTCCTTGATCGCCTCGTCGACGGTCTCCTCGGCCATCTGGCGGTAAGTCGTCCACTTTCCACCCGAGCAAGTCAACAGGCCAGAGGGAGAGGTGGTGACCAAGTGGTTGCGGACAAGGCCTTCAGTCGCACTCGCCTTGGGGTCGCGGACCAAAGGACGGATACCAGACCAAGCAGCAAGGACATCACCACGGCGAACGTTGATTTCAGGCTGTAGGTAACGCTTGACCTCGTTGAGAATCCAGTCAATCTCTTCTTCACCAGCAATGGGGTTCTGCTTGATATCACAAGCAGTGTCTGTGGTACCGGCAATCGTATTGCCTTGCCATGGCAAGAAGAAGACGACACGGCCATCAGAAGTGTTGGGGTCAATGAGACCCATGTTTGCAGGGCTGTAGTAACCAGGGAGAATGACGTGGACACCAGAGCTGGGAGCAACGATTTCTGGCACCTCCTGGTCGTCCATTTTGCGGATAGAATCAGTGAAAGGACCAGTGGCGTTGATCACACCCTTGGCCTTGATAGAGAACTCTTGAGGTTTCTTACCATTGCTCTCCTCAATGAGATCCTTTGCTTTTGCACCGCACAGACGGCCATTGGCATCTTTCTCAAGGCCAGTAACTTCGAGATGGTTGACAACAGTAGCGCCATAAAGTGCTGCAGTCATAGCAAGCGAGACGTTCATGCGGGAATCGTTGTGTGCACCATCTGCTCATGTCAGAGATGAATTTCAAAATCTGCGGCTGAATAACTTACCGTAGTATACCAGAGCCCCGATAAGGCCCTCCTTCTTTAGCATAGGGAATACGTCCAAGGCCTTGCTCTTTGTCATGTAGTAGGAAGACTCAATGTTCTCTGATCCAGCGAGGAAATCATAGAACTTGGTGCCAGCCCAGAAGTAAGGCGCTTGCCACCACTTCTGGATGGGAATCATGATAGGGAGCCATTGTGAGAGATGGGGTGCTGTATCCAAGAAGTAACGACGTTCGCGGAGAGCTTCGACAACAAGCGCGTATCTGGGGTCGGGTTAGTAAAGAATATGGCAGAAATCGCCACAGCACTCACTGGTTGTAGTCGAGATTCCAAACGGCCTTTTCAAGATATCGTACACCGCCGTGTACCAGTTTGGTACTTTTACTGCTCGTACCACTGCTAAAGTCGTCACGCTCGACGAGCGCAACCTTGAGGCCTCTTGTAACGGCGTCAAGAGCAATACCTGCTCCTGTTGCGCCACCGCCGATAATCAGGAGGTCGTATGGGTCCTCCTCCACTTTCTCAGGCGTTGAGCTACCACCGATCCATCTCCTTGCCTTCTCAGCAACCTGCGAGACGACACCAGCGCTGCGCTTCAGCTGTGCAATCTGTTCGTCGCGGCTTTTGGCACTGGGAAATTGTGGTGGGCGGAAAATGCCTCCCTCACCGTAGGTGGGTGGAGGAACTGCGGCGGCTTCGCTGCCGGGGATATCGCGAGGTCTGAGGCTGACATAGAGGGCTCCCGCGCCCACTGCTCCAGCTCCCGCTGTGTAGAGTAATGGCTTGATAAAACGGCTTCCTCGTCGGGCAGCCATGGTGATGATGTGTAGACGGATCCAAGTGTCTCTGGAGGCGTAACCGCTCCAGGCGCTGTTGGAGTATTATACAAATGTGTGTTCAAAAAATAATACTAGTAAGACGTGCTGAGGCTCAAGCCTTCACATATCTGAAAGTCTAGTTAGCGGCCGCGCAGCGGAATCGGAGAGATTGGCATCGAATTGTCGGCCTACCTCGGGAAGTGTTTAGAATTGCATGGTGAGCATGGAGTTGATGGATTGATATTTTTCCGGGGGAGGATCTGTCGTGGAGGAAAGGTGGCAGACAGGAACAGTGGAGCTTCAAAAGTCTGAAGCGCATCCGCCGCTTGGGATGACGAAAGCGTGGGTTCGCGTCAGGTTGCGCTCCACCTCGGGAATAGCGGGACAGTCGACGCTGGAGCTGGAGACTGCACGTGCAGCCTCTCTGCCGCTGAAGCGCCGCAGCAGAGCAGCCCGCTTATTGCCTGTGCTTCTGCATGTGCCCTACACCTGTAGTATACAAATATACATTCACGTGAACTGGCCGTATTTCGGCAATGGTTGTGCAGCCTCTCAGGCATTCAGTGACATTGAAGTGGCGGATGCAAACAGAATAGGAAGCTCTTCCGACACTCCCCCCTCAATCGCGGTTTAGGTGGAGTAACCAACCGGAAGCGGCACACCCCCACGGAGACTCGCCAAGCACAGTGGATCGCAGAGCCTCATGATGATCTCATGTCCTGTGGATTCGTGTATCGAATGGTGCTGCCAGCATTGATTCATGTTGAATATCTCGGCGGCGATCTTTCTTGTCGGCGCCCAATCCTTTCCACATATGACCGTATACCCACAAAATCAACCAACAGCCAGCCATGCCGCCGTCGTTCCGCCCTCCCCTAGAGAAGACCCAAGCTTCTCACTCCCCCGTACCAGTACCCAACAGAAAAAATATGACAACAACCAGACCACACCTAGCCAAGCCCCCTTTCTCAAATCCGTGCTACCCACAGCAAAAGTACAATGTCCAATGCCACCACCGCACCCGTGATGCTCAGCACCGCTCCCTGATGCACCCATCCTAACCGCTCCCTACGTGTTTGCATGCTGATCACAGCGACAACACATAAGACAAGCGAACAAATAGTACCAATCATAACGCCAGCATCCACAACGCCTCGCTCCTTCTTCCGGCTCGTCACCGTCATCAGACACAAGATGAGGTCCAACACCACAGCCGCACCCAGAGCTGTCGAGTAAAACCGCAGTTTGGTCATTTCAACCTTGTGTTGATTACTCTCAACCTCGCCTAGTAATGTGCGCCGCTCGTTGAAAATGTCTGCGTCGCGGTGGGGGTCACGTAGGGACCGGAACAGATTACTGAAATAGCCCTTCCCCTCTGTACTCTGCCTGCTGGAATCAATTGCTCCGTAATTTGCTGCGTGGATAATGGGCGATGAATCGATTGTATCATTGTCATCATCCGAATCTTCAATGCCAGAGAGGGATGCCTCTTCAGGTTCCTCTTGTATCCCAAACAGCCTTCTTGTTTTCCTCGCACATGCCTCAAAGAACTCTTGTCCCGGAAACTTCACAGACGCATCTGGGTCGATATAGATATAATAGCTCCCTTCTTCGTCTTCCGGATGGTCGTATTCGTTCCAGTATCGTGGCCGTGCCTCTGCCTCAGACTCTCCCCGTATCATCGGGGGAGGATAGTCGGAATAGGGCTTGCGACTCTTCTTTCTAAATGCCTGCAGTGGCGGTGGGTCGACAAACTCATGTACCGATGTTGCAGAAGACTCCTCGTAACGTGACGCAAGCGGGCTAGACTGACCGTCATACGAAGTGTTGGATGTGGATGTGGCTGTAGGAGACATCTGCGATACCGAAGCACTGGCACTACCTCTAGCTTTACGGCTCCGTCGTTGGGCGGGCTCTGGTAATTTGCGAATATCCTTGTCCAAGAGGGAAATCCAGAATGGCGCAGACATGGCGCCTGGCTTGCAGGAAGCCCACACAGCATGTGCTTCCAAAGAGAATCCTCGGACACGCTCAGCCTGTGTTTGTTAGTGGATAAATCGGAAGAAGAAATCAGAGTTTGACATACCAAATGACTTCGGTCAAGCATCTGGATGAGAGACGTAGCCTGGTTGCCCTCACGGCGAATCTCTAAGATGGCATGAGGAAACCGCTTGCTCGACTCTGATTTGGCTGCTGCAGTCCAGTCATCGCCGCCAAGGTCATCAAACAGCTGGTCTGTCAAAGAGATGTCCTTGTCTAAAGTTGCCCAAATACCTCCGGCAGAATTGTTGTGAAGTCCAGTAAACCGGGTTCGCTTCAAGAGTGCACCAGCAATGGGCTTTGCCGATGGGTGTTCAACAAGCCATTGTCGAACAGTCAAGACATTCTCCCCTGGGTTACAAGAATGTTTAATAGTGTCATCAGTTACAGATGTATCCAAGAAGTTTTTCAGATATCTGAGTTCCATCTTTACTGTCTTGACACTGGATGGTGTTGCGTGTTGCGCATCGCCTTCGTCACAAATAACAACCGCCGCTTGACTTGAAGCACAGCACCGCACCTGTCCCGCTGCCTTGATTCCAATGCTCCCTTGCATCTCTTCAGCCGCGCCTATTGTGCTTGCGTTTTGCTTGAATGCAAACGTCTCGGGGTGATCAAGAACAACAAGTCCAGTTGTATCTTCGCTGCCAACATAAGGGTCTATGTTGGCTGTGGACGAGTGGCGGCGAAGTGGTGTTGGTCTAGAAGATGAATTACGCCTTGCTTTGTTGATGTAAAGTCGCATGTGTTGAAGAAGCAATACCTGGGCCTCAACAATGTGATCCGGATGTATCCAATATGTTGCTTTGTTTCCTTTGGAGCCCAAGGGCACTGTGTCCAGTGCTAGGTCAAAGTCCACGTCATCTCCTTTCTCCAGACTTCTTGATATGCGCGCAGCCGGCGACTGACCACTAACACTGATAGCGTTGGCCGCTGATGTACCCTCGACATCGAAAGCCGAACGGAGCGTGTCGAGTGCGTCAATGAACTGGTCCAATAGGTAGCCCAGGTCTAGCTGAAAAAGGCTGTCCGGGCGGCTGCTGATCTCTTGCTTGAAAACATAGGCAAGCTCTCCATCTTTAGTCCAGCGCTTGTACTTCTTCAGGATCTTGACGAAGCCAGTTCGTTGGGTGACTTGGAAGCGGGATAGCGACCTGATTTCCTCGCCGGTCCTGTATTTATGTGTGTCAGCGGGGTGGCCGTGGATACGCGTGCGCGAGCGAGTGCGTTTATCGCGTACCTCAGGACATCTGCTTCGATCTTCGCATATCTCTCCACGGTACGAGCGGGGAGGCGCCCGCTTGCCGGATCACGTTTCGCGCGTAGTTGCTGTAGGGTCTTGCTGATGTGCTCTAGCCGCCGCTCGATCTCGCCGCTCTTGCTTCGTATGAATAGGTTGATACGATCATGTTGTTCCGCGAGGACCTTGAAGAAGGTGTCGCCAAAGGCCCGCTCTGTGCTCTCGCCCTGGCCGGGTATGGAGACGGCCCTGTTCGTGCCAGGCGTGGTCTGGTGCTTGATAAGCTCTTTGAGGTAGTCGTAGTCTATGTTATCTGCAAGCGCGCAACTGTTAGCCGAGGACGGTCACGCAATGTGGCGTCGGGCACTTACAATGGCCCCATTCTGGTATGGACCTCTGCCTCAGGGTATCGCCGTACTTCATACCAACAAGTAGCGTAGGGACGGAGGTCGTGGGGGTGTTCAATGGGATAGGGAGCCGTAGAACGGAGGTGTAGCGTCGTGGGAGGCAAACAATGGTGTGAACTGCCAGCCGTTAGATAACGGGATCCCAATAGCGCAACGGCGGAGACATTGATGGTTCCATCTCATGTGTCGCAGGTCCAAGGCATTTGGGGTATTGGGCCGCCGAACGGCCGAGAGGTTACCGCGTACGGACTGCTTACCGAACGGCTTAACTGGGAAGCGATAACAGTTTGAGCTGACGACTGAGAGACGCGGTTCGGCTGCCAATGTTTTGAATCGGTCCTATGCCAATGTCACCGGAACCGTTGAGACTATATACTCACCGGATGATTAGCCCAGCGCATAAGTACAACCAGAGGAAGGGCAGCATTGAGCTTGCGAAAAGCAGTAAGGACTGAGGCTGGGTGACCGCATGCATATCCATGGCCAAAAACCTGGGAAGGGAAATGACATCGGCCGCGCGCGCTGGTTCACGCTACTTATTCGCACCCCTGCGACGCCCTCGTCATCCCAGTCGATGCACGTGCAAACATCTGTCGCTGTTGAAAATCCACGACAGCCCAGCCGCCAACCAATCTCCTCCCCCACTCAACACCATGCCTCCGTCGCCGCGGCAGCCTCAGGCCCGACATGTCAACAGCAACAAAAGGGAAAAAAACATCTGCGCGGCGGATCCTCACAATGCGCCTCTAGCCAGCCCAGACCAGCACCGCTGCGGCCTGGCCACCTCTGCAGTTTGACATGTCCACGAACGGCAATGGACCTCCTATTGGCTGCAAAAGCCCACACTGGTCCGGAGATGCACCTCTCTCCGTTCCCATTTCCATTTCCATGTGAAGTACGTACATACGGTGTCAGGAACCAACGGCACTTGGGCACCACATCAATGGCAATTCCAATATCGAAACTCAAATCGATCCTGTATCTCAATGTCGACTGCAATCATGCCTGTATATCAATATACCGTGATATCCGGAGAGACCCTGCTCGGCAGCGAAATGTCACCAGCGCTTGCTGATTGGGCATTGTCTATATCTGGAGAAAGATGGAGCAAAAAAGCTTGCCTCGCAACAAATATGGACCATACCGCATGCGCATAACAAACCTCTCCACTTGCCTTGTGTGGGGCGGAAGCGGAAACAATATTCCACTCGAATATTGCCTGCTGCAAATAATTCAGATCTGCCGATACTCATCCAATGGCGAACAAGATCCTACATGACGCAATCCTTGCAGATTGCTGGCCAAATCAGTTACTTATATGCTCATGATTTTGAAGGCATAAGAACAAGCGCACACGAGAGCCAACGGCTATCCAAATCCCCACGAAATTACTTGCGGCCGCCAACCACCCGTCGCAGGGTCTTCGATCCAGAGCAGAAGTGGGCCTAATCCACTCATCGCTTGTAGGTCCGTAGAGCCGCGGCAACTTTCTACTAGTCGAGAGAGTCCACAGCGGGTATGGAGCCACACGAGTCTGGCTGCCTGAAGCAGAGTAGAAAAATCGAGTCAAAAGGCTCTAGACCATGTTCATAATTCCTAAGCAGAGGCCCCACGCGGCATGTTCCATTCGCAATAGCGCCCGCCTTCGAGACGGGGACGGTAGCTACACCAAGCATTGCTGAGATATCTACACTCATCTTTTCGTATACAAAAACAAAAAGCCCTTTTGAGAGCCAAGCCCCAAAAGGATCGATGTGCATAGCCGAAGTTCCACAAACTGCTGCACAATCAGCCACATTGGCATTGCTTGTCTCGACCTGACGTGGCTACGAGGCGTAGGTATACGACATGCATGCGGGCACTGGCCTGTCAGGTCGCGTGCTCACCTACCTATACAAGCAAGTACTACGTTGCAGGGATCCGGAGATTTCTACATACGACATGGTGCATATGCAGCTGCCATCACACAGCCGGAACGGACATCGTTCCACTGACGAGGCCGATGCCGCCCACGTGGGTGCTCTGGATGGTGTGTATTTGATTTCGGACACTGGCAAGTTACGGCAATCTGCATTGCTCGCGTTTTCAACTGCACGTTCGATGCTGTGCCGATGGATTTCGATCAACTCACAGCTGAGGCTGGCGGGACTCGCTTGACGCTGAAGGATGCGCTTGGTTCTGGATTGTCGTTGTCGTACGACATGGACACTGAACCATTACAACAGCACCAATGCGGATACGACTATTCAGTAGATTAGTAATGTAGTTGGATCTTCAACTACCGGTAAGAATGAACTTGCAATCAGCAAAACGCGCGTTATTTGCCTAAGTTGACATTGAGTATCAGTTGCAGACCTACGTGCATATGCGCGCAGAAACACTCAATGCAACGCACAATGTACAATGTACATACATTTCCAATTTGCATGCCACGTCTCTCCCTGTCCCATGTACCATTTCTGTTATCTATCTCTTGGCCCAAAAGCAAGACTCCAATCTATACACATCACCTTATCTTTGAACTCGTTCCTCCATTCCCCCCCTCACACATCGGTACTTCGTCATGCACCCAAGAAAAAGGCGCGGTGAAGACAGCATTAGCACCCAAAACTTGCTTGCGATAACAATGCAAGCCACGAGATGCGCTGGCACATTACAATTGTCAAAAAAAAGTTGGCCAGCAAAGACATTGGAATCAATCAAGCCATCATAACCCAAATCTTGACACCCTCACCGCCCTCTTTCCTCTTGCCATCAATCCCCACCTTGCCCTGTCCAAACGTATGCTCCTCCAACACCTCCATTCCGAGATGCTTATACACATCCCTGCCCTTCTCCGACGTCGCCTCCAGCACAACCGGCCAGCCCTTCTCCTTTGCCATCTTGAGCACCGGTCTCATCACATCGCTAACTTTGTGATTGCGACTCTTGTCGTTTGACGGATGCTCGCGGTAGTTCCCCAGCAAGGAGAGGTGCAGCATGTGCGTTGCGGTTGGGGGTAGATGTTGTTTCTTTTTCTTATGCGTGGCAAGGTTGAGTTCGGCAACAGCAGGGGGGTAGTGCGGGGAGATGATGGGTTCGACTGTTATGGGTTCGAGACGCCTGTTATGTATATATATATATATTAGTCTTTTTTATTCCACCATTATCCAGTCCAAATCCTCGAAACTGAATCCTTTCATTTCTTTACATGGTTTGGAAGGGAGATGAAAGAAAAAAAGGGTTTGTGGAAAGTGTGGGAAGAAATCTTTGGGGGGGGGGGTTTACTACGTACCATACACTTGAGATTCCACTCCCCCCAACAGTAATACTCCGCGCCCCACCTGCAACCATCCCCGGAATCATTTCTGCAAAGATTTCCCTGTTGTATTCATAGCTAACGTCTGTTTCGCCTCTCTTGGCTAGGTCGTCTACGAGCACATAGCGCTGGAAGGGATCGTCCTTAAAGGTTTCGCCTATTATATCTACGGCATGATCAAGTGGTTCTTCGATTAGGCCGGCGGGGATGGGGATTTCGCTTCCCATCTTTTCTTCAAATCCGCTTGAATATATCCGTTCTCTTACGGAAAAAAAGTTGATGTTTCTTCTTCCTTCCTTTCTAAGAAAAAAATGGATGGGAATGCAGGAGGTCGAGATTGGGGAAATATGCCAAGTAAATGTGAAGTAAGAAATCTGGGCGACCGGGTAGATCACTGCTCTGAAAGTATATGTAAGAACATGCACAAGTTAGTCATGCCTGAGTTGGTCGGGCCGAAAGAAGAGTATTTTGTAAGCATCGGCTGGGCGTTTTGGGGCTTGTTAATTTGAGGGGTGTTATAGCATTAGCTGCGTGCATAGTTGTTTCCGCCATGGACATCGATTGCTCATTCGGCTGTTAGTGTTTCACGTGGTAAAGTGTCGACCGCAACCGGGGGTAAGCCGGAATCCACAGTATTTGGGGGTCGGGTTTCGGCATGTTTCAGGTACTTGTTGCGGCTTTAAACGATGGCAGCCGATCAGGTACGTAGTTTGCAACATTGAAATATTTTGCATTACTGGTCACTCATATCGAAGACGATTATTTTTTTTTGGTCTTGGAATACATGAAGCAATGTCACAGCCTACCTCCCATATAGAGTACTGCCTCTGGAGAAACACCATACTATACACATGATATGCAACACCTGCATATGTTGGCCCCGAACAGACTTGACCGCTTTTTTCAGTGCTTAACCTGGGGGAAGCAGGCTGTTGTCGACAACGTCTTGTGCCTCCATCTCCTCGATTTCTGCGCTGTTATGGAGAGGAGAGCGGGGTAGAGCCATTAGACCTATTCCAACGTTAGTGTTGATTCTTAGGTAAAGTTTCGAGCTACGTACCAGTTCTCGCCGATTCGAGAATGCCGAATGGTGCAATCAGCTTCATGTAAGAGTCGATCCTGGTGGGCTTTGCCGAAAGCTCTACTATACAGTTGTTGGTGCTGATGTCAAGGACTTTGCCGCCAAATTGATGAGTCATGAAGGTGATGGCGCGTAGATGCTCATGCTTGTGTCGGAGCGCCTGGCTGATGGGCAAGTTTGTGGGGTGGTAGTCCTTCCTCAGCGACTCACGAGCAGCTTCGTGTGCCGCAGCGTTGCGCTCATCCTCTGACATGTTCTCGGTTTCGTGACGATCCGTCTCCGGCGGCTGGGCCATTTCGCGGTGGTGTGCAAGGAGCTCCTCAAAGTACTCAGGTCCGAGAATCGAGACCTTTGCGAGAAGCAGCTCGCGCTGAACGAGGGGTGACTCGGTGTAGTCGAGCACAGCCCAGACGGGGACTAGGTCCTCCAATTGGCGGCGGGCCTGTTCTATAACGCCATCCTGACCTTGGAGCACAATTGTCATGCGCGAGAGATCATCCACCTCGGTGTTGCAGACGACCAGACTGTCAATGTTGAAGCCACGGGCAGCCAGGATACCGGATACACGGGACAGCACACCGGGCTCGTTCTGGACCAGGCAATTGAGGATGTGACTCTTTGGTGGGGCCTGTGATGGAAGCGGTGTCTCGTAGAGAATGTTGCTGACGGCAGCGGGCGCCGACCATGCCGGAGGGCGGTCTTCGGTTGGGAGCGGCGCGATGCGGCGGTGGAGGGCCTTGTAGGCGAGTGCTTGTGTGGATGAGGAGCTGGACGCTCTCTGTTGCAGGCGGAGGGTGCCGGCGCATTGCCTGTTGAGGAGGCTGCGCAGCGGCAGTACTGCGCGCCGGGAGGCCATTGTGGAATGAGTACGTGTGTATACGTAGCAGAGCAGAGTATATAGAAGCGAGGGAGCCGTACAAAGTCAAATACAGCGCCGGTCCCAAGGCCCGGCCGATGGTCGGAGAAGGCGCCAACGGGCAGGTGCAGCCGCGGCACGCTAAGTAAGCGAGCAGCAGCTGTGCCCAGGCGACAAGCGAACAGTGATTGACTGGTGCGTCCATCTTGACCTTTGACTTCGACATCGACCCTCGCCGCACGTCTATCTTGCCTCTAAGCGCCCACCATACCATGTCTGAAGAACGCCGTCCGCGATCCCGCTTTGATAGCGACGAGCCGGAGCGTCCGACACGTTCGCGCTTCGACACTGACCGCCGCTCTAGGTCTCCGTCGCGACGAGAGTCCGAGTCGCATCGCGCTCGTAGCCCTGTTTCTCGTGAAGGCACAGACAGCCCTGCCTCGGCCAGCTTCAAGAACAAGGCGGCTGCGGCTGCGGCTGCGGCGGCTGCGAGGATCAACGCGCAGATTCAGGCGAAGAAGGGCATCCAGCACGTCGATGTGCCGCCAATTCGCTCTGTATGTCACTCGCCGAACCTCTTCACCAAAGCCCACGACTAACCGTGCCTAGGCGCCCACTCCTCCAGTCGCCAAGTCGCCCGCATCCAACTCTGCTGCGGCCATCAGCAACGAGACATACCAGCAGGATGGTGACTACATCAAGGACATTGAAATCAATGATCTCCGTAATCGTTATACACTGACCAAAGGAGCCACACAAAAGAGGGTAAATAACTGTTTTTGCTGTTCACTGATCGATTAGGATCATGTCTTCGCTCTTCCCTGGGAGCCGGACTCTGTTTGCGCATCTCTCTGCATGGAGAGTCAGAGCTTACTTGATCTTCTAGCGCGTCCCAAACCCCGTTTATCAGATGCTAACCTCCATGTGATATATAGATCAAAGACGAGACTGGCGCCGGTACGCATTCCCCGACTACACCTGCTAATGTTTAGAACTCCTGCTTATACATGCAAGATGTCACTACTCGTGGAGAATATTATCCCGACAAGAACATGGCCACTGCTGCTGTGAGTTGATGTTTCTGGTCCCAGCATGCGAAGGCTAAACAATGTCGCAGAACCCCCCACTCTATCTCCGCATTACTAGCACTTCCAAGGAGGGCCTCGAAAAGGCCGTAGCAATGATTGAAGAAATGAAGAAGGAAGATCTCCCTAACTTAGTTGACGAACGTCGTTTCCGCCGTCGCGAGCCCGAGAATTTTGAACGTGACGAGTTTGGTCGGGTATGTCTTTCTGTCCACTAGGGCCAACACGTCGCTAACTAGGAGCAGCGCAAGTGGCCCGAAGAGAAGATCTCCGTAGGTCTGGAGCCTATTAGTGGCTTTAACTTGCGAGCACAGGTTGTCGGTCGCGGTGGCGACAATGTCAAGTTTATCCAACAGGAGACAGGCTGCAAGGTGCAAATCAAGGGTCGCGGTTCTGGTTTCATGGAGCCCAACTCCGGCCAAGAGAGCGATGAGCCCATGTACCTCCACATTGCGTAGGTGCCATCTTGCTGTCATGTGTATCTGTGCTGACAAGACGTAGCGGGCCCCGCCCTGAAGGTGTAGCCCAAGCGAAGCAGCTCTGCGAAGAGCTGCTCGACAAGGTAAAGACAGACTACCATGCTTTCAAGGACCGCCCTGCGTCAGCTCGATTCGGTGACCGCGACGGCTACTCGGGTGGCCGACCAGGATACGGCGACCGCGGCGATCGTGGCGACCGTGGCAGAAGCGAAAGCTATGGTTACGGAGGCGCTGGTGGCTATGGCGGTTACGGCGGACATGGTGGGCAAGGAGGCCACAACGGCTATGGTGCCATGGAGAGCCACATGTCACCAGCTGCCGCAACCCCAACTGCCGACGCGAACAACCAGGCCTTTGACGCAAATGCTGCCCAAGCATGGATTGCGTACTACCAGCAAAACCCTGACCAAGACCCTTATGCCCAATATGGTGGTTACCAAGCATATCTTACTATGCAGCAGCAGCAGTATGCCGCTTACTATGCTCAGGCCGGTTATGGACAAACTCAGTCGCCTGCTCCAGGGGCCGGTGCCGCTGCACCACCTCCACCGCCACCTTCCGAGCCTGCGTCGGCTGGCTATGGTGCTCCCCCGCCACCACCTCCGCCTGCTGCTTCGCCTTCAAACTACGGCGCGGTACGTATACATTATGAGCACAAGATGGTCTCAGCTAATGTGGCATTAGGTCCCTCCACCGCCCGGCTTGTAAGTGTCAAGCAACGACTATGATTGAGCACTTACGACAGCCTCTCATCTTGACTTGATTGATTGAGCACAGTTCGAACAAACTCTCCTGTAATGATTCACAACATGTCTTGTGGCGTTAGAAATAATACCTGTCGCTTCGGCGAGCTTGCTTGGTTGCTATTGAGCCGCGTCTCTGCTGGCGATCGGGTATAGTATTAGTCTGTCCGAATGGACTTAGTACTCTCATTAGGATACCAATGTTAGTGTTTTCTTAAAAGTGCTTGACATTGTGATAAATGTGTGAACACAATTCAGGTGTCCGAATTCGTGAGGTAGCAATTGATTTTATTCCTCTTTAAACAAGATTCTCTGAATCTCGTACACACTAGACTCGATCTGACTACTAAATTCGCAATCATTCAAGTCCACTGCTCTCCGGGCGCATCTTTTTTTGTGATGACGTCCACATGCTTTGTGATTGGATAGAAGCTGTAGGGGTTCTCCACACAACAGGCGTTAACGTTCGCGTCCCTGACCTAACCCCGGTACGTGCAGACTTGCGGAGCGATGTCGCTGGAGATAATTTGTGCGAATGTGCACCTGTCCTTCGCCATTGTGCTAACGCCACCAGACAAGCCTCAGGATGCGGTCGCAAATAATTTGTGCTGGCCAAGCGGCCAAGTACAGGGTGAGTTTATCATCGCCTAGAGAAGAATATACAGAATGCGGCAAAAGTACAACACTTGAACAGTCATACTTGAGCATCTACAGTGAAATCAGCCAATGTACATGACAGAACACTGACAGCGTCTAAGCCTCACCTACTCTCCTCGCTCCGTCAATCCGCCCTACAACCTCGAAGATGTCTAGCCACGACTCATGATCTGCCCAAGGCTCGCAATGTCGATATTGCCTCGCGCACCCCGCCATATGCCAAACTACTCTCTCGCCTGGAGGAAGTACGGTGCGTGCTTGGCTCCTCACGCCAATTGACCTTGGCTGAAAAGATATTGTATTCGCATCTCGAGAACCCCGAGGAGTCGCTCTTGAGCAACACAAATGGCGGGAGAGATATCAGAGGCCAGGCAAACTTGAAGTTGAAGCCCGATCGTGTGGCAATGCAGGACGCTAGTGCACAGATGGCTCTGCTGCAGTTCATGAGCTGTGGACTTCCGACAACAGCGGTCCCAGCAAGTATACACTGCGACCATCTTATTGTCGTAAGTATCATTTCGTCCTTTTGCCTTGATCGTAGAGCCTTGATACTGATACATTATCGATAGGGTGAGAAAGGCGCCGAGGCCGATCTTCCACAATCTATTGCAGGCAACAGCGAGATTTTCGATTTTTTGGAGTCGGCGGCAAAGAAATATGGAATCGAGTTTTGGCCACCGGGTGCGGGTATCATCCACCAAACCGTGCTGGAGAACTACAGTGCCCCAGGTGTAATGATTCTGGGAACTGACAGCCACTCACCGAATGCTGGCGGGCTTGGCTCCATTACCATTGGTGTAGGTGGTGCAGACGCAGTAGATGCTCTAGTAGATGCGCCATGGGAGCTCAAGGCACCCAAAGTCCTGGGCGTCAAGCTCACTGGAGAGCTCAGTGGATGGGCTTCTCCAAAGGACGTGATTCTGAACTTGGCTGGTCAGCTCACAGTCCGGGTACGTGGCATCGAGGATTGTGTAGTGATCCATGCTAACAAATACGTAGGGTGGTACTGGCTACATCATTGAATACTTTGGCCCTGGAGTGCAGTCTTTGAGCTGCACTGGTATGGCGACTATCTGGTGAGAGCATAGTTCCCTGATGTTTCGGGATTGTGACTAACAAGAATAGCAATATGGGTGCTGAAGTCGGCGCAACTACATCGCTCTTCCCCTTCTCTCCAGCACATGTTCCTTACCTACAGGCCACACATCGTGGATCCATTGCTGAAGCAGCCACCAAGATCTCTCAATCGCCAATGCAACAAAACCTCTTGCGATCCGACCCAGATGCCGTCTATGACAAGGTCATTGAAATTAACCTCTCAGAGCTCGAACCCCATATCAACGGACCCTTCACCCCTGACCTATCAACACCTCTCTCCAAGTTCAAGACAGTAGTTGAAGAAAAGGGATGGCCAAAGACATTTGGTGCAGGTCTCATTGGCAGCTGCACGAATAGTTCTTACCAGGATATGACCCGTTCAGAAGAGATTGTGAAGCAGGCGTCAGCTGCGGGCCTCAAGCCGAAGGCTGACTTCTTCATCACACCAGGTAGCGAACAAATCCGGGCAACATTAGACCGAGACAACACTCTATCTACTTTTACTTCGGCAGGAGGTACTGTTTTGGCGAACGCTTGCGGGTGAGTTCTCTCAACACCTTCTGTAAAACAAATCGCACTACTGACATACTCAATGACCCTGCATTGGTCAGTGGAAGCGCACAGACGAGGTCAAGAAGGGCGAGTCTAATGCCATCTTCACATCTTACAACCGCAACTTTCCCGGTCGTAATGACGGCAACCGTGCGACAATGAATTTTCTCGCATCCCCTGAACTCATCACTGCCATGGCATACTCTGGTTCCACAACCTTCAACCCTATGACTGACAGCATTCTCACGCCGTCTGGTGAGCCTTTCCGGTTTGCACCACCAAAGGGCTCCGATCTACCTTCTGAGGGATTCGCAGATGGTAACCCAGATTTCATGCCCACACCAGGTGTACCTGACCCGAACGTCGAGGTCGTTGTATCGCCTACCTCTAGCCGTCTGGCACTGCTGGACCCCTTTCCAGCATTCCCTAACTCTGAGTTTACAGGGCTTCGCGTCCTCTACAAAGTTAAGGGACAGTGTACAACAGACACCATCTCTGCAGCCGGCCCATGGCTCAAGTACAAGGGCCATCTGCCCAACATTTCTGAGAACACACTGATCGGTGCAGTCAACGCGGAAACAGACGAAGTCAATGTTGCTTATGATGTGGATGGCAAGAAATCTGCTATTCCTGAGTTGGCAAAGAGGTGGCGCGACCAAGGTATTGAATGGCTCGTCGTGGCAGAGCACAACTACGGTGAAGGTTCTGCACGTGAGCATGCTGCTCTGCAGCCGCGTTACCTAGGAGGACGCATTATTCTCGCCAAGTCTTTTGCACGAATCCACGAGACCAACCTCAAGAAGCAAGGTATCGTACCTCTGACATTCGCAAACGAGGCTGACTACGACGTCTTTGCGGCTTGCGACCAAGTTGCCACAAGGGGACTGTTGGATGTATTGAGGAGCGGTGGCAAGGGAGAAGTTGAGTTGGTTCTCAAGAAGAAGGATGGCAGCGAGAAGGTGGTCAAGACCAAGCACACGCTCTCGCAAGATCAGTGTGGCTTCATCATTGCTGGCAGCGCGCTCAACCTTTTGGCGAGGAAGGGAAGAGAGATGAAGGAGGAGATTACTAGGAGTGCCGAACTGACTGACTAGGAGTCGGTTGACTTGATGGAGATGATGACGATGATTAAAATCTAAAAAGGAAATGGCGCATGGCGCTTGGTGGTATATAGTTCCCGGACATTTCAGCAACCAATGTCAATTTATATGTGTATTGAATAGCTGCTTCATGATTTGTGGTTTCCCCATTACTATCTTGGATTCTCGAGGAGTTTTGCTGTAAAACCTGTGAACTTGAATAATTTCACTGACTTCCCCAGAAAGGCCCACTAGTAATGTCAGGTCACGTGGGGTGTGTATTAGCTTTAGATGTCTCACCTCGTGTTTCTTTCCTAGATCAATCTCAGCACGCCATGAGAGACTTGTTAACCACCACATGAGCCAATTGTGGGGCCACAATCAAAATGCTCTGTAAAATCAATTAGTATCGCATGGCAATGCGCCGCCGGCGAACTCGTTGAGAAGAACTTTTGTCAACAAGCAGAATTCTTCGTTGAAGGGTTTGCTACAATGGCAATGAAACCACGTGCCATAACGGCAAAGGGACTGCAGTCACTCCTTGTACGCATCGGTTTAGCATCATCAGGAACCAAGTCAATCCTCGAGGAACGCTTTCGGCACAGCTTCATCAAACCCCGTCTCTTTGCTCGTCATCCAGAATGGGAAGCCTCGCGGCCTACAGACCAAAAACTCCGCATCATGAGCATCGACATGGGTATCAAGAATCTAGCTTTCTGCGAGGCCGAAGTCTCATACCCCGTGAAAGACAGTCTGAATGCGAAGATGGATGTCTTGAGGTGGGAAAAGGTGGATCTTGCTTCTGTAAGACATCAAGGCGCGACCGAGGGCAGCCAACTAGACACGACCAGACTGGGTGACACAGAAGTGGACGCAGATGAAGAGGTGGATCCTTATTCCCTGGATACTTTGTCTAAAACTGCGTACAAGCTTATCAAGGAAACGATACTATCTGGGTCTCCGGATGTCATCTTGATCGAAAAGCAGAGGTGGCGGTCAGGCGGTGGTAGCGCGGTACAGCAGTGGACGCTTCGCGTGAACACATTGGAAGGTATGTTATGGGCTGTGCTGGAAACGATACAGAAAGAGACAGATGTCACCCAGACAAACAAGGAAAAGAAGAACCTATACGCCGTTTTTGCCGTAGACCCAAAGCGCGTAGGACACTACTGGCTCGGACAAAATGCACAGCGTCTTGCCGCCGACGAAGCTACTTCCTCACTCGCAAAAGACATTCAAACCGAAGCGGAGGGCCAGCCCACACTCAGCCGCTCCAAAGCCGAAAAGAAAGCCAAAATCTCTCTCCTGCGCTCCTGGCTCACTGCATCCCCTCCCTCCACCTCATCCACAATCACTAGATCAACACCCCCGATCTCCTTCGTAATCAGCAATCACGCACAGCCCGCCTACCGCGCCCTCTGCTTCCCCTCCACGCCCACCCGCCGCAAGAAGCAGAATAGCGAGTTCAAGGATGCAGAGATTGTACTTGACGATACCTCAGGATCCGAAATGAAGAAGCTGGACGATGTCACTGATTGTTTTCTCCAGGCCGCGGCATGGGTGAGCTGGGAGTCGAATCGCGTGCAGCTATGCGATATTTGGAGGAGGAACGTGAGACGGCATGGCGGTTGGATGGATGAGAATGAAGTGGATTTGAGTGAATTGAATAATGATCGGTTGCTGGAGATGTGGGAGGAGGTTGAAGGGTGATGGGGGAGAGGGGGGGGCTGCGTTATCACTATTTTTCTTCTTTTCCTGCTCATTGTACTGGTAACAGGGCTGCTGCACGAAGAAAAATATACTGTGAATTTTCCTTCTGTTGGTTTGAAGGCGAAAAAAAAATAGTAGTAGGCTCACAAAGCTGTCTCTGAATACAAAGGTTCCCATAGTCAATAGTGTCAAGCATTTGTACTACCACAACCCAAGATAACCCCGCTTTCCCGTCCCTCACAACAATGACGTGTCTAGCCCTTGCAGCCTAGCCCCGCTATCCTCAAGCGTGGTACCGAAACTTCAAACTTCACATCATCACATCGTTTACGCCCAAATTACGTCTTGGTACATCAAATGAATAATTTCGAAATTTTCACAGATGTTCACAAAACTTGTTCACCAAGTCTCGGTGGCGCAATGGTAGCGCGTTGGACTTCTATTTCTAAGCTCTGTAATTTGCTTTATCCGGTTATCCAAAGGCTGCGGGTTCGAGCCCCGCCCGAGATGCTTTTTTTGCTTTTTGCACCGTCTATCTATATCATCTTTACACAGTATCGTGGTGATGCTAATAACAGGATGGGCAGCAGATTTTTTTTTACGTCAAGAGAGAGAAGAGGGCGCATAGGATAGAATGGAACAATATTTATTTGCTTATATTGGATATAAATATGTGCGTAGTTATGTGTATATATTTATGATGAGTGGGAATCAAAATACTCCAAGTCCTTGTAGGAGCACCAAGAGCTATATACTCATGTGCTTCAAACCCCAAATACACCCACCTTCCTTCCTGGATCTCTCTCTCTCTTTCTTTGTTTTTTTCTCTCTCAACCCTCACAAATCAGATCAAACTCCGGAAAATCTGGATCAGGCCCAATATTCGTACTCGCAACCGCAGACTTAAAATCCTTGACTTTGGCACTCTTTTGCGCATCGAGGCATTTATCTAGATTTCACAACCGTATCAGCCGTAGTTTTTAAGGGGAAAGAGGGGGGGGGGAAGAAAGGAGGAAAGATACTCACTCTTCTGCTCATCACAATCATTAACCTTCAGCCCCCCATCTTTGCCCCCGCCACCACCATTCCGATTCGCCTCGCGACTACAGCCCTGAAACTGCTCGTCACAACTTCTCTGAGCTGCAGTTTCGAAATCGGGAAATGTGTTTCCTTCGACTTCAAAGGGGCGGTCGTCTTTCCCGGAGTTGGTGATCGGGGGTGCGGGCGTGTTGCCGAGTTTGCCGTCAAAGGTCTGGAGATTGGAGAGTTGGCGCAGGAAGAGGGTGTGCCGCGGTATTAGGGATATGTCGGCTGTGGATGAGAGGAGCGGGGGTTGGGGCGAGGCGTGGGAGAGGGCGGGGAGGGCGAGGTGAAGGAGGGCTAGGAGGGTGGAGGGGAGGAGGAGCATGGTTGTTGTGGGTGAGTTGTATTATGGTCGTGAAGAGTGTCGGCTGATCGTGGTGGAGGTTGGGTATAGCTACTCGAGATTGTGTTTGGTCCAGACAAAGTATTATGATTATCGACCATGTAAGTTCTCTCCCCAGTATAACGTTCCAGCCGGTATGGGTATCGTAGAATTCTTTCAAAGGATCGTACCAGTATAGTGTCCAGCCCAGGCCCCAACTGTCCAGCAGTCTCTTTTCAGTCGCACCAAGGAAAATCGACAGTTCAAACGAAGGAAAGAAAGAAAACAACGAAACAAAAACCTGAGAAATGGGCAACAAGACTCAGTCTGTGTTTCCAAAACAGGTTCGAGTCCACCTCTTTCTCATCCGCAAAGTGATACCTACGACGTAGCGCCGATTAAGCGCGGTGCGCGTGGGCGGGGCACCGATACTTATTTATTAGCTGTTGCTAGGCTGTTCCAAAGGTCGAGGAGAGTGGCTGCGCGATGACAGCCTTGTTCCGTCTCGTTGCAATGCGAGCAGGGGAAACGGCGTGTCGCCGATGCACGCTGCGACGGTGCTGAAACGCCATCACACGACCATTTGGTGTGACACGGCCAGCAACCGGCAGAGGATTTATGTGGAGATTAGGATATAGGGGAAAGGGAAAACAAAAAACACGCATTAACATGTCGACGTAATCCAACGTGGGACAGGGAAGCCATGGTCAAGGTATATGTAATTACATTCGCTATTGTGGGGGTATGATGATAATGAATAGTCGCATAGAACTCGCACGCTCTATTACAAACTTTTCTTGAAACAAGCACAGAATGCAAGTGCAGACAATGCAAACAGAAGGGATTGGGTAGACAAAAGAGTTTTGCAACGTCTTTTGGTGTGACGTTTGTTGTTAGTATATACTACCCATTGGTGATGACTGCACACTGAGCTCAAGTAGCTCGTCCGTCTCTTAATGACATCCTACACTATCAACTCCAAGGCGGTGGTAACCCTGTCCGAAAAAAAAGATAAGAAAAAAAGGAAAGAGGCTGCGTAGTCAGGGATGATCGTGGCAGGCAGCATAACGTCGAAGGAATAAAAGTTATTAAAACCGCCATGATATTGTATGTACAAGCCAGTATGGCTCAGCACTCGAGATGGCATCCGGTTCAGATAGACCCCGCAAATAGTCGTTGGTATCGTGATGGGCTGTGGTGGTAGGTCTGTGTCCTTTGTCGAGACTGCACTTGGCCTAGAAGTTGGCCGCTGCGTTGGGCCGTCCGCTGGGGCTAGAGTATTGGTCCATGTTGGATCCGTAAGGAGCGGACCCTGGGCTGTTCTGAGGCTTGTCACCAAGGGCTGCGCCCGTACCGGCCATGAGGTCATCGTCGTCCGCCTGGACACGTGCTTGGCGCTTCTTCATGCGCCAGAAGACAAGGGCAATGCCACCGAGGAGCAGGGCACCTCCAACACCTCCAACGACGCCACCGATGATCTTCTTGTCGGAGTCGCTAATGCCTCCGTCACTGCCTTGATTGTTACCCTGCTGTTCTGTGGGCGCTTCGGTAAAGGTGACTTGTCCGGTGGTTGCGACAGAGGTGCTGGTGCCAGTCGAGACCTGCGTGATTTGTTGGTCGCCGCTCATTGTGACAATGGTGGTGGTGAACTCGCGCAGGGTGGTAGAAAGGAGATCCGAGGTCCTGGTGATGGGTGCGGTCCTGATGGTAGATGGCGGGGGAGTGGCGGTAGGTCCGTTTCCAGTGGTGCGTCCTGTCGAGGTAGGGCCATTGTTGTTGTTATTGTTGTTGTTGTTGCCGCCATTGCCCCTGGTGGTAGTTGCTGTGGGTGTGTTTGTGGGGACGTCATTTGAGGGCTGTTGTGATGGAGGCGGGTTATTGTTATTATTATTGTTGTTATTGTTGTCGTCGCTGGATGGTGTTGGCTGTGGCTGTGGCTGGGGTGATGGGGATGCGACTGGTGGCGGCGTTGAGACTGGAGGCTGCGAAGGTTGTGATGCTGGAGGTGGTGACGAGGCAGGAGGAGCTGGCGATGAGACGGCGCCGGTGCCCTCAGCTTCTTGTCGCTTGCCGTGGCGCAGATAGTGGTTGACGCCGTCAATGTGCAGGTCCTCGAGGGTAAAAGCCGAGGAAACAGTGGCGAGAGCGAGAACCGCGCCGGAAAACCACGTCTTTGGTAGCATGTTTGGCGGTTTCGCAGATCAGGGTAACGGGAGCGAGCGGATGGGGTGTCAAGACAGCGTACTTTAATGGGCGAGGGTGACGCGTCTAACAGAGGGTGTTTGAGATTTGTAAGTATTAAAAGGGAGCAACGGACGGATCAAGGACGACTATGTACGCAAGTAGAGTGTGCTTGGAGGGCGGTGTAAGTGGGTACAGGGCCAGGGCTGAACGAGGGAGGGCCGAGAGGGCAATAAGGAGATGAACGAGCGTGTGGAGGGGATGACGGGTAACGGATGGGCGTCGGGGAGGTGGTGGTGCAGCAGGTGAGTGGTGGGAGGGTAGGTGATTAAGCACTACTGGGTGCCGGGGTTGGGGGCAAGTGGGCAGCAAGTGGAGAGAGGGTGGGCAGCCAATTTTAGCTTCAGCCGCGCCAGACCCTGCCTTGGCCTGCCTCTGCCGCAACCACAGCGCCTCACTATGAAAATTTGCTGGGTCCCCAGCCAGCCTGCATCTCGTACCTGTGAGACGCAGGAGATAAGCAGAAGAAGAAAGAAAGAAAAAAAAATCAAAGCCAAAGGATGTGTAACATGTAACACTTATAAAGACAAAAAGACCGCCTGCTACTGGACCGCAACACACTGCACCGTCCCCAGTCTCTGTTGCTCACCCAGTCACCGGTTCCGCATTTGTCCATTGGCCCGCCGGCGGAACCCGCCTTTGTAACAAGCCCAGTGTGTCCGTCTGGTCGTGCGTCATCTTGCCTGGCTAGCATTTTGCAGTCAAGCAAGCCCCCGGTCTGCCGTCGCGAAGATCCTTTACAGTAGTAGCAAAAAGTCGTGGCCGCCAATAACTCCAACCTCGTCCGTTGTTTCCGCTTTGTTCGTTGTCGCAGCCCGCCCCGTACAGAGACTCCGCCGCCCAACCGACGACGATGCTCGCCGCCGCCATGTCACACAGCCTGTCGCTGACGCCTCACGAGGCCCTCTCGGGTGTCTTCGGCTCAATCTCGCTGGCCTCGTGGATCTTTCTCCTGGTACGTAACAACATCTTCACGGTCTCGACCCTTGCTGCCCCCCTTCACGCATGGTGACTTGGACGTTGTGTGACTGTTGCACGTCGTGTGGCCATGTTGCAGCTTGCCATGTGACTGCCGCAACTGCTTGCCTGCATATATCCACTGTGCTACTATGAATAGAAAGCCGCCCACGCGACCAATCCATGCATCCATGTATACTAACATGCTCGCCCATTAGGTCCCCCAGCTGCTCGAAAACTACAAGTCGGGCTCTGCAGATGGCATCTCGCTCGCCTTCCTCATCGTCTGGTTCATTGGCGATGTGACCAACCTCGCGGGTGCCCTATGGGCCGGTCTCGTCCCCACCGTCATCGCCCTCGCAGTATACTTCTGCTTCGCCGACCTGGTCCTCATCTCCCAATGCCTCTACTACAACATGAAGAACTCGCGTCGCGAGCGCAAGTCGTCGACCCGCTCCACCGATAGCGTCCAGGCGCCTCTGCTCGGCCGCCGCGACAGCAGCAACATTGGCCTCCCAGGTAGCCACAGGCGCGACTCGGCCGCCAGTCGCAGACGCCGCGCCAGCTCCCTGCCCACCATCCCCGACGTCACGAACACCTCGTCGAGCGAATGGCTCAAGAACGCCCTGAGCATCTTTGGAGTTTGTGCGGTTGGTGCCGCGGGCTGGGCCATTGCCTGGCAGATTGGCCTCTGGGTGCCCCAGCCCATACACGACGATGCAGGCAACGCCTCTGATAGTCCTCTCGGCGCTCAAATCCTCGGCTATGCCAGCGCAGTCTGCTACCTTGGCGCCCGTATCCCCCAGATCATCAAGAACCAGCGTGAAAAGTCGTGCGAGGGTCTGTCGCTGCTCTTCTTCATGTTAAGCTTGCTAGGCAATGCTACCTATGGTGCAGGAGTACGTTCACCTTGACTCATCTGTCTATATACATTCGTGACTAACCAACCTCTTCAATAGATCATCTTCCACTCCCAGGAAAAACAATACATCCTCACCAACCTCCCCTGGCTCATCGGCTCCCTCGGCACAATGGTTGAAGATGTAACCATCTTCATCCAATTCCGTGTCTTCGGGACCGGTGAATCCTCCTCTGCCCTTGATGCCTAGACTGCTCTCCAGATTTACCACCAGCCATCTCTCTCTTTTCCATTTTCATCATTTGCTCATTGCATAAAAAAAGTTCCTCGTATGCTTCCCATGCTTTCAGTAGCAACCATAGTCGTTTTGTGTCTCTTGCAAGATACCCGATTGAGATGAACGCAACATAAAAAATCTTGAAAAAAAATCTATGACGCTTGGGTGTTTGTGGACGTAGAAGAGAAGGGGGGAAAAGTTTTTATTGTTGTATAATAGTAGTAGAAGAGAAAAGGAGTTTGGATAGTGACTTCAGCTCACATGGTCAGAAAGATATTCAAAATCACTTTTTCACAAGCATCATCATCAGATACAAAAGAGCCATTGCGTACACTCGATCGTTGTATATTTGGTATATATTTCGCCCTCAGTGCAAACAGTCTATCAGCCCCCCTAACCCAAGAAAGAGGAACAAGAAGACCGAAACCCCCCAATAACAAATCCACCCTTCTACAACGTACACACCTTATTCTCTTTTTCTAATGCGCATTTTCATACTTTTGCTCATGCACGCCAATAGCACTACACACCGTTAGTCCAACTTTCCAAACACAAAAAGCAAAACAAGGGCACCATCTTACCGTCCAGAAGGATCCGTCTGGTTACTCCACGTGGGCGTCCAGCGCATCACTGTATCAGCACAGTAGCTAGGAAAGTGCTCATCAAACATGCAGCGGTACCAGTACGCCTCCTTGCTATCCGGGATATCGCTGCCCCATTCGGGCTTGGGGTTCTTCATCATCTCGTCCGTAACGTGGAGCTCGGCGTTATCCTTGAGGGCGTCGATCCAACCGTAGCCGACACCGTCTGAAAACTGCTCCTTTTGGCGCCACAGAATCTTGTCGGGAAGGTATGGCGCCGTATCCGGTTCGTCGGTTGTGTCAAATGCTTTGCGGAGAATGTACTTTTCGATTCGGCCCGCTTTGCGATCGATCATCTTGTCTGCGGGGTCAATGTTCATGGATGTGTTGAGGAAGTCCTTGTCTAGGAAAGGGACACGGGCTTCGACGCCCCAGGCAGACGTCGACTTGTTGGCGCGTAGACAGTCGGCGAGATGGAGGTTCTTGACTCGACGGACACATTCCTGGTGGAAGGCCGCCTTGTCGGGCGCGTTGTGGAAGTATAGGTAGCCGCCAAAGATCTCGTCACTGCCTTCTCCTGAAAGCACCATCTTGACGCCCATAGCCTTGATCTTTCGGCTCAGCAGGAACATAGGGGTTGAGGCTCGGATCGTCGTAACGTCAAATGTCTCCAAGTGGTAAATGACATCGGTAAGCGCGTTGAGACCATCCTCAATGGTAAAGGTAAAAGTGTGGTGTTTTGTTCCCAGGAAGTTTGCCACTTCTTGTGCTGCAATGGCATCGGGAGCGTTGGGCAGACCAATCGAAAACGAGTTGAGCTGTCCCAGGAGGAGATCCGTCTGAAGCTCGTTGGAGTCATCAATTCCCACAAGCTGGCTCTGCTCATCGCTCGCCTTTGTACCAGACGTCGCAGCCTTCTGCCTTATCGCCTCGTTCAACCGCAGAGTCTCGCGCTGTGCTATTGATGCCACAAGACTCGAATCAAGACCACCAGACAAGAGCACACCGAATGGCACTTCCGCCATCATGCGTTTCCGCACTGCTCGCTCAAACGATTGTCTCAGCTCCTTGTAGTCTACGGGTGTGGTAGGAATGTTCTCAGGCTCGACAAGCCACTTGGGATCGTGGTAGCGCGTAAGCGAGTCAGTCTTGGAGTCATAGACGTGGCCAGGAGGGAAGGAGATGATGTTGTCGCATACGGGGTGCAGGCACTTTAGCTCAGAGGCAAAATATACCGCGCCCGGTGTTGTGCTCGACCTGCCCATGTAAAAGGTAGTGACGCCAATAGGGTCGCGTGCTGCAATTACACGGTCTTGAGTCTTGTCGTGAAGCACCCAGGAGAACATGCCATCCAGCTTTCGAGGCGCATCGATGTCATGCTCGAGGTACTGGCATATATCAGTGTTGCTGCCCTTTTTCGTGGAGTCTCTAATCCTACCAGCGGAATAATGACCTCGCAATCCGAGTGTGTCTTGAAGTTGTACGGCTTCTTGAGGGACTTGCGGAGGATGCGGTGGTTGTAAATCTCGCCATTGACGGCCAGGGAGACGGTTTCATCGTCGTTGACGAGCGGTTGGGCTCCGGTGTCTACTCGTGTAAGCCTCGACTACAATTGGTTTTTTTGGTCGTGTGATTGCGTACCAACACCAACAATACTCAAACGCTCGTGAACCAAGACTGCCAGCTGTCAGAATCGCCCAATGGTCAAATCATTCCGTAGTTCTTACTAGTGTCGTTCGCTACCCAGTTGCCACCTGCAAAATTTCAGTTATCGTGTTCTCTGTCGCATACTGAAGACGTGGTCACTGACTCCAATCGGGTCCCCGATGTCGGACACTGCGCGCAACCAGTCAATTCAACACCCTCAATCCCAATCAGATGCAAACTTACGCCTTGCCCATTTTCAGGGCCGTCGGCTTGAACTTTTGGACATCGGGGTGTCTTTGAAAGAAACAGTTAGTAGCGTATTTAGAGCACAAGTGAGGTAAAGAATGAGTGCAGAGCGAATCTGGCGTACCTATAGCAGGCGAAAATACCACACATGTTTGCAAATATGAGGAAAGAAAGAGAATGTGGGAGTCAGAAGGGAGAAAAAGATGGCTTTATCGCAGTCGGAAAGCTATTGTCAAACCACTGGAGTCATATTAGCCCTCCGGCGGACGGAGCCCCACCATGGCCGCCAACCCGCGCTCACTATACGTCTGCGCGCAGCATGGCGGTGCCCACTATCTATCACAGGCATGCAAGGACATAGCGTCTGGCGATACCGCGGCAAACCGGTGGAGTGTGATATTGCTCGGTCTAGGATGGGCCTTGCATGACGTTCCTACGCCACCCCACACTGGAGAATCATCCCTCATCTATTGGCTCGTGCCCCCATGAGTCGAACAATTGTCCAGAAAAAGTACTACTGCTACGTATGAGATAACCACATGTATCTTCTTCATTCGCTTGTCTTTCCACCATCTCATATGAAGACTATCTTCACAATATGCAAGTGCAAAAATGGGTATAAACATTAAGGTGTCAAACAATTTTGGCGCGCTACAACTCCAGATAGTCTACTTGTTGATACATGAATGCCTTCCACGCAGATATGCTCGTGCGTCCCTAGCAGATGCCACTCTGTATGCGTAACCAACAAGAAGCCTAGGTCCAAGCAAAAATAGCCCCCGAGAACACAAAGCAATGAACCGTCCTCTCGTCCAGCGCCATCCAATACCATTGCTGCCCTACTTCTTCTTGTCACCTATAGAAAGTTACTGCGCAATCCCACGCCTTGCTCACTGAACGCAAAATCCCTTACTGACTGCTCTAGTGCTGCCGGAAAGGTGTTTAGAAAAGGAAATAAGCCAAGAGGAAGCTGATAAGACAAAGAAGCGCGGTAATCTGAACGGGTACGCCTCCAGCGGGGGCTTGTCGTACTTCGGTAGCAGTTGAGACTTGTGACTTCGAGTCTTGTGCGGAACCCGTCTTGCGCTGGCGGAGACCGGTCGCTTCGCTAACCTGTTGTGTCAATCGTGCAATCTGCGCCTTGGCTTCGGCAAGTTGAGCCTCTAGGTCACCGGAAGAAGGAATAGCGTTCGAGACGCTCGCAGCAGCCGAGTTGAGGGCACCCTGAGCACTACCACCCGTCGCAGGGTTATATGTCTCGTTTCTGACCTCCCCCAAGTTTTTGCTGCCAGCCGGACGATCTTGTGGGACGGAAACCGGTCCAGATGCGTCAGATACACCACCACGCTGAGGGGTGAAGGCTTCCTGAGACGGTGATGGGGATGGAACCAAAGAGTCGTGGCTAGCAGAGTTGGTCTTTGCGGGTGTTACACTCAGGCCACCTTCGTCAGGGGCGAGGAACAAGACCCTAATCTTCTTTTCCTGGATGGAAGACTTGGACGTCTGTTCAATGTGCGACCACTGTAGCAAGCCATTAGCCCCATTCTATCCTTTGACCCAAATATAATGTGCATACCAAAGACCCGACGTTGGCAAACTCTTTATCGGCGGTGATGAGGACCGACTGTACGAGGAACTTGTCGCGGCACTTCGCATCTGGCGGTGGGTCTTCCTTCATAGCCTGGAGGAGAACTAAGCGCATTTGTTAGCTGCTGCAAGGTGTCTGCAAGATGCGCGCGCTTGAGATATGCGTACTCTGAACTTCAACCTCCTTTCCAGGCTCAATACGTCCGCTGTTTGGCCTGACGCAATATCTATAGTTCCCTCGTTAGTTGTTGTGGGGCAAAGAAGGGGTCGCAGGCGCCGTACTGCTTGGGAGCTGTAGTTTTGACCTTGCACGTGTTAGCTGCGCGTCCGGTATGAAGCTAAAAAATAGCAGGAGAAAAGCAAGGTGGCTCACCTTGAAAGCAACAGGGTCAGAATGCGGGTTCTTCAAGCGGAGCGTCTGCGACACTTCATGCTGGAAGGGTCCTGGTAGGCTTAGTATTGCTGCATGCGTTCAATGCCACTGACAGAGCTTACGCTTGAAACCAAGCTCTACAGGATCGAGCTCGACAGACATGGCGGTGCGTATGCGAGTGGTGAGGGCGTGGCGGGTGGTTGCGTGGTGTTGGTAATCAGGCACGGGTGCTCAGTTACAGCGTCCGTTCGCGGTCGACCTCGGGAATGATAGGCGGGTCGTGTGCTCGTGTAATTGTGGGTTTAATTAATCGACAGAAAAACGCGCTGGCACTGAATATCTGTATCGGGTGTCGTTGGTGGTTGCGGGTGGCAGAGTGAGGTCAGGAAGAAGGAGACGATGACGTTGCTTCAGGACTGCCGTGGAGGCAGTCGCGCCAGTGACGCTTTTGGCTCAGGAAGCGCTTTAGTGGCCTCGACAGCCAACTGTCCGACTACCGGTATTCACACAGTCTAGGCTGCGGCGGGGATTACATACGCTTTTGAAGTGAAAGTGAAGATAGTTAGTCGGTATTGCTTATTCAAGGCATTTGTCCAGCAGATCAACGGTCCACCTTCTCCAAGGTTCCGTTCCATTCCCCGCTACCGCCTGCACCATGTACGTTATATAACACCGCCCCAGTGGAGCCCTCTGTTACCAATGCCACAACAAGTTCAACCCGCCCTGCTCATCAACTGACAAACCAAGCTTTACGATAGACATACGTGTACCTTTCTGAACAGACAATCGTTCAGAGCGCTTCACTCACCCAGTTCGAACTACAACGTCACAACCACCATGGCCTCATCCGATCTAGATACTCTCGTCGACATGGGCTTTGATCGCGAGCGTGCTGAGCTCGCCGTCAAAGTCTCTGGGGGCCTTCAGTCGGCCATCGACTGGCTCGAGACCAACCAGGAAAAATCCATTGACGAGATCAAGCAAGCGCAAGCCAGCTCTTCTGCCGGAGCTTCAGATGAACCCCCAGCCCTCCAGCCCGGAGAAGAAGCAAAATCACTTGTCTGCGATGAGTGCGGCAAAAAGTTCCGATCAGTCAACCAAGCTCAATTCCACGGTGAAAAGACAGGCCACGAGCAGTTCAGCGAGTCGACCGAAGAAATCACGCCCCTCACAGAAGAAGAAAAGAAGCAGCGGCTACAGGAGCTGCGAGAGAAGTTGGCAGCGAAGCGCGCAAAGATGTCAGAACAAGACAAGGAGGACCAGAAGAAAAACGAGCAGATTCGCATGAAGGCCACAAAGGAGTCGCAAGACATCAGGGAGGAGTTACAAAAGAAGGAGCGTTTGAAGGAAGCTGCTGCTAAGCGTGCAGAGAAGAAGGCAGATGAGGAGGCAAGGAAGCGTGTGCTGGCAAAACTCGAGGCAGACAAACAGGAACGTAAGCGCAAGGCCGAGGAAGAAAAGGCAAAGCGTGCCGGTCAGGCTCCCCCTGCTCCAGCCGCACAAGCTCCTCTTGCGACATCTTCTGGTCCTTCAACAAGCAAGCCTGCAAGCGCATATACTGAGGCTCGGCTGGCGCTCCAGACACCCAGTGGAAGGGTTATGAAGACGTTCCCAGTAGAGACGACACTCTTCGAGGTAGCACATGCGCTGGAGCAGGACGGCTTGAGTGTTAACACGTTTACCACCAACTTCCCCAAGAAGACATACGACAAGACTGACTTTGGCATGACGCTCAAGGAGGCTGGCATGGTACCGAGCGCGGCCTTGATTGTCGGATAAGTTTCGAAGGCGGTTGACAGGGACACCGCGATTCTCTGAGGCTGGCGTAGCGATGATTCTGTACAAGAAGGAATGGGAAGATGGCGTTGGTGATGCGAGATTCATGGTAGATACCCTTGGAGAATGAGGTATCGAGTAGGTTTGATCAGATAGCCTGTAGTGGAACGGCTAGCAAAAATACTGATGAGTTATGAATGACGAGAACGCGCTCAACATTTCCCAATTTTTGTTTAATCGCGTGAGAAACCGGTTGTGTATGTACATGACATCTTTTCATACATCGGTATATCTGAGTTCCAAAAGCACAATGCGGACCCATTACTCATACTCATCGACATCATACCTCCCCTCAGCCCTCTGCGTACTGCACCACTCCTCACTCGCCAGCCCCTTCTCCTTCCTCCTAACCAGCGCCTCGGCGTCCTTGCACCAATCGCACGCAAAATCACATGGCGCAGGCGCCTCGTCAGCAAAATACTTCGCAATAATCTTATGGCGACACTTATCCGTAGCCTCACAGTAACCCACAAGTGCCTGCAAGCTCCTTGCACGATTCATAAGTTGCTGCTGCTGGGCATCTGGCCCCCCGCTTTTTGAGGGTTGGCGTGCCGTATCTCGTGCCATCATGTTGGCAGCGCGATCGCGGTCTTCGCGGCCGTAGTACAAGATACAAAGTGAGGCCTTGCCGTCGCGGCCGGCTCGACCGGCTTCTTGGTAGAAGCCTTCGAACGACTTTGGGATCTGCCAATGGACTACAAAGCGGACGTTTTCCTTGTCGATTCCCATGCCGAACGCGGTGGTGGCGACAATGATGTCGTAGCCGGGCTTGTTGGCGATCCAACTCGACAGGGCGTCTGCGCGTTCAGAGACGGAGAGACCGGCGTGGTAGGGTTTGGCTCCGATGCCGTCGGAACGGAGGCGTTCAGCGAGGGACTCACAGTCTTTGCGGAACAGGGTGTAGATGATGCCTGGGACATTATCTGTGCGCTGGTTTTGCGAGGCGAGTTGGGTAACACGCTCGGGTCTCTCAGCACGTCGAGCGTATATCCCTTTGAGCAGGGAAAGAAAGTCATCGTAGTGGTCTTCTTCGTCGGATTTAAAGCGTACTTCGTAGTGCAGATTTGGCCGGCTGCTGCTCATGCGGAACGTGGCCAGTTTCTTCGGGTCCAGTGCTAACGTATTGATGATGTCGTCTCTTACACGTGCCGTGGCCGTGGCAGTCAAACAAATAACTGGAATATCAGGAAATTCTGTCTTGAAGAAGGAAAGTTGCTGGAAAGATGGACGAAAGTCATGACCCCATTCGCTGACACAGTGGGCCTCATCAACGGCGATACGGGCCAGTTCGCGCTGGGAATGAATGACTCGCAGAATTTTACGAAAGTGATCACCTTGGCAGAATTCAGGAGTGACATAGAGTAGCCGAGTGAGTGGATGGCCACATTGGAGGTCTGCCAGGATTCTTTTTCTGTCCTCAGTGGGTGTCGTGCTGTTGATTGTTTCGACGCGGATATTGGCGTTGCGCAAAGAAGCGACCTGGTTATTCTATTTCCCAGTGAGATGACTTCATGCAGATGAACATTGGGTAATGTACCATGAGTGCTAGAAGTGGAGAGATGACAATGGTAACTTGGGTCATTAGTACAGGCATTCCTTCACATCAGGCTGCTCACATACTGCCAAAGTCCACAACTGCTGGAAGTTGGTAGCACAGGCTCTTTCCGAATGAAGTCGCTGCCTGGACGAAGACATCTTGACCTTCTAGTGTGGCCAGAACGACTTCACGCTGTGGCGGTCTAAATCAATGGTTAGTATGGTCGTCTCAGAAATAGACCAAAACACCCACCTGAATGCAGCTTTCTTGAAGACCTTTCTCAACGTAAAGTCTATGTTTGAGTACGGCCGCTTCCTTGGGCCAGGCATGATCCCGACACTAAACCTAGTACTATGTCAAGATCTTGGTGGGGAAACTCTGCACGATGAATATGCCGAATCGCCGCAATATCGTAGGTTGTAACGGCGGCCTCAGCAACAGGCAGAGTTGCATGTTGAGTTACACCGGTCAAGTTGGGGAGAGTATTATGGAGTGTTAATCGATAGGACGTGTCCGCCTCAAAAGTGTGACGCGCTAGCACGTGCGTCCCACTTTGACTACAACTCGAAGCATTTGTAGTCAGTCACCACCATACTTCACTTCCATAGAACAAAACACGGCATTTGGCGGCGAGATATTTAATCAAAATGGATACATGAAAGAATACTCAGAAAATTTGAAGGCCCAGTTCACCGTAACCAAATCCAAGTTCCAAGTCTGCGAGCAGAGCATTACTCGAGCAGAGCATTCACCACACATAATGGTCGCAACAAATACAGGACCAGAAGACCCACCCGGCTTCGCAATAAAAGACTTTTCTTCCTTCCCGCCAAAACTCCGCCCAGCCATCGCCGACAAGGTAGCCAAACTCGAAAAGAAAATCTTCCCCGCTATAGAGCATTTCAACTACGACGTCGAGCTGAAGAAAAAGAACACGGGCTTGCTCCTGGTGTTCAAGGAAGACGATGAAGAAAGATTGGTCGCTTATCTCGTGTACCAGCGGATGAAGAGGCTGGCGTGGCTACACAAACTTTGTGTTGTTGAGCAAGAGAGGCAAAAGGGTGTGGGCAAGGCGCTGGTTCAAATGTTTCACTATCAGATGGAAAGAGGAGGGTGTCAGACAGTATTTTTGTGGGTCGATGAGAGCAGACAGCCGGCGAGGGCATTGTATATGTCATGTGGCTTTCAGCAGTCTGAGCGCAGGCCAGATTATTATGGTCCTGGGCGTACGGCTTTGAAGTTGGAGTTGACGATTGGAGAATGAGGTTGTGCGCTGTCTTGGGTTTTGATACAGCCTCTCGATGACGGGAATTGTTCAAGCTCATGTTCTATGACCTTACGGGAATACGAAGAACCGTCATATGGGATTCATGGGTGGACTTCTATGGGATAGCAATGCTTCCCTGATCGTCTAATCTGAGCAAAGTACGCCATGTCCTAGTGACCCCATATCTATATATCACCCTATTCGCGAACCGATACGCCGTATACAATGCAACTCCACTCAAGCAGACACCTACAACTGGATATCATTGTTCAGCAATCGCACCTCCTCGCCAGGCTTGAATGCCGGTAGTCCGATATACGGGCATCCATCACACCTAAAAGCGTCGCCCAGCGCGCAGTTCCCGCAGCTGCCCACCTTGCCTTGAACTGTAAAGTCCACCTCGGCGAGATCATCAACGTCTAGTTTGAGTGCGTTCAAGGCCTTGTCGGCGGAGGCGCGTCTGGCGGTATCTTCAGCTTCGAGCTTCTCCTTCATACCACAAGTGCAATCTTTGCAAGCACGTCGTCGCTTTCCTGGCTTGGGCTGGCATTCAGGTGCTATGATTTGTTAGTCCAAGGAAGCCAAATTGAGAGAATTGAAGATATACGTTGGATGACAGGCCGGGCCATGTCTGCTTCAGTGATGAATTCGTCTTCGTCAATCAGATCGTCATCTTCGCCAGTAATGATGGGGCCGTCAAGATCATCGCTAAAGTCCACGAAACCTACGCCATTTGGCTTGGCTGGTTCGGTTTGGTTGCGCTTGCCATTGAGGTTGAGCGGGACAGAACCGTCTGGATTGACCGTGCTGTTTGTACCATTTGTTCCATTGGCGGCGCCTGTCTTCTTCTTGCCAAACTTCAGCGGTATCGACACAGCCTCTTCTTGCTCTGGCTTTGTCATGCCATCTGCCGTTTCCGTGAGTCCAGCAAGGATAGCCTCTGTTTTCTCGGAGCCTTGGAGAGGACCAGCCTGACTCTTGAGCACTCCTCCAACCTTCAATGCGCCCACTACTTTGTTCATAACATCGCGTGCTAGCAGTTTGTGGCTTTCGCGAGTTGTACCGTCGGCGTCGGCAAGGAGAAGGACAACATCATACGTTGAGGCGGGCAGATTGACGAGACCGGCCGCGATGCGGTCCAGCATCTGCAAGTCTGTTGATTTGCGGTCATGGATTTCGTAGACCTTATCGAGTTGCTCAGGATGCGCTGCGATCGACGGCGTACCGATAAGTAAGCATCGCGGGGCCATGGCGGGGTACAGTGGCGTGTGTGTGCGGATGGAGGGGCAGATTTGTGTCGCAAAGCCAAATGTAAAAGCAAGAAGTCTTGGGAAAAAGAAGCAGAGATGTGAGAAAAACACAGTGGTGGATGTACCAAGGCGTGGCCGGGAAACTTTTCTCAAGATAGTTTGCGGCCTCGGAGGCGTGCTGATGCAAGCAACAAATCCGCGGCGATTGGTCATACGACCCAGGGCCGATGGCGAAGGCGGAACGAGCTGACCCTCACGTGATACCGGGGCCACTGAGGCACGGCGCATGACTTTGGCCGGCCTATGTGGGGCTACTGCATTAGCGCTCATGAGATACTTGTGGAATCCGGGGTAGGGAACGCTGCCCACTCGAGGTTGTGAGCCAAGTAACTCTGGTTATTGCGCGATACAAAGGCTTTATGTAGATACTGGATATATAAGAGTACGCAAGTATGGCTGGGTCGATGAATTGAACCAGCCTGCGCCGGTGTTGTTCAGCATTTTGCCTCGGGTCTCTTGCTCAAAGCACGCGACCAGCATGCGCGCCAGGTACCAAGTGACGTACGTACCCAGCTCCCCTCGCTCCCCAGTTCCTTTCCTCATAGAGCCCAGGGACCGAAGATCCGGGTGATAAAACCACGCTGGCATCAACTTTACCTTCTGTACATTGCAATGGCCAGCATCGGGCCCTTGCAAGCGAATCTTCTAGATAATGGCACCAACAAGGCCCCGTGGTGGTGTAGTAGGTGCTTTCCATATAAAGGGAGCACCGGGTGCTTTTGCCAGCTTCCCCGCTCTGAGAACCATACGCGTGAGACACACTACGCCTGCCCTAAGTTTTGACCGGATCCACGCTCTTCTTCCCCTCCTCAACTCGCGCCATTGCTCTTGTGCTCATCGCTGCTGTGACTCAAACCAACTCCAGTCAGATCTGCAAGGTACGCAAACCGGCTATGCTGTTTTACTACGCAAGAAGACGCCATCGGGCCAAAGCTCCTATCACGAGACCATGTACTGACCCGCTGCTCCAGAGTACCTTTAAGCACGCTTGGAGTAATCCCGAGCTCCGTCCTTGTCTACTTCAGCTCGACACCACCCTCTTACATCAACCCTCTTACATCAACCCTCTTACATCAACCCTCTTACATCAACCCTCTTACATCAACCCTCTTACATCAACCCTCTTACATCAACCCTCTCACATTGTACACTTGCACTTACCATATACTCCACCAGCTAGCTGCACACCAACAAGTGAGTGCTTCCTTTCATCATGTCTCTGTTGCCTGTCTTGCTCGCTGGTATTCACCTGACGCTGGTTCACTCAAGCTCATAACGTCATCTATGGCTGTTCAATACCCTTAATGCGAGTAGTATACGATTTAACTCTAGATACTGACTGTTAAACCTAGTGACTCGCTCCCACAAGTACACTGACCGTGACCACGCCGGCATTGCCGATGGCACTGCCGAGCGTGAAGCACGTCTTCCCAAGTACTTTGCCAAATCCGGCCATGCCGACACTGACCCAACCAAGACGAAGAAGGGCGGCAGCGGCAAGGGCAATTGGTAAGTCTTGCGCCCTCTTACCCATCCTCAGCATATGTTCCGAAAGACCCGACGAATATGTTGCAGCGCTACCTGCCGTTCATCACATGCCTCTTTTTACCCTCAAGATATAGTAGGCTGACGGTACATGCAGGGGTGCCATGGGCGACGAAGTCGAAGACATTAGGCCCAACATGGCCAATGCTCGCCGTCGAAGTAACTCATCGACCCATAACTTGAAGGACTTCAAGACCAAGTTCGAAACCATCGAGACTGAGCCCGTCTTCGAAGAATCAATCCACGGCCCAATGGGTGAGGAGCTCGAGAAGCAGAGCACTACTTCTACCGAGAACAGCATTGCTGAGGAGGACCACGGCAAGAAGTTCTAGTTGCAGTCAAACGACGCAAGCGGTATCGGTATGGCTGCGACTTGACTGGCTAGTTGATTCGTGGGAAGCCATTACCTGGTGACTGCCGTCGGGTCTTTGACACCATCTGTACAGTGTGGAGCATGTCGTTTTATTTATCATGTCGACAGCTGCGATGTAAAGCCTTCACTTCATGTACCTGACGTAAATTGTAATAAGTAACTTTATGAGAAATGAGAAACGAATCTTCAAAACCAGCTTTCCGTTGCCTAGTGTGATAAAACAACGGCCGATCTGAAGGCTTGTGCTCGTGCTTGGTTTTTTTCTTTGGTCAAGAACCACGTTTGAGTCGGCGGGACACGCAAGAAGCGCCAGCTGCGTTCAAAGTTTGGTGGTACCTGGGGATCCTTTTAGGCTTGTACTTGCAATGCAACGAGAGCATATAGTGCATCGATGGGAGATGAAAGCGCACTGGTTTGAGGGTGCAGCAGCATGCATGTGCAAGAAATTGCTAGATAGTCGATTCTAATGCGCCACGTTGGTGAAAGGTTGGCCTCAGGACACGAGATCCGTTTGCAGAGCATGTTGTTTAACTCCGTGTCCTAGCGTTGATCGGATCCCTGTCACCAAAGCTTCCAAAACAGACGCATTCTTAGTTGTCAATCACCAACAACCCAAGCGAAGAGCCAACACCATCACCGGCGCGCTCTTTCGCGTTCTAAACCACCTCAAAACACACAGTCCATCATGTTTTCGCCAGAGGCTTCGATCCAGAGCGCGCGCAGCTCCCTGCGCAATCCCCGACGCCGCCAGCGCAAGGACTCGGACGGCCCCCAGCAGCAACGGAGCCGGAAGCGCAGTAAGCTCAACGATGAAGCCTTCAAGGACCCAGCCGGCGCGCACATGAATGGAAATGGGAGCGTTCAGATTAATGGCCATGCAGTTCAGAGCGTCGAGAATTCCGTTGTTCTGGTTGACATGCCCGTCCGCGAGAAGAAGACAGCACCGAAGCAGCGCGCGCCCAAAGAAGAGACTGGTTCATATCTTGTGAGTCTACAGAGTAGCCCGGACATTGGCCATCGCTGACAGGATGCATTATAGACAAAAAACGCAAACTACAGCGTAAAGAAACTCCCCGGTTTTCCATCAGCGCTTCTCCGCCCTTCGAGTATGCCGCAGCCTCACCCCGTCCGACGCGCGCTTGCTAACTGACATTACCAGCCCCCATATATGCAACCGCACTCCCCTCGGCTGGTCTCGCACTCGCCCTGACTTCGGATCGAGCCCTCATCTGGGACTACAGCGCCCCGAACGGCCCTACAAAGGTCGTCTCCTTAAATCTGGGCTTTGGCCTAAGACCATCCGAGCCTCTGCCACTAGGTGCCATCGTGCGCAACGGCCCCACAAACGACTTCGGTGTCGTCGCACTCGCGCCTTCGACAGGCAAAATCAGTTTCTGGGAGAGCATCGACAGCGCCGATACCCGAAGCCTCTATCCCCAGCGCCAACAAGGAGTGGAGGGCTTCGTCAAGCTATACTCTGGAGAAACCATAACCGACCTGGTAGACGTCGAGCATGCGGGCTATGTCCTGGTCTTCAGCAGCGGCAGGTTGGCTCAACTTACCCTGCGCGACTCGCAAGGCAGGCCCAACGTTGTAACCACCGTTTTGAGCGCGCCCAACAGTTCGGGTGGTAGCTTCTTCAGCCTCAAGGGCCTGTTGGGAGGATCGATTCGCAAAACCATTGCCTCAGTCAAGGCCCGTACTTCGCAGTCAAAAGGCCACATGGATGTCATATCTGCAACAAAGAACGGTCTCTTTCAGCTTTGGGATTTGAGCTGGTCAGGACAACATAGCCATCATCGGGATGTGGATGTACACGATACAATTCTTTCGGTGCTCCAGGTTAACACAGTGCCGGAGATACGCAATCAGCAGGATGTGCATGTGCTGGACTTTGCAATCGTCGAACAACAGCAGAGGCATGACGTTGTTGAGCTTCTCGTGTTGGTGGCCTTGTCTGGTCGAGATTCGATGGATTATTCTCTCCTCGAACTGGTCTTATCAGGAGCTGGGGGCACAGTCAACAGGGTGATTCCGCTTCGCAACTTTCACCAACCCCAACTACCAAAGGAGCCCACCGGAACCCTGTTGGTCCCGCAACCCGGACACACCGCGTATGTTCAGTTCCCAGGCGCCATGTGTGTGACTGCCCTCACCCGACCCGAAGAAAGCCCTGAAGCACAACTACTGGCAGATGCCGGACGACCCAGCCTGCCTTTTCAGGACACAATATACTTCCGCCCAGATGTAACGATATCTGGAAATGCCCTGGAGATAGCACTACGAAAAGACAGACGAGCGACCGCACTCATCTTTGTCCAACAATTCGGACTTTTGCAGATCAGTGCGCTATCACCCACTACGGACGAACAGGATAATGAGCGAGCTAAGGTCACGGCACTCAGCAAACTTGAGCAAGCGACATTCTTCAGCACTATTCCTGGCAACATTATTGACTTTTCCGTGAAGTCACGGTTTTCGTTTCCAGAAGAAGAGACTGCGGAGGCGGCGCGTGCCATTAGCGCTGGTATTTTGAGCTCGTCCTACGACTACCTGGAGAAGAGCACCTCAAACATGGACGAACAATTCCAGCAACGCACTAGCGCCCTGCAAACTTTGATCTCGCAACTGCAAAGCAATTACCCACCGCTGTCTTTTGATACAAAGTGGCGGCTCCTTTGGCACGCGGAAAAGTTAACGGCTGCACATAAGCTGTGGAATTGGTACCAGGACAAACTGCAGGATCAGCAAGCTCATCCAGACGCGTATCCGGAAAAGATTCTAATGAGCGATATCATTAGAGCCCTGAATGAGCGCTACAAGACGCCCATCGACCCTGAGCTTGGCGAGACCGATACCATCCGACAATTCTTCCTCAAGGATGTCGACTCTCTGGGTGTATTGATTCCTTGGGGCTGGTTCTACCTGCGAACCTTTTATATGAAAGAGGGCGCAAAGGAACAGGGGTCGATTATGCAGAGGCTCAGTGAGGGTACTGATGTCATGCTTGTGGCTTTGGAGGCTGCTTTTAAGTTTCGGCAAGCCAATGTGGAACTGTATGGGCTCGATGGTGATTGCCTCGACGACGGCATTCTCAGACCAGAAGAAGGCTACGACCTGCTTCCCCAGTTCTGGACGTCGTCTCACAACATTGTCAGCTCAATTCGTAGCCTCATTGACGTTGGCCGGAATCTCGCGGTGGAAAACTACGAAGAAGGCTACCAAGAGATTCTTGCGCAAAAGATTGGCAAAGACAATCCTCGCCTGGTGAAGCTGGGTTGTCAAACGCATATCGAACGCTTCCAATGGGCTCTTGCGCAGAGTGACGAGAAGACGCGAGCAATGGGCCGCAGCCTCAAGGACGAATGGAACAACAATGTCCGACCATCGCACATTATGGGCTTGATGGAGATTGGGCTCGCAACAGAAGGAATGAAGCTGGCTGAACAGTACCGGGATATGCCCACGCTGGTGAGCCTCATTTGGGAAGAGACGAACTGGCTCGAATCAGAAAAGGCGAGCACACGCAGCAAGATGGAGCAGGCGGAAAGCACAGTCAAGCTCAACAGGATCAAGGAGCGTATCGCGCGCTACTTTGCCATCTACGGCGACGAGTGGGCTGGAGCTTTCTACAACAAGTACATTACCGAGAACCAAGCGGGCCAGCTGTTCATGAAAGACTACCTCAACCAACCAGCGCTTACCAAGTTTTTGCGCTCCGAACCTTCGCGCGTGCGGCTCGCGTGGATCAACGATGTGTGCGGCGAGAAGGATTACGAGGCCGCAGCTGAGGCACTGTACGAGGCTGGTTCGAAGCAGGAGACTAACTCGTGGTGTCAGCGTGTGGAGCTGTCCATGGCCAAGCTCGCTCTCCTGTGCAAGAAGGAGGCGAAGGAGGGCAACGAACAGCAATCACTGTTTGATGGGCGCCGGGAGAAGCCAAAGGCTTTGAAGATGCGCGAAGCCATGTTTCAGAGCATCGAACAGCAGTTGGAGTACACCAAGATCCAAGAGGAAGTCTACGAGCGACTGCTCCCCGTCATCACGGGTGCTCTAGACGAGGACTCTGCCGTCGAACTGTTGATGAATGAGTTTGGTCAAGGCCGTCTCAAGGACAGGCCAGCGCATCAGGCGATTCTCAAGGAAGGCTTTGAGAATCTTGTGCAGCACAAGGTGATTGATGCGGCCCTCATGATTGACATTCTTACATTGATGAATGCGGATGACAGCGAGGAGGGTACGACTCTGCTGGGAGGAGACGAGTTCGTCTACGCCTTTAGAGTTCTGGTTGTGAGCTGGCAAAACATTCATCGAACGACACGCGAAGGCCTACTGAAGCTGGTGTGGAAGCGATTGGCTATCAAAGATGACTGGGCTACGATCAACAACACGAGGGACATTACGGACACTAGGATCACTGATGTGCTCCGGGATACTGCAGTATCATGGACATTCCGGGCCTTGTTCAGGATGTGTGGTAAGCTGCCAAGTCTTAGCAAAGGATACTCACTCGCTAACGTTTCCGCAGCCGAGAACCCATTTGCTCGGATTGTATGGCCCAAGAGCCTGCGGGATCTTCTGGGAGCCGGGGGTACGCATGGCGAGCTTTGCGTGCGCTTTGCAGCCGAGGATCTCCGCGAGCCCATTATCAGGGACAACCTGCTTGACGACGATATTCTACAAGAGCACTTGGAGAAGAACAGGCTTAGTGACTGGTTCAAGGAAGCATGGAAGGCGGGCAGGGCAATGTATGACGAGGAGCTAGTGCTCGAGGGCAAAGCGCAAGCGGCGCCTGCCGAGCCCGAGACGATGGTCAATGGGGCAGGGGCAGAGACAGAAGCAGAGGCAGAGATTGAGGCAGAAGCAGCAGGGTCGGATACATTTGATGGAGACGATGAGAGCGCGTTAGAGCAGGAACGCGATGTTGAGATGTTGGAGTCGTGAGAGTGATGGGCTGTGGCTGGGAGTCGGCTTCGTATTCGGGAGTTTATCGGGCGCGGAGAAGGCTGGGTAAGCGAGCAAGCATGAAGCATCTAGGACGGCGTTGGGTAATCTGTGGCCGCCAAACGCGCAGACGGGCTGTTTTTTCTTTTTCTTCGCATTCTCTTCTTCTCCTCCGTGTTCTTTTTCTTCTTCTGTTTTTAACTTTTGCTTTCTTGTATATGGCTGTATTTGTAGCACCGGGGCATGGTGCAGGCGTTGGGTGGCGGTCATGACTAGGCAGCAGAAGGGGGGATGGGGGAGGATGGACTGTTGTGGACGGGAGTGTATAAGATTTGACGATTCGGGTAATGCATGAACATTGGCGAGCATCCATGAATAGTGACATGCACAACGGCGTATTGGCCAGGGTCTCGACTGTGTTCTGTGGGCCTGAGCGTTCATTTGACGGTGGAGACTAGCCTTGGCGAAGGCGGAATGTGGCGCCAGCGAGTGAGGGTGGAGGGCGACACGCAGCCAATAATGTGCGCAGACCGTGACCGTTGTATGCACGCTGTCGCCCAGAGACAGCAAGATAGCCAGCGCGACGGTGAGGCGGACCAGGTCGCGTAGTCGGCGTGGCGCTCAGGTGGACGGTTAGCTACTGTCTCGGGGTGAAGCAGCTACGACAGGCATGGCCAGCCGCGGGCTGGTTGCTTGGGAACGCTGCAGCGGTGTGCGGCGGCGCAGATTGGGGCAGCTTGCCGCAAAAGATCATCGCTCGCCAGTGGATAGCCGGCTCGCTGTGGGCGTCGATGCTGGCCGTGGTTACGATGGGCTCTGGGTCGCGCGCCTTTCCCCTTGGGCGCACGCGCGCCAGTGTCGTGTGTGGTTGCGGGACCGACTGTCGAATCTCCGCGACCAGGCATGGGGCACTGCTTTTTCCTCGGAGACATGCTGGTTTGGGCGTGGGCAGTTCTGCAGGTACACACTTACATGGCACCTACGTATTTACATATTACTAGCAGTACGTAGTACCCAGCCAGCAAAACACATGACAGCCATCCGTCTGGTTGCCGTGGGTTACAACACATACACACACATACACACACACGCACGCTGTCCGGCCTGGCAGTCCATGTACCACAGAACGAGGGCGAGGACAGCCTTGGGACATGGCGCCATTAGTACATGTATGGTTCTTTGTGCACACACACATATATATATATAACTATATATATGTGTATACAAACATACATACAATATATACATACATACATATATACATACAGACACATGTACATGTACACACATATATACACACATACACTCCATGACAACCGCCCGGCAAGTGCGTCGGGACAGGTCGTCGCCCTCAGGTGGTCACAGTCCCGTGCTCGCGCTCGCTGTGATGAATTGGCCTAGTGAGCCGGATGCAGGCTAAGGTGCGCCGCGCACGGGCCCCCAGTGTCGCTCCCAGCAGCCCCTTCTCCACGCCTTTTCCACCCTTCGAGTCGGCTGCTCTTCTTCACTACCCACCCCGTCGTCTCACGTCTATTCTTCTGACCTCCCCGTCAACTCGTACGCTGCCGTCAGCAGCCTCGTCGCTCTCGACTCGCCCTCGATTCGACCGACCTCCCTCCTACCCGACACTCCTCTCCCCTTGGTAAGGACGCCGAGTCGCGTCCCCCGGCTGCATAGCCCCAAGCCTCATCAGCGGAGAACGGCTGCGGCCCTGCCTCGCTGTCGCCACAACCACCACGACTTCCGCTGCGGCGATTCCTCCCTCCTTCCATCTCCTCGTCACCACCACGTCAACACACCCCCGTCACCATGGCCAGCGGCAGCACGAGTTCCAACGTTGTCGGCGTGCACTATCGCGTCGGCAAGAAGATCGGCGAAGGCAGCTTCGGCGTCATCTTCGAGGGCACCAACCTGCTCAACCAGCAGCAGGTTGCCATCAAGTTCGAGCCGAGGAAGAGCGATGCTCCTCAGCTGCGTGATGAATATCGCACTTACAAGATCCTTGTGGGCTGCCGTGAGTCTCTACTTTCCTTCCCCCTTTACCGCCTGTTGTGTCCAACCAGCCCTGCCACGGCACGTGTTTCTGCAGGGACACCAGACACACCCATACCTGACCGGGCCTGTCAATGCTTGGTCGCGCAGTGTATGGACAATGCTCTGTCGATGCCAGCCAACTTCCATCATCAATGTTGCTGCATTCATCTCATCAACTACAATGTTTGTTGTCTACGCCCGTTGCTAGCCTCGGCATCGGTATTGCGCACATCACGGACCACACACATACACACACATATACATATCTATATATTGCAAGAACAAGACTGACCAAAAACAGCCGGGATCCCTAATGTTTATTACTTTGGTCAGGAAGGCCTCCACAACATTCTGGTCATTGACCTCCTTGGCCCCAGTTTGGAGGACCTCTTCGACCACTGCAACAGAAAGTTCTCCATCAAGACTGTTGTCATGGTAGCCAAGCAGATGGTATGCATGACAACGAATTGAACGCCCTACTCACGTACTTACCTTTTGCAGCTTTCGCGCGTTCAGACCATCCACGAGAAGAATCTCATCTACCGCGACATCAAGCCGGACAACTTCCTTATCGGTCGCCCCGGCTCCAAGAGCGCTAATGTCATCCATGTGGTCGACTTTGGTATGGCTAAGCAGTACCGTGACCCCAAGACCAAGCAGCATATCCCTTACCGGGAACGCAAGTCTCTGTCCGGTACCGCTCGATACATGAGTATCAACACCCATTTGGGACGCGAACAGTCGCGTCGTGATGATCTCGAGGCCCTCGGCCACGTCTTCATGTACTTCCTGCGCGGCGGGCTGCCATGGCAAGGCCTCAAGGCTGCCACCAACAAGCAGAAGTACGAGAAGATTGGAGAGAAGAAGCAGACTACTCCAATCAAGGACCTCTGCGATGGCTTCCCTGGTACGTCGAATATAGTCACGACAAGCTTGTTTCATACTAATGATATGCAGAGGAGTTCAACAAGTACCTCAGCTACGTCCGTAACTTGGGCTTCGAGGATACCCCCGACTACGACTACCTCCGGGAGCTCTTTACCCAGGCCCTCAAGAGCACTGGAGAGATTGAGGATGGCGAGTACGATTGGATGAAGTTGAACAATGGCAAGGGCTGGGAGGCGATGAAGTCGCACCCCTCCGCTGTCCAGGCCATGCATCACTCCAACGTCAACCCAAACTCGTCCATGGCCGTCAATCTCCAGGGCCAGCAGCACAGGCAGCAGAAGACGCACCTCCCCATCGACCACCATCGCTTAAACGAGCCCCTGCCCAAGCCTGGAGCGACGCGCGCCCAGCAAGGAAGAAGCCCAAGAGAGAACATGAACCGTGATTCTCAGATTAAGAGGAAGAGCATGGGTGAGCTCGCACCTCCTGAGGGCGCATCGACACAAGCGCAGTTTCAGCACAGCCAGCAAAACTTGTCACAGAACCGCGCTGCACCTGCCAGCAGCCCAACTCCTCAACAACCGAGACAGCAGTCTCCCGAGAAGCCGAGCTTCATGCAAAAACTGGCAAACGCGCTATGCTGCGGCGCCAGCAAGTAGTAGTCGCGGCCCTCAAGCTTGGTTTCCTTCCCTTTGCGTTGCATCCTGGAGTCCGTTCTTTGAGCGATAGTATTCCTTCGGTCACGTTTTCTTCCTGTATAGGTATCTTGTAATGATTGATAGACGGGATCGAAAATCTCCTTCCACGGTAATAGTTACGACGACCGATCGACCGAACTGCCTCCTACACGAGCCCGGATCTCTCATCAGCGCCGAAAAAAAACATTACTACCATCTTTTTGTCTTCATGTTCGCGCTCCCGTGTTGCAAGACCACATGACCTGGCGGCCATGCGTTGTGGGAGTGCGAGTGCTTTCGATTGGGCGCTTGCGGCGTTGAGGTGTGCTTGGCGAGGGCTTGCACTTGTGGCATGTCAATTTCTTTATCCAATTTTTTGTTCTGTTTTTGGTACGAGGAAAATATAGCATGTAAAGGAGTCTCTTTTCAAGTCCCACGGCAGTACTGTATTCTTTGTACAGAGCGCGAGCGAAGGTCCGAGACGAAAAGAAACAGACGGAGCGCGCTTTAGTTCTGGTAGAGTAGTTGAGAAGAACGCAAATAGATCAACTCACCACACCAAACGGGTGCATTGCCATGGTGCCTTTTTGGGGGGCGCGCTGCTGCACTTGTCCTTGAGCAGCAGCTGGTAGATAGGTAAATGGTGACAGCCATCAGAGAGACTTGACACGGTTCTGAAGGGAGCTAAGAGGGGTCGTGATCAGATGGCCTGGAGCTATGGCCTTTTTGCGTATTTGATTGGAAGGTGCCTTAACAGCGGCAATCCATGACTCCATAGCTGTACCAACCTGTAGCGGCAGCAGAGAACCTGGACTGCGGCTTGTTCGGCCTTTTTGCCTTGATTTTGGTCGCATTCCCATTTGAATACTTTTGCGCGCACCTTTTTGGGTTTTTTATGCCCACCCAACCCGATTTTCTGCCAAATATTGATTTCTCTCACACGTGAGGTACCCGCCGCCGCAGGGTCCAACGCGACTTCCCAACATCGAAATTAAGCTCGTCCACTCAGCCTGGGACCTGCGATTCCATCAACCGCACCCTCTCCTTTCAACCGCTCATTGACGGACGGCGCCTTGCGATAGTTGCGATGGCGTCGGGACGCGATGTGCGCGATATGCTCGGCCTGCCTGCTGCCGGCGGTGATGCGCCAAAGACAGTAGGTTCAGCAGCACTGGCGGCGCAGACACAGAAGCGGTCAAAGCCTGCGGGAGGGAGCAGGAAGATACGTACGTTTGGCAACTCTTACGTCTTTCCTTGGGAAATCGTCAAAAGGTCGAGACTGACTCTCATTCGACCAGAGGGCGTTGCGCGCGAGGTTGCTGCGCTGTATGGTGAACGGCCGCCGCCCGTCGCCGTCTACGAGGAGAAGAAGGCGTACAGGGCGAAGAGGCAGAGCACAGGGCCGGCAAAGAAATGGTACGTCTGACAAAAGAGAGATACAAGAGGATGGACTAATCGCGTTGCGCAGGATACAACAGCCTTTTATCAATCCCGCGCGTGCCGATGGCCTTGTGCTGAGGCACTGGCGGCGCAAGCCCACAACCGCACCGCCTGTACAGGAAGCCGATGACGCGACGATGCACGAAGGCGATGCGGCAGACACCTTGGACACCTATGTCGAAACATGCTCAGACTACGCAAAGTACGACATCAAGGTCGACATGCCCAGCTTCACCGACGAGGAGTACGACCAGTTCCTGCGCAGTGACGACTGGAGTCGCGAAGAGACAGACTACCTATTTGAAGTCGTCCGAGACTACTCGTATCGATGGCCTGTCATATGGGATCGCTACGACTACCAGCCGTCGCGACAGTACGCGCCAGACTTGACAGACGGTGGCGACCAAGCACTCGCGACGATGCCGTTTGCGCCATCGAAAAAGCGATCACTGGAAGATCTCAAGGCACGCTTTTACGACATCTCTGCGAAACTCATGAAGCAGCGTATACCTGAAGTCTCCATGGATGCCGACCAATACAGCCTCTACGAGATGCTCACCAAATTCGATCCCGTCATGGAAAGGAACCGTAAGATGCTGGCTACAGCGCTCATCAACCGCACAATGGACGAGGTCAAAGAGGAGGAGTTTTTGCTCACCGAGCTCCAGCGCATCAACATGGCTGCCAACCGTCTCGATGCCGAACGCGAAGAACTCCGGGCACGGCTCGACGCACCACCACAGAACCCACAAGCCTCGGCAGGGCTACAAGCCTTTACATCGTCACAAGCACTACAAGCTCTCTTCCAGCAACTATTCCAACAAGACCGCAGCAAGAAGCGTGCAGCCGGCGGTGGGTCAGGACCTGGTCGGCTCAGTCTCTCCGCCAACGACATGGTACACACTCCCGGCTCAGCGCAGCAACAACTATCCGCCGCGAATCGCCGGCAAAGCATGGCACAGAACCAACAAACACCCGCCCAAACGCCTGTCAAGCATCTCTCTCCACACCAAGAGTATCGCTTCAACGTATCAACACACGACCGGCTTACATCAGGTGTTACATTCGGCTCTGATAAGTTGCTTAAGATGCGACAGGCCAAGAGCAATGTTCAGACACAAAAGATTGGCCAAATGCTTGCAGCGCTGGGTGTGAGTGACATTGTCCCGATACCCACTAGTAAAGTGGGTGAAGTCTTTGAAGTTTTGGTTACCAAGGTCAGCAAATTGCTCGATGTGCGAAAAGTGCGCGAGAAGGAAGAGGGAGAATGCAAAGTTTTGCTTGCTATGAAAGAACGACGCATGGGTAGTGGAAACGGAAACAACGGCGGTGGCGGCGGTGAGGATGGCGAGAGCAGACCGAAACAAGAAGTACGCGATTCGCAAGAAACACCTGGCGCGGATGCTGATGCCGACGGGGATAATGACGACGAAGACGATGTCAACAAGAACTATGGCGACGATGCCGAAGGAGACAATGATGCAGACAATGCTGAGGACGACGCCGAGGGCGAAGAGGACGAAGGTGGTTTCAATGGTGAAGACGCCGATGATGGCGATATGGACGCAGAAGGCGAGGACGACAGCAAACAACAGTCTCGAGCAACGAGTCACAGCGCGTCTGGTCAAGGGCACAAGAGAAGTGCAAGTGTCTTTTCACAAGGGAGCGAGATGAGCAGCAAACGAGCGAGAAAGTAGAAAGCTTGGTGTTTTCTTTTCGTTGTTGTCGTCTTCATGGGTTGTTGATATTATCCCCTGTGTGCCTTGAACATTTGCATAGCGTTGGCGTTTATGGGAGGGAATAAAGATAGGGCTAAGGGAAAGAATGGGGGTTCATGATCCCATCCATCAGTAATGGATACATGGATTAGGCTATGTTTCTAACAAATGTACAAATACCTCTTTTGCTTATATTTACAATCCTATGCTTCTTGTGAAATTTCTTATGCATAACTTCATCTCAGAGCATCACATTTTCGCCTTGACATTACCATCATCCTCCTCCAACCTTGCAAACAACGGCGCCCCCCGTCCCCCCTTGAACAGCCCCAACATCTCCTTCCCCATCCACGCCTCCCTACTCTTAATCAATCCCGCCTCCACATCCGCAAACCGATCCCCCTGCACCCAAACGCCCTTACCATTCGCCGCCATGCCCTCCCCTAACAACCCACACACCGCCCTCGCAACCGCATCTGGCGAATTAATCGGTACTCCGGACTTGGCCATCTTCCTTGCATGCTCCTCGGGCGGTAAATCCCGCAACTCTGGTAGACCCTGCGCAAGGATCGGGGTAACAGTTATGCCCGGCGCAACGAGCGAAATGGCAATGCGTAATTTGGCGCATTCCTGCTTGAGCGCACGCATCAACCCGACAAGACCGTGTTTAGCAGCCGAATAGAGGGGAGCGCCCGCGGAGCCGAGGTAGCCTGCCAGACTTGCCGTCAGGACTATTGATCCCGCGAAGTCGCCACCGCCGCCATTCTTGCGCAGGTAGTGGATTGCGAGTTTGGTAGTGGACGCTGCGGCGTTGAGGTCCAAAGTGAGGACTCTGTGGTCGGGCTCGGCTAGGTTGCCGGAGGCATCGAGGGTCGAGGTGAAGAATTGGTCGGCGTGTTCGGCTATGCCGGCGTTGACGAAGACGGCGTCTATGCGGGAGAACTTTGCGTGCGCAGCGGCGAAGGCGTCGCGCTGGGCGGCCCAGGAGGTGATATCGCAGGTGTGCACGAGGAGGTGGGAGGGAGAGTGAGTGAAGGTTGGGGGTGGGGGGTGGAGGTCTACGAGGATGAGGTTGTGGTTTGGGTTGAGGGCGGAGAGGAGGGTGGCAGTTGCGAGACCGATTCCTGAGGAGCCGCCCGTTATGAGGATTGTTTTCGGGGTGGAGTTTGGGGATGTGAGGGTAGAGAAGGAAGGATGGAAGAGGGCCATTGTTGCTCTTGTGGTATGGGATGAGGAAGAATGTTTTGCGATGTAGTGCTATGTCAAGTATTTTTACATGGCAGTGTTGTCTAAGACAATGAAGCTAGGAATAAGCTTGAACATGATTGACAGTGAATAAGTGATTTTATACTAGTGAGCGGATTCGGATTTCGAGATCCCGACTTGCATCTCGTGCATATACATATGCCGTGATTGGGATCCTTTACCTAGGTTAACGTCGTATTTGCGGGGTTATCTTACGATACGCCCTTCTGGGCATGTATCCTGAATCATGACAGTCGCTGTTGATTCGACTGGGGAAATACGTGAGGATGGTAACGTTTTTTAGTCAGTATCTGGTATACTAAAGGCTAGTGAGAGGTAGAAAGAATGCCTTCTTCGTAGAAGCCGGATAAATTTGAGCATGACCCTGGTCATAAAGCCTCGAAGCACGATATGAAAACGCTTTAGAGAGACTATAATGTCTCCAGGTCTTTGCAAAGAAATTAAGAAGATGCATAGATTTCCATAGTTGAAAGTATGCATGTAGTCAACTCCAGGTGGTGGGGGTTTCAGCGCGCCAAACAAAGGAGCGGCGCACGTGTCGAGAGTCTAACCGCTTTCGGAACGTACACCTGGAGTTTCTGGAACTCGACACATGCACTTTGAGCTCCGGGATTCCCAAGTGCACAAGCTCACCAACATTCAAACTCCGCGCTACGACCAATCCTTTTTCGCGGGGTGACTCTCGACCTCTCAGAATGTGGAAACCAACAGTCCTGCTCGCTGCTGCCCTGGCGGTTCCGGCACAAGCACTTCACTTCTTCCTGGACGGCGCAGTCCAAAAGTGCTTCTACGAGGAATTGCCAAAGGATACACTGGTTGTTGGTACGGGCTACCCTTTGGCTCTGGTCTTTCAAGACTGCTGGGCTTTGGAACAGAGCAAAAGAGCCATAACTAACAATATCAGGCCACTACCACGCCGAGCCCTGGGACGACGCGACCAAGTCCTACCTGCCCAAATCCGAGGTCGGCGTCTTCGTAACCGTTGAGGAAACATTCGACGACAACCACCGCATCGTGGCCCAAAGAGGTTCTGCCGAAGGCCGCTTTACTTTCAGCGCCGCCGACAGTGGACAGCACAGGATCTGCGTCATTCCTCAGAATGTCCAGGGCGGAGGCGGCTGGTTGAACCAAGGTATCCACGGTACCGTCAGGTTTACCCTCGACATGGCGATTGGAGAGACGAGCAGAATCGAGAGCACGGACAAGGACAAGGTCGAGACGCTGGTACAGAAGGTCAGGGACTTGAACTCGCGACTACTGGACGTTAGGCGAGAACAGGTCTTCCAGAGAGTATGTTTGACTGCCATTCACCAAACTGAAGAAGTGGAGGCTATGTATGTGCGAGCAGGCTAACATGTTATACAGGAGCGTGAGGCCGAATTCCGCGACCAGTCCGAACACACAAACTCGCGCGTCGTCCGCTGGTCAATTATCCAGCTCGTCGTTCTCGGTGTCACTTGTGTCTGGCAATTATCGCATCTGCGCTCCTTCTTCATCAAGCAGAAGCTTACCTAGAATCCTCGCACGAAGAGACACCCCTTCATGCGCATATCTAAAGAAGCGATACGGGGCAGGCTAGCGTAGGGGCATATTCCAAAGCAAAATTCATGCGAATACCGAGGGAGGTTCGGTAACACGTGACTTGTATTGTACGGCGGGCGGAGGAATACATGGCGTTGAAGAATTGATATTGCTGGGTGTTTAACGTTGGATATTTTGAATCGAGCAGGGCATTGCAGTATTGTATTGGTCAGAGTGTATGCCCGTAGTTGTGATGTGAGAGGCGGCTTATTGTCCCTCCCTTTTCTTTTCAAAGGGGTTGCATGATTATATATGCTAAATGGGAATTGGAGAAGGATGAGGGATATGTTATCTCACCAATAAGTATGCTTGCAACACTTTTGATTTTAAAGTCGATATTGCACTGTGAGTTTAGCTTCTTTCGCTGCAAGCACTGTTCTACAAGGAAATGCTGTATTATACTCGCTTCTATGGGAGATCAAGTATAAGAGCATGCCTTGCTGTAATGGCACCCATTTTTGATGTCTTTTTTCCCATTTACGACTAGAAGTTCGAAATGCTGACGTTCTTGTTGGGCTGGGATACTAAGTGGTGCATACAGTTTTGAACATGGGACTTCATGCTTTAGAAGAGGTATCGAAAGGAGAGAGAGATGACAGAGGACAAGAAATTCGGGGGGCTTGACGCGCGTGAAGGCAATGTCATAATGTGTTATACACAATTGTACATAGTACTATGAAACGATTGAGAATGCCAAAATTGCATTCTCTTTGGAAGACATTGCGTTTTGGTTTCTTAGGGCATGGCAGGTTTTATGCATCAAGTTTTTTTCCCCATTGGACTTCCTCTGTTGGCTACATATTGTATGAGAAACGAATCTGCATACTTTTCTGAATGTTGGTTAGTTGTTTTGCTGACGATTGAAGGATAAGAAGAACGGGTCTAGAATTTGTTTCATCGTGATGTTCTGGAGCGTGGTTTCCCAAAGTACAATGGCATTTATGTGGGCAGCACGATGCGCTGTGACCTTGAAGTGTGAAGGCGATGGTGAGATAAATTCGATGTATGAGGCTATGTAGAGATGTAGGTAAGGTATGGCGTGTTTGCAGTGGTTGAGGAGAGTGTAAAAGGGTGTGCCCTTGACTACTTCGACTTACTTTTTGGGAGAACATGATGAGAAAATGACTTGGTCTCTTACAAGTTGTGCTCTTGTATATTTGTTACATCTACCGGTGAAGTATTGTGGTTAAAACAGCGTGTCTCTCTCGAATGACAGTTGAATGGTAGAATATCTAGAGCTGGATGTGAAAAATCGTTTAACACAAGGAAGACTCAGTTATTTCACGCCGCAATATCCGCCCAAAAGACATGACTCTATGGACACGGAAGAGATATCACGAGCTACAAAATCATCCACGCACATATGAGAGTGATAACTGATGTCTACTTACTTCAGCATTATCAAAGAAACATATCTGATTTCTAATTCAGGATCTCGCAATTGACAAGGAAACTCAACATTGACCATAAATTTTCTGACGAAGCATGCTGCACTATCACGTTAGAGATCATTCATGCAGAAGAGTTTTACAAATGAGCAGGGGATATCACTCCTGACGAAAGGACGAGATTGATGACTAACTAAACATTTGTCAGAGAAGAGTGGTCAGCCGAGTGCATGACAATCACGTGATATGAACATCCTGCCTAGATGGCGCCATTAGTGACGACAGGGCATATTGTTGGTTGCAGCAACCAATGCAACGGGTGTAGAGGATGATTTCAGTGTTGATTCCGTTGCAGTCGACTCCCATAAATCCTTTTCTTGCCCATATCCATACCCACATATCAATTCTACAAAAGTAAAATCCCCATCTTAGTACCGCAGGTACCCACCACCCCACATCATCACCAGAGAGTCACGCTGTGGTATCTCCATGCCAAATTACTGGGCCTACTTAGACTGAGTTCGGACTAAATTAGAGCAATATGTATGGATCTTACGCCCACGTGTAATACCGAGGCTCAGTGGGCTCGTGCGAGCCAAAGTAAGCAATACACCACCGCCACAGCGGGACCTAGTGGAGTACGATTCTGGGTTTGATAGTGTAACTGCGAGAGGCTATGGAAAGACATGGTAACTCGTAGCGAGCGGGGCGGGTGCGTCTAACGTGTATACCCCTTTATGTATTGATGAGAAAGACGTTCTGATGGGATTCTAGAAGTATATGTGTGTCTGCATATGTGCGTGTGATTACTTTGGTAGCGATACTTTTAGTAATGGAATCACTGCACCTGTTTCCATGCCGTGTCTCAGTTAACACTGACTCGATAGAGTTGTGTACCCGTCAGACTGAGGTACACTCATCAACTAGCAGACACCTGCGCCGTTGAAATCAGAAATCGATATCCGTATCAAACACGAGAAGTCTATCCACATGAGGACCGGATGATACGAAGCCAATACAGTCGATGCCGATCGAGACGTATCGAATTTGTAAAAAAAAGGCACCAATAGTTCCTTACTCCACAGTCTAGAATAGCACTGACAGTTCGGCCCCCAATCATACCCGACATTTGGGGGCGAAATCTCGGAAACCAAGCTCTTAGAGCTGAGCTGACATGCTCACCATGTGGAGTTTAAACGATTCATCACAGATTAGCGAGAGACTAGATCTGGAGGCTGGAAAGGGGACAATGCGCAAACGGGTGTGGTGCACGTGCGCATTCGCCCGTGGATTCCGCCGTTAGGTTGGGACTGGTGTTTGTCGAAAGTTTTTTTCCCTGCTTCTGCTGCTACTGCAGCACCACCATCACGCTTACTGATGCACCAAGAGTGCATGCCCAGGCTGCTGAGCAAAAGCATATTCGAACAAGGTTCATCGGGATTTCGTACGAAAGAAAGTTTGTGCGAGGGTTTGTGCTGCATACTTACGTCGGCTGGCGGTTCCTGGCATGAGGCCGAAGTGCTTTGTCAAGGCTGACAGAATATTTTGCACAAGGATGCATGCTGCCGGACGGAAAGAATAGCGTCAGCCGAAAGGTGCTTGGCAGGGTGCGATCGGCCCAATATCGCTTCAAACACGACCTGGGGGATGCCGGCCAGCCCAGGAAGCGGCAGAACCCAATGTATTGCTTTGCAAATGTTACTATTGGAGTAAGAACCAGGTAATAGGCAAAATGCAAATCGGTACTGGCGACGTAACCATAGTCGTCCGACCCCACCCACCTGCTAGGCTCCAATTGGAAGCCCAGAAGCCTTCTCCGCATTTTATCAATGGTGTCGCAGATACCCACTGAATTGAGTTGAGTCTTGTTGCAGCAAAAGAAACCAAACGTGGTTATCATGCGTCGGTCGCATGAAGTAGGGGGGCATTGAGTTGGGGTATGACGTTGAGGGCACAATGCCACAGTGACCCAAACGGGCTTGGTCCGCAGACGTAATTATTAGTGTTAGTGTTGCACTGCTAAAGTTACTAGAAGCCCAATGGCAGCGTTGGGTTGCAGTACCCTGGGTTGACGTTGCCCTGCATACGCTGGTTTAATGCTTCTACAATAAGATCGCGTGATTGATAAGACGACAGGAATACGAAAAATCGGGCAATGTGGGTGTAGCAAGTAGAGATAGTATCAGCAGGTAAGGTGCCAGGGTACGAGTGGCCGGTGTGTCACGGCAGCGATGTGAGTGGAGAGCGGCACAAACACGCGATTTGGCGTCATGATCGGCATACAAGCCGCCGTACAGAGGACATGTTGAACGGCAGAAACTTGGACGAAATCAAGTTGACGCAGGGTCTCATCATCCCATTGTCGCGGATTGGCGGGACGATGAACTAAGGGGTATGGCGCCCGCACAACCGTTTGCGTTGGCGGATGGATGACAGCGTTGTGGGGCCTCCGACAGATGATTTGCACCCTGATATCCAGTCAAGGTAGCGGTGCTTGTCTACAGTCAAGAAGAAAGGAAAAGATGCTCACTTGGCAAAATACTATAGGGTTCAAAGCAAAAATAGAATAATGAAGCAAAGGTGCTCTACTGCAGCTCGCACTCGCGAAGACACACACACAGTTGCGGATGCGGATCTTGGTCGGAAACGGACAACAGAACTCGGGGATAGTGACGTCATGGCTGATTGCAAGCGAGCGGCTAATGCTCATGTCCAAGCGACAGAGGAAACAGCAACGCCGAAGCGACTGGAAGACAAAGGTGATTTTCCTGCTGATTCTAGAGTGCTGTGCGAGTGAAAAGCATAAGCAAAAGTAATGTATGTATTACATACCGATGTATGCACCCTACTAGAACTAGTATCTTCGGTCCAAGTGCTCCGCGGAAATCTGTGTGTCGCGTGTGGCCGTGCATCCGCTTTGAGATGTGGCTAGTGGCTTCCATCGGCGAATCGAAGGCCCAGATGTTCGGAGAAGCCGGGGCTACAGCAGCATCGCAGAGTCCGTGCATACGATAGGGCTGCACTGCCACATGGAAGTGTAATGGACCCTGCATATTGAGGGATCTCGTCCGTCTATGCGATGCCACGTCGACTGGATGTAATGCTTGCTATGCATGTAGAAGCTATCCTTCAGCCTCCAAGGTTCGGAAGAAGTCTCGGTAAAAAATCTTCCTTGCGTGGTGGTGTGGTGTTACTTGTTGCGCGTCGCACCGGCGGCTCCGTGGCAGGCCAAGGATACTGCCAGTGCCGAAGCGGAACCACTTGTTCCAACTGCGGGTTATCTGCAGGTTGAGAGAGGACATGCAGCTGATATTGTAATACAGACACCTATCACTAGTAGCATGTGAAAGACCCAGCTGCGTGGGTGTGGCTGTGTCTCCAGTCTGAGCAGAGCATCCGGGTGATGTGCATCTCGGTTGCCAGTGCCAGCAGCGTGGTGCGCGAACCGTTTAGCCACCACAGATCCAGCTATCAATAGTGCAAGGCAAAATATGGGGTAGGCTATTGACGGATAAGTTCTTGCATGATACCACGTGGCCTTTTGTCGTTTTACGCGGCCTTGTCGACTAGTAGTGTATGTACGAGCTGAGCATGCCGTGACAATTCACCTCCAAACTGTCTAGATGGCAATTGTGAGTCACATGTCTACGCATATGATCAACATCAATACAAGCAGAGACAGTGGTGTGGCTGGTGCATTCGTGTACCCGACATGTTCGTCGCACTGTCGCCTATACCGCAC